AGTACCTACAAGAAGTGGCCACTGGACGTATTTCTCAGTGATTGCCGACCATTTTTTTTGTCAACGCTGAAAGCCTGCGGTGGCGCCAAACAGGCCTAGTCTGCCACGACCTCGATTGCCGTGGTGCTTCTGTTGTCATGATTTCCCTGGCACCCAAGGCCTGTTCAGCGTGCTGATGGTTGAAGTGTCGAGAAGCGCATCCCAGACTGATCGATGGATAGGCTGAAGGAGAAGATTTGTGGTTGAGACTCTTGTACAGTACTTAGCCCCAAAAATGATTTGGGTGTTTCCCTTGAAGCCTTAAACCATCACTTCTGGGTCTATGAAAAGGGGAGATACGTCATGAAACGTCATTTTTCTTATAACAATATATAGCAACTAAAGTACCTTTTTGGGGTAACAAAAAAGGGTCACCCTTCTAGCTTGAGCGGCCAGCCGCGAGAATCGGCTTCATGAAGCCCTGCACCCCCCCTGTTTCTCGGGAAATCATCGGCGGGCCATCGTCCAGTTGCCGAACGGGCAGTTTTTTCCGGAGGGTAGTCATGGTGAAAGCAGATGGTGAAAACCTGTAGAGATGTCCTATGACGATCAATGTGAATGTTCCAATAAAGGAATGGAAGCGACAAAGAATGCCGCTGCCATACAAGCAGTTGTTGGACTTAAATTTACTGGACTTAAATTTAGACTTCATTTAGACTCAATAGACTCAATGAGATCTGGTTGGTGGTTTCAACCCCTCTGAAAAATACTAGTCAGTTGGGATTATTATTCCCAATATGGAAAAACATGTTCCAAACCACCAACCAGGAGATGTAATGGGACTTCATGTGCGGAACTTGCGTCTTCAATCATCCTGCAAAATGCCAATCATGCGATCCATGCTGCAGTCATTTGCAGTCAAAGTTCTGGTTGGTAATTTCAGAATGTCTTAACCCATTAAAAAGCTAGGACACCTCTGGGGAAAACTCTGAAAACTCTGGAAAACATATGGACAAATAGGGATTCTGATCCCAAAAGTTCAAGCAAACCAACAGAAGACCTGAATATTTTTTATCAGCGCACCTTCATCTCCTGGTAGGAGATGACGCCATCACCATTCACGTCATACCTGGCGTTTATCGGGTCAGCTGCACCTGATCACAGAGAAAATGTTCATCAGATTTATCTGCGGAACCGCAGTTTAAGTCCAAAATCCTATTTCTCCAATCTGGAAGATCTCAAATGATTACTCCTTAACTGGGCCCCCAAAATGAATATATCTGGTTGGTGGTTTTAACCATCTTGAAAAATATGAAAGTCAATGGGAAGGATTATCCCATATATTACGGAAAATAACAAATGTTTGAAACCACCAACCAGATATAGATTCAATCATCAATCGACGTCTCCGAGGTGATCAAAAATGATCAAAACATGTTGACCGGCGCTGGCACAGATATGTCAAAATTGACCGGCGCCTCACTGTCCCATGATTGGTATATGATTCGTATATTCAACTTACCCCCTAAGCATGACCCGAAGGCAAGTATGTACACGCTCTATGTTCATATCTATGCCAGATACTAAGCCTACATATTCTACTAAATGGATTGGTTTCAGGGAAATGCTCGTAGGAAACTATAGTCTTTTCTACCAGTAATTGCAGGGCAGGTGAAACCCTCTGCAAGGACCAGGTTTCACTCGGCGAATGCCAAGTAGCTCCAGGAAATTGCGCAAGTTCTTCAAGATGAACATGTTCTCGCGGCAGACTTTTTTGGGCACCCAAGATGGGTTTCTGAAGGGGACAACTCTGAAACTTAGCTGTCGATCATCATGCTTCACCATGAACATCTTGTTCTTTGGTGGTGTTCTTTCACAATTATTTTCAGACACATCAGATGTCTGACCCCAAATTTCTCACCCAAGCAGTTGGTCATTTGAACATGGGCAGATCCATGGTGATAAGGGGTACCATCCGGTAACGTGGCAATGGAAAATCCACAATTTCATATAGGGGATTTTCTATTGCCATCTGTGATAAGGGGCGCGACAATATTCAGAAATTTAGAAATATGTATATTGTGTGTGAGAGACTTGAGAGGAGACAAAACTGGAACAACAACTTGAACAGCAGATTCCTTTTTGTTTCTGATGTAGAGGCCCTCCAGCACACCAACAGCATATTTAAATGAAACATAGTTGAAGCTTATGGAATCGTAAATTCTATTGTCAATGTACAGCATCTAGACCAGACCTTCAAGATACCCGAAAAACATTGTCTTCTATCTAACACTTAAATCTGGTTGGTGGTTTCAACCCCTCTGAAAAATGTTAGTCAGTTGGGATGATTATTCCCAATATACAGAAAAATAAAAGCCATGTTCTAAACCACCAACCAGATTTTTACTGTCGGATTTACCATCCAGTAAATTAACATAGACCCTGGCAGTCATCGGGGTTGGAAGATTAGTTTCCTCTAAAAATTGGTCATTTTCAGGGTCCAACTGTTAATTTACCAGAGGGTACATCCCATTCATATCCCATGATCGATCACTTTAAAGTGGCTTAAAGTGGTATATCCCATATATCCATATATATATATATATATCCCATGATTTTCCCATATAGTTCCCACTGAGGATTGCTTTCTCTGATTGCTTTTACCGTTCAAGGTCTATTTACTTCGCCCATGGGTCACCTGATTCTGACCCAATGTTTGGCTCCTCCTAACATTTATGAAGTGCATGGAGCGAACCATGATATTGAATAGCTTATAGTTATACAATATACTGTATAATATATATATAATATGTATGTAATATAAAACATATATATATATAATATATAAAATATAATTATATGTATATGGAGGTTTTCTGAAATGGGGGTCAATGGGGGTACCACCCACTTCATCAACACTCACCACGCCGGACTCGCCCCTTTCCAGCGCCATGTCTGAGCTACGCAAGTGGCGGTAAGTCCGCAGAAAGGTCGAGCTACCGAAATCATCTACGAGGCACCGAGCCCTCCACGGGTTTGCGGTCCAAATGTGGGGCAAGCGCTGTCCAAGGAAAAACCATGGTGAATCTGTTGCAATCTGTTTTAACACATCAAAGAAACGCAGAAAAAACTTGATTGGATATATTCTGTACATATAATGTCTTATAGTTAATAGAAATCAACTTAGCAGAAACATATTCACAGGTGAGTGTATTGAACAATACGCTACAGGTTTTTGCTACATCTCAACCCGCTCAATCAATGCAATTTTCGTCAATGTTCAGCTTTTGAACGTGTTCCTCCATACCACGACTTGTCATGAACCGGTTCTGAGGTCCTTGATGGTCCTTGTCCTCACAAACATGGCTGGTGCATCAGTTTGTTAAGTGGGGTTGACACTTATAACACTAGGATACACTAGGGCCGGGGTTGTAGTCTGAGTGTGTACATGTAATACATTGTAATACGGTCGGGTGGTTCATGGATGTTAGTCACCACAAACGACACCACCAGGAAGACTTAGCTGGTGGATGCTGGTGGGCGAATGTCCCACACGTATTGCAACGGCATTGGCGAACCGCGGTTGTCTGGCCGCGCTGGCCTGTCTACAATGTGCAGCCCAGGGGAAATTAAAAGTCCAGGTTGCCACGTGGGAATGGCGAGGAAAAATTGGCATCACTGGACAACTGAAGCTGTTGCGATGGTCATGTTGTGCCACAGTTGCTCATCTTGGAAAGATGCATAGGCTCAAGAACTCTGAGAAATGTCCATTCCCACATCGACAGAATCAAGAACAGCTCCAAAGAAATCCGGCCGTTCTCGAGACACGTTGTTGTCGTGGCTTTCGCATGCACCCGCGCTGAAATTGCGCGACAGTGGCGGGAAAAAGACAGATGGCCTCAAACATTTCTTTCAGCGGTAAAGTAGCTGCTACATTTTCCATGATATCAACCCTTGAGCTGGCATGCCTAAAGGAAAAAACTATCCAAAGTCCAAAGCTTGAGACCACTTCTTGCCACCTAACTGCTTACCAGCCCTCCAGCGCATCTTTTTTCAACGACGCAGCGTTGGTGGGGGGTCCAAGCAGGTTCCCGTGATAGCGCCCCTCCCATGATTCGAGATGCTGGGGATACCAGGGGGAGGCAACTCAGCGAGTTGCAAGGTATTGGTGCCACTGCAGCAGATTCCAACTGAAACTGCCGCTGGCAAACTGCTCTGAGCAGATAAGCAGGCACATTCTCGCGATGGGGCAGGCACACTAGCAACGCAGCTCCATGAAAAAAACATGTTGACATTGGACTACTAAAGCCGTTTGCCGGTGTTTCCAAACATTCTGTGATGAAATGAAACTGTTCATTCTTTTTTGGGTGAAATCTCATGAATGGTCACTTCAACAAAAGAAACGCTGAGCGGTTCGCTCACTGCTCAAATGGCTTCAAATTCGAAGACGTCATGAAACACAGGGTGTGGTCACCTGTCGAGATTCTTTAGGTGTCAATTTCAAGGGGGGTTCCATTCCATTACCCTTTCTTAGGTGATGTTCTAGTTATTTATATATATAATATATATATATATATACATTATATACATTATACATACTAATTCACTGATTCTCAAGGTACGTCGAAACAGATGGGTAGAATGTTGGTTTTGAGAGAGACATCAAATCCTTGGATTGGCTGGGAAATACTGAGGAAACCTGGTTCGGAAACCTCCATATCTTATAGGACTAACCAAATTTTCCTGTAGATTTTTCCTTCCACCAATCTATGATGGCCACCTAGACGCATGAAGATAATTACCTGGTTAATGATTTTTTCCCCCGATCAATGGGATGTAATATGGTGTAATGGATCATAGATGATGCATAACCAGTTCTTAACCAGTTACCTATCATTATTATAAGTACAAGTAGGGAATATGAATCACGGAAAAACTATAGGTCTAAGAATGTCCAGTGACTAACCAGTTAACTAACCCCCATGGACTATCTAAGTAGGTCGTTTTCGGAATGCTACAATGACGTAACCGCGCCTGCGGCCTGCTCCATCACACGCCGCACTTGACACGACGCAAGCGTTGCCACTTGCCACGATTCAAGGAATAACTACGGACTTCACCTGGGCGACACTCGGGTCACATCAACGGTGCGTTGACCAATGGCATTATGTAAACGGAGGTGCCCCTGTTGGTTACCTAACTGTGTTTATAAGTTTCAAGATAACTGCGGGATTCTGGTGATTTTGATAACAGTTGGTTACCTCCTATCTGACAGGAAAATGGAAAATGATGGTTTCGGTTGATATATCGATATAATCCACAAACTTGGGAAATCTTCAAAGCGGCATTGTACGGAATACAGTCCCCCTATCAATGTTATCCGAATTGTTGTAGTGAAACGAATGGAACATATCATATCAAAAGTTCTCTCTATATATGGACATAAATATGCATATATGCGCATGTACTGTAAATGCACTGTATGTATACTGTAGGTGCGTACTGTAGGTGCGTATACAATCATACATATATATATATATATGTATATATACACATAAATAAGTAGTTATATGTATATGTATATGTATTATACATATATGAGCTGCATACTCGTGGGGAAAGTGAGTTCGAAACCTTTCCAAATGACGGTTTCTCAGATTTGATTATGGTATTTACGATGGGGATTCCCACCGGTAAAAAAAAAAGAGGCAAATGCTTTGCGGTCCATGTTTTTGCCAAGCACCAAAACTATTGATAAACTCAGCTTTTCCAACCCAACAGCCGGGTTCCAGGTTGCTGGGGCTTGCATCTGTGACGCACAAGTGACCCAAAGATTGAAACCCAACGAACACTGCTGTAACGAGATAGGAACTGAGAATACGCAACAACCATGGAACTGGTGATTTGAACGAAAAATAATCTACTTTACTTCGAGTGATCCCCACAAATTTTCACAGCCTTCTGACATAGTTTCTGACATAACATCTGGAAGTGAAAAAACACCTATATTCTATATGTATAAAAATAAATATAGATATTCTGACATTCTATCTGGCATTCTTTCTGGCATATACTCTGATGTCCTTTCTAGCATTCTATCTGGCATCTATTCTGACATACAATCTGGCAAACATGCTGACATTCTTTCTGGCATGCTATCTGGCATCTATTCTGACATTCTTTCCGACATTCTTTCTGGCATTATGTCTGGCATCTATTCTGACAGTTTGCCTGGCATTTTATCTGACATCTACCCTGTCATTTTCTCTCACATATGTTCTAAAAAGGTATTTCGCGCATTCTACCTGGCATCTATTCTGACATTCCATCTGGCATTCCATCTGGCATTCTATCTCTTGCTGCTGTTTAGTCTGGACCTAAAGATTGGTTGGTTCCTGGGAGTCAACTGCACGTCTGGACACATGCGTCCTTCGATCCTGAAGTTGTCCCATTTTGGATCTCACGACCGGAGCAGCAGCCATTCCAATTGTTTTCCCAACCCAAGATCAGAAAACATATGTGGCTCAAGAGAATCGCAGGCTCACATGGTTCAAGCCTTTGGCTTCGTAAGCTGCCAAAAAAAAGAAAATGTCAAAATGCCCCGGGGAAGGATTCGAATATATATATATATACATTTACACATATATATATATACATATTTATATATATATAGTTGGCTCGAGATCAGGGTTGGCAAAGTTACCCTTACTGCTGCGGTGAAAAACAGGTAGGCAAAATGGGATTGGCAACTAGATGGCTCAAGACCAATTTCGGCAAAGCTTCCAAATGGGTACGGTCGGGCAAAAAAGTAGGAAGAGATGGCTGGGATCTGGATGGATGCGACAAGGGGTCACAAGATGCCATGGTATATCCTTGGGGTTATGTTAAATTGATGATGGTCAAATAGCTAGTCAACAATTTTTAACCTGGCATGGCATGGCATGGCATGGCCAGCGGAGGGTGTGGTCTGACCCATCTCGCTGACTCGATTGTTTGGTTTTTTAACAAATAAAACAATCCAAACCATGTGAAACAAAACCTGTTTGATCGAAAACATTTTGCATGGTCTGGCCAACAGGGGAAGTGGGGTGATCCCTCTCACTGACTAGTTTTGGGCACAGGTGGCAGCAAACCATGTAATTGCGCGGCATGGCTAGCAGGGGAGGTGGTCTGACCCTTTTCACTGACTGGATTGTTTGATTATTCCAACAGGCTAAACCATCAAACCATGTGAATCACAAATGCAAAACAGCCAGTTGAACCATGTATGTTTTGAATGAAATTTTGCATGGCGAAGGTGGTCTAACCCCTCAGATCTATCTCGATACCTGGTAATTTGGATTCCAGCATGCTGAGGGATCAAAGCAATGAAGCTAGTGAGAGGTAGCAATGTCACACATTGTATTTATTGGTTGGGCATGGCATGGGTGGCAAGGAGGTGGTCTGGCCCTTCTCTGGAAGAAGAACAAATCCAAAATGACCAAGCAGAAAAAAATGATCCGAAGGAGGTGGTCTGACCCTTCACATGGATGGGAAAAAGGTGGTCTGACCCCTCCGTGGTCCAAAATATCACCGCAACGCATGGGCAGGGCAGTGCAAAAAGATGTAACTGAGGGGGGTGGGCAGGACGTCCAAGATATCACCTGGGTGTTGAACGCATTTGTTTTCAGCCAGGAGTGTCTTGATGTTTTTTTTACGCATCTATTCTTCCAAAGGTTTGTCTGGATTGCCATGGTATCCGTGCAATATGTTCTGTTCTTTTATTTTGCATTTTTGAGCCAGTTCTATCTTAGGATGACTTATCTTAGACAGGGTTATTTAAGATGAAGGTGGTCTGTAGGCTGACATTCTTTCTGCCATTCTGTCTGGCATTCTATCTGGCATGGCATCTATTCTGACATTTTTTCTGCCATTCTGTCTGGCATATATTGTGATATTTTATTTTGCAGTCTAGCAGGCATTTTTTTGGGCATTCTACCTGGCATTCTATCTGACATATGTTCAGACACTGTATCTGGCGGCCGGGTCCATCTTCATTCCGTGGCATCACATGTGAGATCTGCCCTGAAATCCCTCACAAATTTGCTGAAATTTGCATATGCGTGCGTTGCTGATGTTGTGAATGTTCCCAGTGCTGGCTTGTCGGCTACCAGACGGCGCACCTTTCGGGGGGTCAGGACTCTTGTAGTAAAGCTACTAGTGGGTGCACTACAACCAGCGAGAACCTTGACATCGAAAAAAACGAAAAAACGCAGCTTAAGAAAGCCTCAAGACAAACCAGCTTTCGGCGCCAAGACTCAATTATCCATGTAGTCGTCACCGGTTAGGTGTTGCAGGAATTCCCCATGAGACACCTCAGCGGAAAAGTGAGCCAAAAAAGCGCCCTTGTTGCTTTGCTTCCGGTAATGTGTACATTAAAATGTTCATGACATATTTCCTCAACTAGAAACGATAATGATGAAAAAATCTGAGTGCTTTACTTAATTTGCAGATATTATAGGATTTACAGTGTTCATAACTCATGTCATGGACTTTCTCCAGTCCGCTCCTGTAAAAGGCCTGCAAAAATCACTGAAAAAACAGCTTTCTGGTCTCCGAATTTGAGATGACAAACAATCGCTGCGGGAAATGCATCAAAAAAGAGCGGTGATTTAGTGATCAAACATAACTGGTTGGTGGTTTGAACCATCTTGAAAAATATGAAAGTCAATGGGAAGGATTATCCCATATACTATGGAAATTAAAAAATGTTTGAAACCACCAACCAGATAAGCAATTCACGGCATATGCCGAGCCTGCTGAGCATTCGGTTGAAGTAGTGAACTCAATAGGAAAAAAAACTTGAAATCCATCTGGGCCATTTATGGTGACAACACATCTGACATCAAAGGTCGTATACCCCAAGTGTTTGAAGCAGTGTCAACATTGGACTGAACGTACCGATGAAAAAATCGGCCTTGCCATATGTGGCCATATGGTGTGTCGCCTGGTCGCTGCAGGCGATTCATTGTATCAGTTCAATCCCCAGAAACCATCATGAATATTCACGAAAGCGTCCATGTGACATGTGTTTTTTCAAACATTGTTTTTATACATGTAAATACGTATACACATAAATTTGTGTGTATATTATATAGATGTGTAAATTTATGCTTCCCAATTGATCACCATCTGCAACGCATTCAAAACCAATTCCAAACCATGTTTCCGGGGTTTCGGGTAAAAACAAACCTGCATCGCTCGTCTCCACCACCTCAACACCCGATGGTCACCACCACACTCAGGAACATATACATTATATGATATATGATGATGTACGTACATATATATATATATACCCTCTGGTAAACTAACATAACTATGGACTAACTATGGAAAATCACAATTTTCAATTGCTAAATCCACTATAAATTGCCATTTTCAATAGCTATGTTAGTCATAATCCAGGGGGTATGTACTAAATAAACAGCTGACCATCACAAGTCACAGATACTGTACATTGGGCAATGGGTCAAGTTGAAGCCGTTGAAACCCGGAGGCCTAAAGAGTTTGAATGCCATGTTTTAAAAGAACATTCGATTTGGTAGGACACAATGACATCACCCATACCCAAACATCCTGCATTAACATGAAGGCGTCAACATGACAGATCTACCATTTACATCCATTAATAGACTAGGTCCTGCCAGAAATCAGTGGCTTTCCATCCCTACATGTTGAAATAAAAACATTGTACAGAAAATAAACGTTTAACATGTTGAGAAATGAATGATACGATAAATATACACATGTGTATGCATGTATGTATGTAATTATATACAAACTAATGTATACAAAATTGAATATATACATGTATATATATATATAATTATTATGTAAAATTATGCAAATATGTAAATGTATAAACATATATATAGATATGTGTATATATATATGTAAATACATACTTATACTATAATATAAGTGTATATAATCATAGGTATATATATATATATATGAATCACCTCATTTCGCCCCTGGCGCCTCACCACGACTCGCCCAGGGACTAACAAAAGACTCTCTTCGGATCGGCGCTCAAGCCATCGGCTCAGCCGGCGAGCTCGATCCTGAACGGGCAGTGAAAAAAAGAGTTGGCGCGTACCATCTCCTACCACTTAAACATGTCTACATATATGCTTATATATATATATGTACGTATGTATTTATGCATATCTGTGTTTACATCCCAATACATGCATAGATATATACATATTTGTATTTACATACCAATACATATATATATATATACACATCGAAATAAAATATATACGTGTCTGTATATCTATATTTATATATATATATATTATTTGACGAGAAATATGTATAACACATATCATTTCATATCAATACTATATAAGCGGCATTATATATCATACATCTGCATACATACATAATATATGTCTATATATATATACACACATTTAAAAACAAAAACAAACGTGGATACACATCATACACATATTACTCTATATATATATATATGCGTGTTTTTGTCTACATACATATCTTACACCTCTTCAATTGAACCACATATACCTAAGTCAAAGTGAAGCTGGCCACAAGATTTTGCAATGTTTGCCCATTCGAAGCACTGAACTGGTTCCAAGTAGCCTAGACTCTGAACACATGGTGAACATGGTGACTTCCGAGTACAATGTTAGATTACCAACGGGTATTGGGCTAACCCGGCTAACCGGTTTTCCCCTGCACAGAGTCAATTAAAGCGTGGATATGGTCCTTTCCCTTGTTTATTGCAAGAGAAAACACTGGGGCAAGACAAACAATTTACATGGTTGCCCCAATCGATCGATGGTCGGTAGTTCAACCTCCTCAAGCATGCTATTCAATGTGAGGATGTACATGAATAAAGACTAAAACAACCATATCCCCGCATGCATTCATAAATTTGTCCATGATACCCATTTTTGCTTGTTAAATCATCATGTTTGGTACTTGAAACTCTTGTTTCTTGCTCAGATCATAATGTTTGCAGGTTATGTAAATCCGTATTCTTTCCCTGCCAGGTGAAGGTCTTTATGCTGGTAATGTCAGAATAAAGAGCATAAACAATCATATGCCAACTAAAATATCAGCCAGAATGTCAGAATCTCGCAGATAGACTGCCAAATCACATGTAAAATAGAATGTCAGAACATATGTTAGATAGACTGAAAAATGGAATGTCAGATAGAATTCCAAATGGAATATCAAATAGAATGCCACATATATATATAAGACAGAATGTCAGATAGAATGTTTAATAACATGTTGGATTTGTGTTGTCCTATAGATGAAATGTCAGCTAAAGCATCTGAATAAATCTATCTTAGAATATATGCCACAGTGGAAATCACTCGAAGAAAGCAATTACCATCTGGTTATTTAACATAGCCATGGAAAATCACCAGTTTTGATAGATAAACCATCTATAAATGGGCAATCTATACCATGGCTATGTTAGTCATAACTAGAGGGTAAAATATTGTTCAATTATTGTTGCTCGAATCTGCATGTTCCATGCCTGAAGCCTGATTTTTTTCTTGGAGAAATCATCGATTTTTGCTGCTTAGCCTCTGGTAATGACTAACATAGCTATGGTACAGATGGCCCATAGAAATAGTGGATTTACCTATTATAAACGATGATTTTCCATAGCTATGTAAACGTTTACCAGAGGGTAAACCTCCATTTTCCTATGGTTTTCCTATGGTTTTCCCATTAAAACCTCCATTTTCCTATGGTTTTCTTATGGTTTTCATCCCAGAGATTTTGCTGGTGGCCATCCCGATTTCACGCCTTGATCTGGCGTGTGGACTCCCAGTGGGAGCTACGGCGACCTGGTCCTGATTGTTGGTTGGTGGTTTGAACCCCTCTGAAAAATATGAAAGTCAGTTGGGATAATTATTCCCAATATATATATATATATAATATATAATATTATATATATATATATATGTGGAAAAAAAAAAAATGTTCCAAACCACCAACCAAATATATATATATAATTTTACATGTCATCTGGTATTTCCTAGATATTTCAAATGTATATCGGCAATGAGTTTTTTTTCGTGAAATCTGAGGAGTTGATAGGGATCATAGGACACCTAGGTACATATATAAGTGTATATATATATATATATAATTATACATACATATCCATATAATATAGATATATGTATATATTAAATATAGATCATGTACGTAAATAAAGTACACAAAATTGGTTAATGGGAACAGGATCAATCCGGAATAATCCGGAACATGCCTGTGGCGACCAAGGACCAGTCGTAGCGGCCAAATTTTGCCCTGAGATGGCGCCGGAAGTGATGGTTTGGACCTCGAAATCCTCAACAAAGAAACACGCAAAGCTGGAAGAACATGGCTAGTTTACCAATTGGATAAAAGGGCTGGTTTACCACAAAAACGGAATGGATGTGAAAAAAATGTTTGTTAGCAAAGACTGGGATTCTGGGATGAACATGGTGACTTTGCCAGGAAATTTGGGTAACTTTGGGGCAGCCCCTTGGGACCTCATCCACCATTCAATAGGGCACCAAGGAACTCCATCTCGTTTGACAACGCTTCTCTGCTCTCGATGGGGCTATTGGCCGGCCATCCACCCACTTCACGTGCCTGGCAGCACCACTGCCGGGCCACTGGCTGCCACTGGATGCTCTGGATCCATGGTGAAATCTCAGACACCATACTGGGCATACTGGGTATACTGGGTACCCGGCCTGGTAAACATACAAAAAGCTATTGAAAATGGCCATAGAAATAGTGGATTTGTTCCATTAAAATGGTGATTTTCCATAGCTATGTTAGTCTACCAGAGGGTATATTCAAAATAACAAGTAGAGATTTCAGCCCGTTGACAACTAAGTCCAGTATGATGCGCGTTTCGTCCATGTTAACACCATCATTGAGTTTTCAAAACTAGCTCAAAGGAGCTGAGAACTTGAGCTCACAGTTTTGAATGTGTTTCAAATTCAAGTAACTTGACCCTTCAGCATGTCACAGCACCAGGGTACTTCTGCAATGCTGTGACAAATTGGGCAAATTTGGGCAACATATACATATGTTCACCAGCAAGGATGGGCGCCGTTTCCTGAGCTAAGTTGATTTAGTTCACTACGTTGAGTGTTGGGTTTAGGGTGAGTTGATTGGCTAAGTTGGTTTATAGCCAGCTTAAGTATACAAACTACATGTTAGTTCATCAAAACAGCTCTTGGTTTTATGATGTTTTATGACTAAGAGAACTACAAAACTAGTTCCTTGGGGTGTACTGAAGCAACAAAGAAATCGCGCCAGGCTTCGCAGGTTCCATCTGTGAGCCATGTGAGCCATCTGAGCCATTGATCAATGCTATGACATTGCGAAGAATGTAACTGCTGTGTGATGCCCTATATCATCATTTTATAGCACCATATAATATCATATAATATCATATATCTATTAATATGTTTGTAGGTTTCAAAGTCAAAAGTTCAACCATGGTCAACCTGTCAAGGCTTAGACTATGCCCAGACCCTGGACTCCGGGACCCGGAAGACCCGGAACAAAGAAACCAAGGCAACGTTGTTTTAAGATGTTTTAAGGACAGCAAGCCATCCTTGGAATTGCGACAAATTGCCCCAAATAAAATACATCACAATACATCCGCAAAATGCGAGCTGTCGATCAAAATAATCCCAGCTTTAGACATGCAAGCTATTTGTTTTTATAAAACCATGTAAAACCACCAGCTCAGTCCAGTGAACCAGTGAACTTGCCATTGAAAAATCCAGGCTTCCTGCCTCCGGGACCACAACGGTTGGGCCGCAAAAGCCTTGCTTTGTCGGAACGGCAACTGGACCGACTGGAATTGGCCTTTATGTCGATTTTGTAGATGTATATACATATATATATATAGATTTTAACATATATATATAGATTTTAGGTTGATTCTGTAGATGTAGATTCTGTAGATGTAGATGGTCTAGGGTTCTCCAAGGTAGCGGTCGGCACATGAAGGAGACCCAATCCTTCAGCTAAGTTGGTTTCTTTTAAGCAGGTGCACTAGGGTTTAGGGTGTTTATAAATTCTATAACTGCAGCTTCCATATGTTGAAGGAAAACACACAAGAATTCCGGGAGAAGACGTTTCAACACATCCCAAGTAGTACAGATTCACATTTCATCACTTTTCTATCTTATTGAAGGCCTTTTCTGATATCCCCCTAGGACTCATTAACTAATCTCTTGTGCTTCAGGGGCATCCCTAATTCCATTTCTTGATCTGTTCCCTATGGGAAAATTGCCGTCGAGGTTGCATCTCTCTTCATTTTACCCAAAGCCATGATGGACATCAATCAATATCACTGTTTCTTTAAGCACAAATCCTTGCACGAATTCCTGTGGATCATCCAGCCACCTGGGCCCATTTTCAACACGAAAGGTCCAGCCACCGATGCCACGGGTGGTCTGCAACGCCCGCAGCACAGCTGAAGTCACAGCGGCCTGCTTTCGTGGTGAATCCTACAAGAACTATAGTTATCCAAATGTATTGTGATGGGCATTTAATATCATCTAATGATGTTTAAATTTATGGGGTGATACTAAAAAAAGGTCATTTACTCAAATAAATAGTGTATGGTGTGATACTTATAAATCACTTATAGGGGGATTCACTTAAAATACTTCATTATACTTATAACGTCGTCTTTTAAGTATATAATTAGCTAATGGGTTGAATCTAAACCAACTTATAACTGGGGGGCACACATTTTGTTACATCAGCTTGTACCTCTTGGTTGACCTGTGAACTATCCTGAAGCGATTGGATCTAAATAAGAATATAATCGCCCTTCGTTCCTATTCATGGTCAGTATTTCCCCAAAGATACAATACTGGTTGGTGGTTGAGCCACCCGAAAAATATGGAAGTCAGATTGGATCATCATCCCAACTATTGGGGAAAATAAAACATGTTCCAAACCACCAACCAGAATATATGCCCAAACAATCTCAACATATCTCAACCATGAATCCGGCAGGGGCCCCGGGGCCTGCCCCTGGGTTTGTGGCGAAGAGCTCCGTCAAACAATGTGGATCAACGAGGTCCCAGGGTCCCAGGGTCCCATCGCCCAAGCCATAAACTTGGCTGAAGCCTAACGATGCAAACCATGTTGCTGGAAGATTTATCAACATTTGCCCCAAAAAAGCAATCACCCATTTTTGTAAATTTTTATATACCAGCACCATGGTTCGCATCTGGGTAAGAATTTCAATGGTAACTGGTTACTGTTTCCTTGATCAGACAAATCTTGGCCGTGAGAACCTCACAAATATCAGGATGCTCGCAAACAATAGAAAAACATCTTGAGGCGCTAGCCAAAATATTGGTATCGAGAAGACTCAGACTGTTGGTTATAACGTCCAAGTATCATCGTCACAACTGCTGGAAATATATCTAGACTTACCTCAGGAAACAAGCAAGTAAGAAAAGGACGTACAAATCCTTAAAGTCTTTTGGAAACTTGGTGCGGTTTCCTTCCAACATGGTGACACAACCATGTTTCATCACCAAATAAACAATGACTGAAACCTCCTGCAAAGTGGTGCCTCCAAACGCTATGTTCCTTGGCTTGTATTACCCAATCTAACGATCGAGTTGCTTCATCGCCATAAACCCAATCCTCAATATTTAGTGAACTAAACCAACAGCCAACATTAATGATCAATCCCCATTTTTATTGGTCTACACTGTCTACACCCCACTTGAACAGGGTAAAACAGGGTAATCTCCATTTTTTGGGGCAACCCAGGCACCACCCCACTGTGACCGCCTGGGGTTTCAACTTTGGCAGGAGCCGGTGCAAGGATTTGGCCTTCGACACTTCAACGACTTTGATCATGCCAAAAAGGATCCCAAAGAACCAGAAATATATGGTGCAACCCCCGACCAACTATTTGTTACGTAGGGATGCTTCACTATCATAGGGACACACACCTTGATTGAAAAGACGGGTATGCCTTTGATCCTTTTGGTGAAAATTCATCAGTGTTTCAACATGTTCAACTATCAAAATGCTATCAGTTCCCAGTTTCTTGGGTCAAATCATGTCAAATCCTGCACTTGGAGGTTTCCTAAAATAGGGGTGCCCTTAAATCATCAATTTTCATGGGATTTGCCATTATAAATCCAGCTCTAGGGTACCCCCATTTATGGAACCCCCCCATGGAACTCCCCATGGAACTCCGCAGTAACCGCGAAGGGGCGCCAGCCTGGCGCTGACCTCGCTTCGTCAACTTGGTGTCGTGCTTCAACCTGGCGAAGAGATGTGCCACGAATAGGCCATAAGTGCCAATATATACATATATACAAATATATACAAATACATATGTATATATATATATATATAAACCAACTATATATATATATATATAACAACTATATATATATATATATAATATATTAATATATATATATATACATACTTATTTAGTACAATCTAAGACATATATGAAGCTTTCCATAAATGGGGGTACCCCAATAGCTGGATGGTTTAGTTCATGGAAACTCCTACTACATGAAATGGATAAACAAAATGGAATACCACTATTTGAGGAAACATTCATATATATATATATATACACATATTGTATTATATATATATATCAAATTATATATATATGTATATTGTATTAAAATATATATATATATATGTATTATATATTATATTATATAACATTATTTTATATTATATTACTTCACATCATATTATATTTTAATATATATATATACAGTATATATCCACACTATCAATTGATATAGAATGATACACAAACAATTCAACTAACTCAGTGATCCTGCAAGGTGCCACACCCAATGGACAATCCGCGCGTGGCTGGTTTCTGGCATCGACGTCGTATCCCCCAGTTCTAAGTTGGACTGTAACCCTCTTTAATACTCGTCAAAAGAACCATAACCAACTTATAACCAGTTAACTTATTAGGTATCATAACTAGTTAGCAACAATGGTTTTTGATTACTATAACCAGTTAACATATCTTAAGTATCATAAACCATGATTGTTGAAGTTATGTGGCCCGCAACTTAGCCATCCTTGTAAGGAATCAAATTTCGATTGGATCTTCACTTGGATCCAAATGTTCTTTGGATGACTTGTATCGAGTCCAAGAGCATAGATCGTCCCCAACATTCCCCTGTGGTGTTCCTTGGATCCTGGAAGGAATATATTGAAAGGTTTACGAATTCTGTGAGAACCCCTCATAACTTGGATAGTGGGACAAATTACAGTTACCCTCTGGTTATGACTAACATAGCCATGGAAAATGGCCCATTTATAGATGGTTTACATGGGTATATCTATAAAAAATGGTGATTTTCCATGGCTATGTTAAATAACCAGAGGGTAATTGCAACACATGAATCCTGACTTGAAGTAGACTACACCATCTACATCGACTACATCGTTGTGCCCCCAGTCAAGGCAGATAAGGAACAAGAACTTCTCATTGACGTTGTGCTGCGCCTCTCAACAGGCTGGTCTAACGAGTTTCAGGGTTGGGTTAATTTATGAAAATGTGCCAATTGGTGGTAAACCCAAATAGTAAGAACATCTATGCTGAAACATGGTTCATACAAGATGGATAATAGATAATGTGGTAAACCCACAGCCATAAACCATCTTGAATTCTACCAAACATGGCTTCTATAGAAACTACAATTTGGAGTTTGTTTTTTTGGTGTATCACCTTATCCTACACTGTCCCCCCTCATGTCCTGCAAGGTTCAAGATGCGAAGGCCCAATTCTTGGCAAGAGTGTTGCATTGGGAAAGTGAGGATGTCTATATTTTATATATACATATAATATATACATATATAATATATACATAATATAATATATATATATGTATAATATATATATAATATATACATAATATATATAATATATATATATAGTATGTATGTATAATATATATATATATAATATGTATATATATATATACTGTATGTATACATGTCCAAAAATTTTCATCACCAGGTTTTGATTGAATCAACATATACCCACCATTTCTTATTTCCCCGTTGTGTTCCCTTGGCAATTACGAAATGAATGGCTCTGGGTCATCTAGTCATCTGGGGGATCTCCGGGTTGCTGGATGGGTTGCTGGGGGTTGCGATGATGAAATTACTAGGGATGGATTGGATCATTCCCGAACATTCCCTTAGCACCAGTAAGTGGATTCCTACAACTTTTTGAGATTCCATGTTTTTCTTGCTATAAATATTCTCATCATATTCTGAGATTCTGAGAAAATTCCCCAGCCTCGCCGTGACGAATGACGTGCACCACCTTGACCTTCGAAGACTTGCGCTGCTTGATCACCAACCGCGCCATGTTTGATCTTCGCCCGGCGTTTCCGGCGCGCTGAGCTGAGGAAAAAATGGGTCACCGAGTCGTGGTGGTTCTTCATACCGCACCAACAAAATAAGCGAACCTGTGGGGATCGATTCGGCACCAAAACGGACAACATGTTTTTCATGTATTTAAGTCATTGCATGTCAGACTTATTCGACCAGAATCCATGAGCATTCTAGCATTCTCAGTTATTCTCAGTTCCTCACCGATTACATGACCGAATTCACGGATTCTCCTAGCACTGTTCTGCTGAAACCGAACAAAGCCCTGAGTCCCCTGAGTCCTGAGAGAGCTCGACGCCTGCACAAAAAAAACAGCGGCCTTGGGGACGAAGTTAAAAACCAATAGGATCCAATAGGCAATTGATGATATGATGAACATTGTGTATAAATAAAAATGTAAATATGTAAATATTAATCATAAACATGTAAATATGTATCCAATGTAATCACAACTAATTCTGATTAAATTAGTATATAAATAAACATTAATAATGATTAATAGTGAATAATGAAATGATGAAGTTGTAACTGTAGTTCGAAAATGATGATTAACATAGTCACAACTACATTTTGTAATCCCCGATCTTAAAGCAGCAGTATCTATTTATGTAAATGGTGATTTTAAACATCAGAATAAACATAGTTACACACGATGTAAGATCCCCAAATAACACAATGTTCTTACTTTGGGGCACTACCATAGTAGAAACTTTCACTTAAAGGTCCTTTAGCAACTTGTTAAGTGCATATATATATATATATACATAAATATAAAACATCTATCTTTGCCGCTGTTCTATATGAATTTCCTTTTCCAATCTTAGTTCAGCCATTTGCCTTATCTTACTGGTCCGTTTTACGTAGGGTTGCTGGATGGGTTGAAATTACTAGTGATTATGGATCATTCCCGAAAATTCCCTACTAAGCACCAGTAAGTTATTGATATTCCATTTGTTTCCCCCTCAACGACCATCACATGTTGGAACATCTTGGTCTAGGTCCCTGTCCGGCGTCGCACCTTGCAGACTGGGCTCCTCCCTCTCCTAGGACGCTTATTCAATCATCCAAGATGGTTTATAGTAACCCAAAACAAAGCTGAAAAGTATCATCTCTATTCATTTCTCACTATATAACTTAGTCGGGATTCACATGATTTCACTGTTCCATCTTTTTTTGGGTTGCCAACAAAAACCAAGCATCATGGAGTTGTAATTTGTGATTCAACCAGCACACTGTCACTGACCTGGAATCCGGTATATCGCAGCAGGAGAATGGGCCACATAGGGTCCTGGTTGTTAGTATCCCTCAAGAGCCCTCCATAGGGTCAAGGGATGTCAAGGGCGTATGCATATGTGTTCATTATGTGGTTTTTATGACACCGGAATCATAGCGAGATAAACCAAGATATCATAAAGTTTGGATATTTTACCTGTTTGAGGTGGAACAATCAACACATGGCAAATCTTGGATGGCCAAAACATAAAAACAACAAAGCTGGGCAATGTACACAAACACATACTATACTGCATCCAAATTACTGTCATGGCAAACAAACAAACCCACAGTAGTTTCTAAACTACCCAACCGTGGCGTTCCAAAAGATATTTGAACAAATCCCATTCAGAAAAATATGCTCAAATAAGAAAGCCATTCCTCATTTTTGGTGGTCAATTCATCACTTTCACAGGCGCACGTCCGCTTCGCCCCAGCATCATTTCTGATACTCCATGGTTTATTGAAGGTTACTCCCCAATAGTGATAATTAATCTGATACTGAAATGGTACCCCCCATTTTTCAACAGCAATTCTGGGGATTTATTCCAGGGCTGATTCTCAATGGATCGGTTATCACGGGAAAATCTTCACCGGAAACCATCGGATTTTCCCATTTTTTTCTATGGGGTTTTCCGGTTAATTTTTTCCCTTAATTCAATCCATTGATTATTATTAACCACTATTAACCACTATTAAATCACTATTAAATCACTATTAACCACTATTAATCACTATTAACCACTATTAACCAATCCATTGATATTTCTTTTGTTGCTTCAACCGCTAGAGCTTAGCAGCTTTGGCATCCGGACGGCTCGGGCCGCACTCTTCGATGCCATCTTTGGCAAGGAGTCCGAAGTCACTGTCCTCAAAAAGAGATTCTTCTTCGCAACGGTACCCGTAAGCCTTACTAAGCCCCCTTTAAAAGGATGGAAAGTTGTGAACTAGCAAAATAGTGATCATCCAAAATTTTGTGATCATTCAATAGCTATATTTGGCTATATCTATAGCTATATTTAGCCAAACTTTCTATGTTTTTTGGACTAGTCAGATGTGGTGATTTCACTATGAATTTCCATCCGAACCGTCGTGATTTCACCATCCATGGGAGAATTTTTGTGGTGACAAACAGCCGCGACAAACAATGGAGATAACGATAGTTCATATATGCGTTCGCAAAGTCAGTTGATAACAAAATATATAGCAACTATGATATTAGTGCGATGAAATGATTAAATAACTTGTTGTTAGATGGCGTTTTTTTTAACTAATTTACAACGTTCGGCACTGAATGTGGGTTATCCGTGGATTGATTAACATCAGGAAGAATGACAGGATGCCCATCTGTTTGTATAAACATCTTTTTTTGGTGGAAACCGGAAGACTTGAACCAGGTCTGTTTCACAGAAAGACATCAAGCCAACTTGATGCTCCATGCATGGTACATTTACCTACATTTCGGTTGTATGGTGATGATTAATCATATAATTAGGTTAAACCAATTTTCGAACAATATCCATCTGTTTAAGTGAATGGTTATCAGTTTAAAACCACCAGCTCCCAACAAATCTCGCTCTCCTTCGGCCAGCCATGTCGGTCATGAAATCGCAAAAACAAATGCCCGCAGCGAGGATGTAAGGGTAAGTTCACTGGGTTCTCAAGCTGATATGTTTTTGAGATGGCAAAGCTAAGCTGACAATGGAGGCTACGAAGGTGAGGCCCATGTTGATGAAATCGCGTTTCGTTGACTTCTTACAATTTGGTTGACCTTGGATTTCTAGATGATATACCCTCTGGTAATTTAACATAGCTATGGAAAATCACCATTTTTAATGGGAAAATCCACTATAAATGGCCATTTTCAATAGCTACGTTAAATTGCCAGAGGGTATCTATAGTCAATAAATGTTTTCATAGGGCTTAGCAACTTACAACTGAGGGGCCCCACCTTGTAGATAGGTACCAACTCACTGGGCCAAACTTAGAAAACTCCCAGTGAAATTTTCCGAGGTTTTGTCTTGTGACCTCAAACTACAAAGCATTTAAGGCTATATCTATAGCTATATTTGGCTATATCTATAGCTATATTTAGCTTTAAAATCAGCTACATAAACACAATGATCATCGCAATTTGTGATGACGAGACAGGGGCATCTTTGTACCCACTGAGAGCGAAATGGACGTCCGCCAGGTGGATCGATCGACTAAAACCAGGGTTTCAAATGGGACAAAAAATACAGGGGTAGGTACCAGGGATAAATCTACACAACATATGGATGTTTCGAAATTCCACAGAGATATCGATTGCCAGCGATTCCTAGACAAAGTTATAGCTACCCGCAACTTTGGAGATCATTTTGGGATGAATTTGAAGTGTTAATCTCCCAAGCGGTCTAGGATTTCACCATTGGCAACCATCCCAAAAAATGGAGGCCCATCCCCATAGCTTTCCAAAGTGGGAATCTTTTCGAAAATGGCATGGATTGCCAACAGCCTGAACCCAAAAAAGGCCCTGGTGGAAACTCTTTTTGGGTCTTCCTCACAGCAACCCACATTTTTTCCAACTCAAAGGTCACTTTCCGGTGCTTGAACAAATTGCTTTGTGAATCCTACAGTTATGGCCCTCAACAGTTATAAAAGGGATGAAATAATTCCTGCAACTAAGGTTAATTATCACATATATTTCAAATATCATATTTCATATAAATCTATAGCATCACTTAAATGAGGTTATCATTTATTAGGGCCCAAGGCCGTTAAACATTGCACATATTCCCTTTCGACCTCGCTCTTTTTTGGTGACTTCAAGGTCTGCACCGTTGTTGTTCTCCATCTGCGGTCGGCTCGTTCCGACGCAGCATGGTTGTGCTAAGCAACATTTGCACAGCCCAAATGCCGCGAAAAGATGGAAGATTACAGTTATGGTCATTTATTAGCTATAACTGGTTATAAATGGGGTTATACATTCTATAAATGGGGTTATAAGTACTTATAACTGGTAAAGGGCCATAACTGTAGGACCAACAAAGCAGGTGAGGAGATCGTATAAGGAATCAGTCGACAGATGCCGACAGTATTTTGTGTTGGCAATTGGGGATCATAAACCCAATCTTAAGGACGTTTTTTTTGTTTTGCACATGCGAAATCAACAAAATGAAACCACCAACAACCAGCTCTAGCAGCTGTTGTGAAATCTGGTCAACGATCCGTTCCCACCCCGCAATACCAAGGCTTTAACGAGGGGTCGGTCCCACATGTTGGGTTTTCAAATTAGTGAGACGACTCCATTGCCCCGTTCTTTGTCTTGAACATTTCATCCACCATGCACCTGGATCAATTTCATAGTTTATTTATGGAGGTTTTCCTAAGATATAAAGGTGCCCCAAGCATGGTTGATTCAATACCAAGTCATGGTCTAATGATGTGGAGGATGTGGGGTACCCCAATCTATGGAAATCCCAATATGATTCACCAGCTTGAAAAGTTCAGGCGACAATCCGTTCCCCCCCAGGCCCCTGGCAAGTTCATCATTCGGGGCGTCCCGTTGGGAAGTTGCTCTCTCTAAATAATGTATCCAAATGAGCAACGCCTTGTAGAGTCCTCATTGAACCCCCATTGTTGATATACCTAGACCATCCCTTATTGTACCTTTCTAAAGCTACTTTTTTCGAGTGATCCCCACCGTGAAACATTGTCCTGACATAGCTTCTGACATCTTCTGACATACCATCTGGAAGTATATATGGCATATATATATATGTATATGTAAAGCATATTTATTCTGACATTCTATCTGACATTCTTTCTGGCAGATGCTTTGACATTCTATCTGACACTCTATCTGACATCTATTCCGACATACTTTCTGGCATATCTTCTGACATTCTTTCTGGCATTCTATGGTATATCTTCGGAGATGTTTTGTGGTTGAGCTCCGGCGGGGAACACTGCGATCTAGCGCTTGCAGTTGAGGTCCGGCGGAGGAGCAGGAGGAGGAGCGGGAGAAGGCGGCGGGCCAGCCGACATAAAATCTAACCAGCCCTCACCTGACAGGTGGGGAAATTGGGTTTTTAGCCCAGGATTCTTTTTTCATACTTTTACCATGTCTTGGGGGTATTTGGAGGGTCTAAGTATAGTTCTTCCATGTTTTTCCACCATGTCATGCTTTCACTGGTCAATCAACCATCCATTGGTTGCATCTGGGTCCTGACTCGGCGCCGCACCACCGCTGGTGGCGGCAGGCACCTCTCAGTGTGAGCTGATAATTTGGGCCTGGGCCACGGAGAAAGTTCTCCGCTGGTCAACAGTTCACTGAAAGGTGGCGCGGCAGTGTGGAATCGCAAAGTTGGTTTATAAATGACATAACTAAGGCTAAGGTTTGTGATGCTTACAAGTATATAGTATAGCTAGATGGGGTTATATATATACTGGTTGGTGGTTATAACCATATTGAAACATATTAGTCAATGGGAAGGATTATCCCATAAATTGTGGAAATCAAAAGCCATGATTGAAACCACCAACCAGATATAAACCAACCAGCGTAGCTAGGGGGCGCCACCAAGAGTACAATATTCTAATAGAACTGAATTGGGTAAAAGTGGCGATGAACTCATTAGATCCGGCTGGAATGAGCACCACCTTGGGCTTTTTTCAAAGTGGGCGAAAGATGTCAAAAGTCGATTTTCCATGGGATAAACCATGGACCCAGACAGAATATCATCGTGTCAAATAGGTTATTTCATAGTTGGTGAAATCTGGTGTTTGGATGTGTTTAGTTGGTTCAACCCCATTTCAAATCCCTTCTCAACAGCCCCAAATAAAAAACTACCCAGATTCTTCGTTTTGGGAAATTTCAGATGGGCCAATTTGATCTTTTGATTGATCCTTCTTAAAAAACAATTTAAAAAACTAAGGCTAAGGTCCAGTTTGAGGGTTTCACCCCTTAATAACAAAACTAGTCAACACCAGGGTGTTTCTTATTAGGTTCCGTCCTTTACAATCAACAAATTACATGTTCAATTAAGGTTTTCAATTAAATATTAGGGGAACTATTGAAATCCAATTTTGGCAATATGTTATTTCGATTTTTAACAAGAATTCAATCAATTTTGAAATAGAAAGTGTTGGTTCTTTTATTAAGGTGTTTAATAAAACAAAATATTAGGGGACACTTCTGAATCCAATTTTGGGCAATATACAAATTAGATTTTAAACAGTAATTTAAAAGATTTTGAGATAGAAAAAAACTATAGAATCATTTTTATCAAGGTTTAAATTTAAATTAGGGGGAAGCTTTGCACCCTGATACTAAATACCCCCCCAATGCTGGCCCAATACTAAAAACTACCCCTAAGTCTTTTTATTTGGGGGGGAAGGTTTGGTATATTAGGGGGAAGGGAGTAGTACATCAAGCATTTCTGAAGATTGGGGTACCCTAAACCATTTGGTTTCCCTTTGACAAAAAAAACAAATTTGGGTGATGTTGGGGTTCCCCATTTTTGAACCCTCCATCTCCATTTTGGTGCTCCAAAAACTGTAAGTTGGTTCATAAACACAAGACCATCAAACTATAGATCTCTCGTGATATGTATGTATGTATATATAAATATATAAATGTGTATATATATATATATATAATGCACATATATGTACATATATGTATACGGATATTCACAATAGACCCCAACTAACTTACTCATGGCTAAGTAGGGTGGCATCGCATTTCTAGACGAATATAGATTTGGAAAACCGATGAACCATCCTGAGGACAATGATCTACAAATTATGGATTTTCCATAATGGTGGGTGTCTTGCCTTAAGATGCTGTTGCTTTGCCCAACAAAATTAGCTGAATCATCCTCATATGTAGAATCCCTACAGTCTTGACTGGATTGCTTTCTGGGAGAGTACAGTATACAGGAACCCGCTAGATCAACACGATTGCAATGAATTGATATATATATATATATTGAATGCATCCATTCTCACTGCTAACACATCCCATTATTCCTCATCAAACAGTACACTACTTGGTGCTGGTGTTTGCTGTGCTGCTGAATTCTGCTGCTCAAATGCCATCATTCTTTCAACAACCAGAAATGGTGGATCCATCAAAAAATGGTTGGTTTATCATGGGAAATTCCATCTATAAATGGATGACTGGTTGGTCCAGTTGGTGGTTTTTTGCCACCCCTCTGAAAAATGATGGACTTCGTCAGTCAGTTGGGATGATGAAATTCCATTCCCAACTGTTTCTGGAAAGTCTAATCAAATTCCATGGTTCCAGTCACCACCAGATGATTTTTCTGGCTAGCTGTCGCTCCATTTTTCCTGGGAAAGCTCCAAAACACCAACCAACAGCGACCGCTACCGCCCAACACCCAGCGGCGTTCCGCAGATCTTCCGCCAGCTGCGCCAGCTCTCGACCCAGGTCCTGGCCACGGTGGAAGTTTCACCGAACAGCTGAGAATTTCATGGGAACAAACGAACAGATTATATGGTTATGAAACTATGGTGATCATATATATATAGTTACATGCTACTTATTATATGGTAACTATTGGTACTATATCTAATCTAAGTTATATGGTTGAGTATATGTTTATCATATATAGTAAGTATTATTACATCGAATCATAACTGTAACTATGGTTGTACATGGCCAATCAGCCAGATACCCTGCAAACCTGAGAAATTTCTTAGCTGGTGAATGTAGATAATTCCATTGATACCAAAAGACTTGGTAGGATTAATTTACCCATCCAAGATTGACCTAGATTTCATGGGAACAGACATGGGATTTCATGGGATTTTACGAACATTGGGCATGGTCCCATGGTTACCTAAGTTGGTTTAAAATCTGCGGTGGGTTTATGGTGATGAAATATATAACTAGATCGTTGGATAGGGGATGATAGGGGTATAAACCAATTTACAGCCAGGGACACCAGCTTGTGCTTAAATTGAATTTCAGAAACAATAGGTGATTGAATGGGCAAGCATGGTTATTTCGGCCACAAGATCCGGATCGCAGCAACGAACATGTGTGGATTTGACATGATTTGACACTCAAAGATACAGTACTTCTGGATTTGCCAAACATTTCATGGAAGGAGGAACGTCACCAACAAAAACAAGGTCTGTAATGCCAACCCCGGATTAATAAACCATGGTTTACTAATTAGGGGGGTACTCCTCCAATAGTCATAATCTAATACTTAAATGGTACCCTCCCAATTAAACAGCCTAGGGGTTTATTAATCCAGGGTTGACATTATTAGCAAAACATCGAAGTATCAAACTAGCCATCCAAGGAGGATCCAGTACATATCACCGAACATTAATCCGTCCATTCGTACTACTGTACTCGCTGAATTCCACTTGTTTTCCAATGTCGACTTATTAAATCCCCGCAAAACAAAAAAACATTCATCTTTCAATTCCTTGCGAACACAAATATCTATCACCTTAGCAAAAAAAAATAACTGACCCTCCGGTTATTTAACAGTTTGACTATCGAACTCGCCTCCTGCACCTCTTTCCGACTCTTTGGGCTGGCCTTGGGGCCATGGCTTCTTTGTTATCTGGTGAGTAATTGGGGTATAACTGGGATTAACCGGCTTGAATCCGAGCTTATATCCGAATTTCCTGATTGAACTTGCATGTCTTGTCTTTGATGCTTGATCTTCAGCCAAACAATAACACAATGACACATTTCATTTCAAGAACCAACTGCTTTTTCTTAATGGTGTATCTCAACATATATGTATACTACATATATATATATATACACTCTATATGCACACACACTGTAATTATGTGTCTATACCTGCAAATATATTTATATATAATTGTATAATATCATGTATATACATATAAAGATAGGTGTATGTATAATTATGTACAAAGAAACACTGCACGCTAGGAATATGAGGACAACAAGCAGCGTCTCCATATTTACAACCGTTGGAGAATCCTCGGTGGCTTTGATGATTTTGATCCAAGACCAAGTGTGCTGGGAACATCTGGGAACACTGGGAACCTGCATTGATGTCTTTCTCGGAAACATAAAACACAGCCGCAAACATGCAAGGTGGGGCCCCCTGGCTAAGTTGAGCAACTTGATTAGGGGTCATGGAGGATACAACTACCGAGGTGATCCTCTGGTTATGGCTGACATAGCCAGCTTTTGGCCAAAGGGGCTAGTTCGATGAGAAAAACATGAAGATTTCATGTGGGTAAAACAATGCCATGTTTACCATCCCCCAGGAAAATCACCATTTTTATAGGTGGTATAAACTTACCATTCCCAGTCCTGGCTGGTTTATTATTACTATTTTACCCACATTAATAGGATTTTCCATGAAATAAGCCATCCATATTCCACTTTAATAGGATGTTCCATTCGATATCATTAGACCATCCAGTTGACAATAACTGGTTGGTGGTTTTAACATGTTTTAACCATCTTGAAAACTATTAGTCAATGGGAAGGATTATCCCATATGTATATATATATATACATATTATGGAAAATAAAAAATGTTTGAAACCACCAACCAGATAACTATGGTGATTGTCAACTTCGCAAAGCGCTCGCCATAACCAGCGCATTAAACACCACCGGGAAGATCACCCTCTGAGCCCAAAAACTGACAAGGGCGAGTCCAATGTCCTGGTGCCGGGAAAGCCTGGTGATATGGTGTATACCAACTATGTCATGGGCGTCTCATGTTTTTCTTTTAGAGGAAATGGTGAAACAAACATATATATAGATAATATATAATATATAATATAATATAATATAATATAATATAATATATATAAGCATATAATTCGCATCTAAGTTGGGAAGTTATTTTCCACTTGTATGGTATATACATCTTATCAGATTTTTCTGTGCGTTTGGGCGAAAAAACAGGGATCCAGCCCAACATGACAAGGAGGACCATCCCCTAGATGATCCAAAAAAAAGCCTCGGTCACATGACGCAACTTACCCTCTGGTAAACCAACGTAACTATGGAAAATCACCATTTCTAATGGGTAAATCCACTATAAATGGCAAATGTAAGCAAGAATTGTTAAGCATAATAATTGGGTATTAACTAGCTAGATCATGGATATTGATATGATAATTACTCATAATTACCCGGGATAATTACTCATAAGTACTCGGGATATGGTCATAGATCATGGATATTGATATGATGAAAACACTATATTACCCTTTGATGAAAACACTATATTACCCTTTGGTAAACTAGCATAGCTATTGAAAATGGCCCCCGTGACATATATTCAGTGAACAGTGAACATCCCAATCTGGATACATCAAAATCATTGACCATCCTGAAGAAAAGCGAGCCCGTGCCCAGCATCCGCAGAACACGACCAAGCTGACGATCATCACTTGGTTAACATAGGGCGTGCGGAAGATATGACTAGAGTAACTACCGTTCATCAGGTTTAGTCTACAAATATGTGTATAAACATATTGCATGTATATATGTATATATGTGATGATAATAATATAAATAACAATAATATTATAGTTAAGATCAATAGTTAATAATATCTTATAACAATAATTCCTATTATGATATAATAAGATCAATAGGAATAACAACAGTTAATCTACAAAGCACCAAACATGGCCGGGGATACCCCGCTCCTCGGCCTCTCTGCCGCGCCCTTGGGGCTTCCATTCGGAGGCTCCGAAAGCACGGGGGTGGCCCTGGTGCGATCGAAGAACAACGGTATAAGCCATGGACCATCACTACCTATAGTTCTATAAGTATTCTATATATATATATATATAACATTTTCTACTATTAGTGCTATAGTGATTATGATGATTATTATTGCTATTAGTGTTAGTTATGCTATTTCTTTGAGGAAACAAATATAGTTTTATAAGTTTCATTGACTATAGTTATATTACAAGTATCATAAACCACATAGTTATTATATGTTTTTTATAGTTATATCAACTCCAACTTAGCTTCATTGGCCCACTTCGTGGAGATCTCCAAGGAGAACGATGGCTGGTTGAACCATTGAAGCTGCAAAAAATGATGGATTTTTACCAAGAAATCATGATTTGACAAAGACTTAAATTGCAGTCTAAGCTAGAACGTGTGTCATTGAAACATATTTAAACCACAAACATGGTAGTTTAACCTGCCAAAATGGTGATCGAAGAAGCACAAATGATGCTTTAAGCTATCAAAGTGGTGGTTTAGCCACCGAAAAGCATTGGTGACACCCACAAAACTCTGAAAACAAAAACACATGGTGATAATCATGTCACCAGCCTACATGGACATATGAAACAAGAAACAACTGGTTGAATGCCAATTCCATCATCACAAGAAAGGCCGGCAGTCCGGCAGGGTGTAGAATTGAAAGGTGGTGCACGCCAGAGTGATGGCACGAGTGACACTGATGATAATCAGAAGTAGAAATTCAACAACCACCTGCAGCATCCAAATCCGTGCAATTTTAACGAGTTTCCGCTTTTCAGGTTTCTTAGGTCACTTCAAGGTTTTGAAGAATTTTTCAGCGACCGGCTTCCACCTAGAACTGAGCCATTGGAAAGATTTTACTGTTACTTAATCGGAATCATGGACATAAAGGGTTAGCCGGTTAGCCATTCATGGTCAAACAACCTATGGGGAGTTCGCCGCCCAAAATCCCTCAGTTTTTGACTGGTTTGTGGCGAATTCGTGCAGCTTTGTGGCAGGTAAAGTCAGGTGTTGTTTTTTTTCTGATTTACGGTCTCCAACTTATAGGCCAAAGGTGCAAGGTCGTCTGGGAGGGAAACAAGATGCGCACAAGGATTGCGCCGAGGTAAGCTTGTGACATTAGGGTCCGGAAGTAAAGTACGCAATTTTTGTCAAAATCATGACCTTGAAAAGGGGTATGAGCGTAAGGGAAAACAATTGCTGCATTGCATTTTCACACATTTTCCAGGAGACTTGGTGAACTTAGGCGTTTTGGTTAATTTCTAGGGAAATTCCACAACATATCAGTTATACACTGAAAAAATCTAGGAGTTGGATGGTGGCATGACTATATCAACTCATAAGAATGCAACCAAAATATGTTATATTAGACTTAGGTAGTTGACGCTAGTTGCCGCATTTTGTCGATTCATCGTGATCAAATCACAGTGTCATCCTGCAATGCGGCATATTGGAGGTCGTTACTTGCATGACTCTGAAAATGCACCTTCTCTAACGGTTAGGCCAAAATGTTTCCCAGGAAATTCACAGATCTTTGTTAGTTACCATCTGGTTATTTAACATAGCCATAGAAAATCACCATTTGTAATAGGTAAACCATCTATAAATGGACCATTTTCCATGGCTATGTTAAATAACCAGATGGTAAATCCCCATGTTTCAAACAGCCTTTCTCAGTGAAAAAATACCCTTAGTGAATTCCCATATTCCCATGGTTTCTCAGTTAACCCATGACATCACCATCGTTTTAGGGTTCGATCCCATGAAATCACCGTATCTGAGGCTGCCGCGAGATGAGATGTCTGTATGGACTCTTTCCAACAGGCATTTCAGCCTACAGCATGAGGTTCCATCTAAGTACCCTTGGGTGACATCAAACATGATACTCCAACTCTAGTGGACCATGTATACCCTCTGGTAAATAACGCAGTTTTACATGGTTACATGGATCAACATTGCGATTTAACCAACAAAAAAGTGACTAATCCAACAAACATGTTTGGATACGGATAATAGGCAAAATTACCATATTGTCCACATAAATCCAGATCAATGGGGATATCATGAGATATTAAGTAGCAGGGAAATCCCCGCAATGGAGGTCTTTAGCTGGGATAATCATCGGACTAAATCAGGATGTTCCAGTCATCTTTGATGACGCTGGAGGGTGGTCGATATCAAGGGGATTCAACCAAGTCCCAGTGTTCATATCAGCCCTCAGTAATTTACGTTTGCGCTTACTAGGGGGGGGTCTCTTTTTTTGGGGATTGGTGGAATCCCCATGATCATGTAAAGAAGTGAGGCATCATCCAATATATGACTGGACTATGGCTGTTGTGGGCAATTCCGATCCATGCTCAACCCCACACCATTATGATTGGGATCTTTACTCATGTCTAATACAGAATTGAGATCTCGCCAAGCATGGATTCAATTCAGAAACCAATGGCAAGCCTAAGTGATCTTATTGCTGGTCCCAACCCCTGCAACAACACACACACACACGCACACACATTGTATCTCCGTTGTATGTATCCCCATTATATCCCTTGTATCTCCCCACTATGTCAAACCACTTATATCCCCATGATATATCCCGATGACAATTCATCGAAACAAAAACAATCATCTGATTTTCGCGAGTTTCCAAAAATCGAGAGACCCAGTTCTCATCTATTATTTTTGTTAGGGATTTTCCATGAACTAAAACCACTGAACCATAGGATTGTCCATGAATCTCATCCATTTTAGTAGGATTTTCCATGAACTAAATCACTGAACCATAGGATTTTCCATGAATCTCATCCATTTTAGTAAGATTTTCCATGAACTAAATCAGTGAACCATGGGATTTTCCATGAATCTCATCCATTTTAGTAGGATTTTCCCTGAATTGAACCATCCATCCATAGGGATCTCCCTATGGCATATGGAAACCAACGGAAACAACGCCGCCGCCGTGCCGCACCTGCGCGGATCCGTTGGCACCCTCCGTGACGCTACGCGCGTGGTGCACGGGATCCGGGAGATCCGTGGTCCTGGGGATCATCTCAGAGGTCAAGAGGAAAATGTGGAAAATGGCCATAGAAATAGTTGATTTTCCCATTAAAAATGGTGATTTTCCATTGTTATGTGGCTGTTTACCAGAGGTTTATAACTCCAATAACCATCGTTTATGGTACTTAATGATGCAGTAGTTATGATTAATGGATTAGCTAATGTACTACAATATTAGTATAATTAGCTGATTAATGGACAAAATAATGTAGTTATGATTAATGGTTTATAGCGTTCAGTTGGTGAACATAACTCCAATAACTATCGTTTATGGTACTTAATGATGCATGATTAATGGTTAATGATTAATGGTTAATGGTTAATGATTAGCTCATAACTATAGTTAATGGTTCCAATCATTACAATGTGATCACCACTTATCACCAGTTATCAATTTTTGTGGGATTTATCTTTTGTGGGATTTCTCCAATTTTGCGGACAATGGTTGGGTCAAAACCCTCACCCTTTCACCCTTTCATCGGAAGCAATCGCTCAGAAGGCGGAGTCGATTGCTCGCCCCAAGAAACGTATCTAGGTTACCATGTACCCTTTTGGTACGTCTGCCATGTCACGTGAGATCTGTCTCACTGGCTGGCATCGCACCTCTCTTCGATAGAAGTTGTCGACCGCAGTAAGTCTTTGTTCAGTGATCGCCACACGTAGGCATCCACTCCAGAAAGCCAGCACTGTGCTGGCTGGCCGACGCTGGTCAGTTTGAAGTGGGTGTTTGATCCCTTTCGCCAGGTTTTGCAGGAACCTTCCGAACATCTGCACTTGTCTGGGATAATCGTACATGACGTCGATCCCTCTTGCCGTCCATTTGTTTCCATGGGTGTAGGGGCCTATACGGCCGGTCTGCTGCTGATAGTCAACCAAAAGTTGATGGTACGAAACCCATGCTGTTCCTCCAGCGTCGTCTCGTAGAGAGCGTGCCCATTGAAGGATGTGATGGGTTTCCTCCACCTGCAAGTGTTTAGGGAAGTCTGTCACCTCCGCCATTGTTAGAGCCAAAATTCCTGTATCAACACCTGCGGCTGTTTCAACATGTACACCCTTTGGGATTGTGACCTTGTTGTTCACCGTCGCAGCTTGCGCACGAAGACCTATTTGAACAAATAGTTGGTGGAGGGCGTTCCCTTGCTTGAGTGTGGTATGTTGGTGAGACCTTACCTTTTCCAAACATTGCCAGAAATCAGAGCTGAGCCTCTGACGTGCCTCTGCTGCAAAAACATCGGCTGCAATGTTACCTTGGACGGCCCACGCATCCAACACTGTGTCCTGGTCAAGTGGCCGTGCATGAGCTTGGACTTTATAAGCTGCTTGGAGAAACGGCTTGGCATGACGAAACTGTTCAAACAACTGAAACCACAAATCATCGTCTTGTTTCTTTTCCCAGTTGGTTGAAAACCCTTGGATCCAATGATGTATGGTATCTTGGACATTTTCGTTGTCAAACCAAAGCCGTGTGGGCTTGTGCTGGTCTGTGCTGTATTTCAAAGCTGCTACTGCCGCTAGAATTTCTGCACGCAGGCTGGTTTGTCTCCAACCCGGAACTAGGCCACATGCAACTCGGCGGAATTCATTACCATCCCAACAAACTACGGCCCAACTAGCTACCCTGGTATCAGTTTCTGTTGGATGCACACAGCTTCCATCAAGGAACAAATCAAGGTAGGGGAGCCTCTGTCCATCGGCGACAAATGAAAACTCTGCAGTGGTGTCAGGGAAGTGCATATAGAACTTTCTCAGTGTGTCAAGGTCTGGTGACTTAGGCAACCAACCATGGCATGCTGTGCTAGCGCTTAGCTGGTTATGGTCAGGCAAGTTAGGGAGTTGGTCTCTCAGGTCCTGAAAGAAACTACATTCCCATGTTCTGTGGTGAATGCTATCTTTGTGATTACAAAAACGGCAAGCATCTGTATCTACTACTCCTGCATGGCAAAGTGCGTCGTTAGTGTACTGTGTGCCATTCATGGCACATCGCATGAGACCTTGCTGGTCATCTGGGATGGTGGCCATGGCTTTAAGGGTCAGGCGTACATCTGTGTGTGCAAGGCCTTTCATCGTGGAACGCATGGCTTCCACAGTGTTCAAAACCCTCTGCTGCCACGCAAGGATGATTCTTTGTTTCAGTTCAGCTTTTGGGGCGTGCTTGATTCTGATGTGAACTCCGTTCTCATCAAGACACACGTCGCCATGACTCCAGCTCCAGGCAAGTTTGTGTATGGCTGCAAGGAAACTTGTACAAGGTCCTTGGGATGTATTGCCACCTTCTGTCAGGTGCTGGAAAGCGAACTGTGCGAGATCAAGATCTGCATGGTTTCGGAATGCCATTACTGTGGAAATTACACTAAACAGCTCTGGGTCTGCCATGGGGTTACAGATACATGCCAATTGTAGGTCTGGGTTGGCTCCAGTTTGGTTACAATGCAATGCTCTGGCGCATTGCGATCGCAGTTTTTGGAAGTGGTTTGATCCCAAGGTGATAGTGCTAATGCCGTAGAAAATGTTTGGCCATGCTGACACGTACAGAGCCCTTACTTTCTGCTTCATTGGGGCAAGTGACCGGGCCAGTCTGAACCAAAACGGATTGAAGTCTTTGATTTTGTCTTGAACAGTCATGTTGGTTTTCAGCTTGGAATAGCACATGTGCCCCCCCAAATCTCTGGCGAAAAGCTTTTTATGGAATTGACTGTCCATGATGGTTTTGCGTCCGGCTGGGGATGTACTCCAGGCATATGTTTTACATGGATCAATGCTCAAATCCATAAGGTCACAAAACTCCCCCAGTGCTTCAAGGGCTGAGATGGCTGATTCGGCTGAGTCGGTGGTGGCTTCAATGTTATCAACAAATGACCACAGTCGGACTGATGGGTATCGATAAAACATCCAAAGTTCAACGGTGATGTTGGCAACCACCATGCTCACAACTGAAAGTGCGCACCCTTCCGGATACCCTCTGTTGCTAGGCAGTGGCCTACCTACGGCTCCTCGGACTTGAAATCTACGTATCATCTGCTTTAGGGCTTGTTGCCATGGTCTCATGACTCGGTCCGGTATGCCCAGGTGTTTGGCTATCTCTGACAAGGGATGTCTAGGAAGGGCATTAAAGCACTTGACAATATCTACTACTCCCCCGGCCTGTTCAGCTGGGATGCAGTATGAATGTTCAATCAGGAGTTGGATGTGGTACCAAATCTTCTGGGGGCATCTGCCAGGGATGTTTCCCATAAGTGTGGTTGGCACCAGGTTCATGAGGTATCTAAGGCATTGGCGGGCTCTGATGGAGCTCCAAGCTCTGTACACCATGGGAAAAATGCAAATTGGCCTGTACTGGCCCACCGTCTGGGCAGTGGGGGTTTTGGCTAAGGCGGCAACCAAGCCCGTCACTGATTGTGTTGGCCAAGGAGCTCCTACTTCTATGCACTCAAGCATGGAGACCAGGTCTGCTTTGGCAACTGGTGGCATACGCAGGATGTCTTGTTTGGAGACTCCGTCCGGTCCAACGGCTGCAAATTTGCGTTTGGATGCTACAACCTTAGTAAGCATTTCCACTGTGATGGGAGGAAACTCTACTGTTCTTGGTGGCATGACATGCTTCATGAAGTTAACAATTGTACCCCATTGGGATGGATCTTCATGTTCAGGCTTGTACCATCTAGGGGCCCATTCTGCTTCGAAGGCTTGGAGGATTGTGTTCACATCGGCTTCGACTTTCTGGATGGTGAGGCCTGCCATGCATGCCTCTGCACTTGCTGCTGGTAGCTGGATGTGGTGCGGGTCTACGATGGTAATGGCAGTGGGAATGCCATTGATGGCTACACTGTGCATATTCTGGGGCATCGGCGTGGCAAGTTCAAGTTCAACCTGATCTTCATCTTTGTTGTTCGCATCAAGGACTTGGATGCGATCGGAAACTACTATGGTCTGAACCGGCTCGGCTCTTTCACGCTGGAGGTCTCGGTAGATTTGCAATGGGTCTTTGGCTCTCCTTTGTGCAGCATGGATGTATTTGGCTTTGGAAAGGCTGGCTTCCAATGCTTTGTACTGTGCACCAAATTCAGTGTATACCGCATTGGCAACTTCAAACTGCGGTGGGGTGCGAGGCAAGTACACAGGTGAATCTATGAATGCTTTCGGGAGCTTTGCCCACCATGTGCAAAAATGGCCATCGAAACCAACAGCCTGCAGGATTTTCCGCCAAAGGCATGCTTTGTGTTCCATGACGCCGTTGGTGCACTGTGATCCAGCGCATCTCGTGTAGTGCTGCAGGCGTCTGATCTGCTTGGTCCATCGGCTGTATTGCAAAGAGCTGGTGGCCAGGAGGCTTTGTACATCCCCTCTACGGTTGGGCTTGATGGGTGCTATCTGCTCTTGTGTCCATTTCACTTCCGTGGTGGTGCCCCTGCCAAGCTGGTTGCTGGTAAGGGGCGGCTGATTGTTGGCTTGGTTCCAGGCACTCGCATACTGTTCAACATTTCCCCAAATTTCCCGATACCATGCATTGGTGTCTGTGTCAGGGTTGGCATGTTTGTCCCAAATGATGTCGTGATTCGGTTTTTCGGGCCATGATATCTGTGTTGGCTTTCGCCACATTGGAATCATGGGAGGCCTGTCAAGATCATCCAGGTGGACTTGAATGATTGCATGGTCGGTGAACATCGACCAGTCAAGCTGTACATCTTTGACATAGGGCAATATCTCTGGCGACAGGTAAACATAGTCTTTGACTGTGGTCTTTCGGCAGGTGGCCAACGGTGTTTGCGACCATCTCCATTGGGCGAAAACCTGTGCTTCCATCCACCCTTTTGCCTCCCATTGGTCAGCTTGCGGGATGTTATGACGTTCTTGGTTCCAGTCCCCTGTTACTACTCGCAGGCCATGTGCTCCATCCACTACACGGCTGGAAAGGCCATCCAGAAGAGAACATGTCTGTTGCTGGGTGTCGAGACAATGGGATCTTTCGCTGAAGCCATATACAGTGCCTACTGTGATCCATCTTTTTTGCATGAAAACTGCTGAAACATGGCATCGACCTGATTGGTATTGCTCTGGCGTCCAGTGATGTTCCACTGGTCTGCATGGATATGGGGTTAGGACTCCTGTCCCTGTGTGGCGTCCCCCAATGGTTCTTACTGAGTCATTCTTTGGTGGAGCAGGGTGACCATGGTAAAGTCGATACCCCGTTTTGCACCAGGCAAGTTCTTGTTTGAATCTACGGATGCCCTGGCTGGTTAGATGAGACTCTTGGAAAGTATACAAGCCTGAAGGCAATGTCGCTATCTCGGAGGCTTTCCCCATGAGGCCCGTAGGATTCATGTTGCCAATCACTGGCCCTGGTGTTGTGGCCTCTCCCGGCCGGAACGATGTGGCAAAGAAAATGATCAACATGACCAAAATTTTGAACTTTGTGGTCACCGGTTGTGACACTCGGTTGCATGCGGATGTCCTGACCCTAGGCTGCGGTTGCAGCCAGCTGTGCATTTTGGCCAGGCCATAATTAACTGTGGGCCCTAGTCACTCAAAACGCGACCGCTTGCAGAGCAGCTGCTCTATGCGGTCCATTTGTTCTGACATCCTCTCATCGATTTTGTCCCCGAGGACTTTGCTTTGGTGGTCAATCTGGGATTGGAGCATGTTCACCTTGCTGTCCATGCCTGCCTGCATATGTTGGACCTGATGAAACTTGTTCTCAAGTTCTGTGATTCTTGACTCGATGTTGGATGGTTCCATTGATGTATCCCCCTCTGAGCTCTTGGCAATCGACTGGAGCTTCTTCTCCAGGTTGGCTTCCCAGGCAGCAAGTTGGGCCTGGGTCACTGGTTGGCTTGGCTGATTGGCTGATGGCTGCCTGGTGGCCTGTGTGTTCGGGGGTCCATCTTTGCGCCACGGGTCATAGTTTGCCCAAGGGTCTGGGCCTTGCAGATGTTCCATGGTCTTCTTCGAGGCCACGATTGAGTATGGCATTTGCGTCGGTGTCGGCTTTGTGTCCTGGATTTTGGACACCAAGACATCTCCATGCTGCAGTGAGTAGACCCAATGTCCAGGATCTTCTGTTGCTTGGATATGCCAGGTGACTCCTGATCCATCTTGGGCCCGGCCTTTTGGCTGCAGGGGTTTTGCTTCCCATTGCCATGCCTTCAGCAACTTGTGCAAAGCTACCTTGGTGGTAGAGTAAGGCAATGGTCCAACTGCGTAGAGCATCTTGGATTGGCCCATCAACAGCGGTGTGTTGGGTCTGTGCTTGTCATGGATCTGCTGTGCGTTCATGACATCACTGCGGAGACCGAAACGTTCTCCATGGCGTGCCAGTGTTGTCGCCTGGGGCGACGTTTGTTGAGCATACTTGGCATCCTGAAAGGTCATGTTGCTGAGCCATGTCACATGATAGCTATCGTTGGGATATCTTCCGCAGGGTGATCTCGGTTCCCAATAGATTCCGCTTTGGCCACTCTTGGTCAGGAGCAACTCACTTTTGTCGGCAATCATTCTGAATGAGAAGACAAAAATATCCGCACTGGCTGGCCGGACCTTTTCAAATTTCTTGGAAACCCACTGCCGATCCCATACGTCTATGACTGGGGAAACATTGTCAACAGCTTCCAGTAATGGTTCAGTCGAGAAGACATGTTTGACTGGGTGTTGTTGGATTTGGTCCCATAGTTTCCCAGCCTGATCCTTGAAGATTAGGCATCTCATTGCTTCGGTTGCTTGCTCTTCGATGGCCAGTTTCACTGCTGGCTCATGGCGTATCACTGGTTGTGATCCCAGCTGGTACATGTAGCCTGAAGCAATCAGTGGTTCCTGAGTTGAGACACACATGGCTGGGAACCGCACTGGCTCGGTCTGGTGCTGGTCGGTGTTGTCCTTGGTGGCGAGGACGATCACAGCAAGTCCATGTTGGGTGACCGGTGTGGGTAGTCTCAGTGTTGCTTGACAATCAGCTTGGTCAACCAGCAAGACTCCCATTGCATTCGGACCTACGTCTCCTACTTGCAAAGGGCCAAGGACAGTGTTGTCCTGTTGTTTGAATACTCCATGTGGCACCATGAGTTCCGCAGCTTGCACTGTGATCGACTCCTTGGAATCTTTGCGTCTGGAGGGTTGTTTTTTCCCATACTTTCGGTGATTGGCACGGTTCGCAATCTGGGCGTTGAGTTCATCTGGCATGATGAGTTTGAATTGAGGCTTGACCCCGTTGGCTGCAGCTTTAAGGTCTTGCCATGGCCGTGGTGATGACAAGATGTTTCGGATGCTAATGGCAGGAATTGCATTGGCAATCGCTTTGGCTCGATCACCTGATCTTTCTGGCCATACCCCATGTTGGTTGAGGAGGTCGGTGAGCTGTTGCATTTCTTGGGCATCTAGCTTGCTGCCTCCGATGTCTAGGTGATTCACCACCTCATGTCCTGTGCCTCGCTTGCAAAGTTCTCTGACAAACAGGTGTCGCCACTGTGCCGCCCTGGTGGCTGTCATGGCTTCAACTTGAAAATCATTCAGCACGGCAATCAACCAGGCAATGGACTGAAACCCGCAGTCTCCTGGGAATTCGGTGGGCAGGAGACGTTGGCTGACTTCCAGGGTTTTCCCCAGGCCTTTCGCTATGTTGCTCGCTGGTTGAATCAAACATGACCCTTCCGGTGTTGTAGAGAACTTGATGATGTTTCCCTGGTGTACAATGATGACTGGGATCCAATGGTAAGCAACTATATGGCAGCTGAACACCATGGCTTGTCAGTTGCATGAGCATGCATGCCGATCATGAGCCACTCCGCAGCTTTTCCACTGGCATCAGTTTCATTGGGGAAACAGTCAGGGGGAAATGGGTATGCTTGATCATCGTATTGAGTGGCTTCCAAGTAGTAGGCCATTTCATCTCTGGCTACCCATGCTTGCTGGCGTCACAGCGCCTCAAAGCGAGTGCTAGGCAGTCCTAGGCTGAGCTTCGGCGGTGTTGCTGAGTACTTGGTACTGAAGAACGGACATTTGAGGCTTTCTGGGAGGGATTCATGCAGTACCACATACTGTTCAGCATGCAACACTTGATCTAAAGGCAAGTGGGTACCTACAATGGATCTTGGTGCAATTGGCAATGTCATGGAGTTCAATGCGGCTTCAGCGACTGTGATCTTGCCTGGCGTGGCATCAGTGGCAACCTTGTATGGGATTGGATACCTGGCATCCGCATGAAGGACAAACACTTCCATGGTGGCACGTTCATTGTTGGCCAAGGCCTCACATTGTGCTTCTTCATCTGGTGAGTTCTGCTCGTCCACCGGATCATGGGGAAGGGTGGGGCCCCCACACCCTAAGCGTGGAAGGGGCATGGCATCGGGTGGAGTGGGGGAGAGGGCTAAGTCTTTGGATAAGTGCAGTTCAAGTTCTTCACAGTGGACATTTCGGTTTGCCTCATCATTCTCTGGCGGCAAGGCGCTTTGCTGTTCTGACACTTCTGGATGACTTTTGCCCATCTTGCTCGGAAAGTTGGCATGGTGTGCAGGACCCTCTTGGATGATCTGATGTTCTTGGGGGGGGCCTCCACACCCTAAGCGTGGAAGAGGCATGGCAACATGGTGGGGATGGGATTGGTTGGCATTCTCATTATCTCGGCTACCTCCAAGAGCTTGGGTGGTCTCATGCATTGGGGTACCTGCAAAGCTTCGTACTGCATCAACATGTGGACACTTCGGCCTGTCTGCTACTGGTGTTACATGTTCATGAAATGGGGCGGTCTTGCACTCTGCATGAACCTGGGCTTGGAGACCTGACTGCTGCATCATGAAACTAGGGACCGGCACGACTGGGACATCAGGAAGGCTGCTGGCAAACCCTGACGCGCTTGTTTTCTTGTTTGCAAAGGCCGGTACACCACTCCATCGAGTGGGGCTCATCGGATGCGGAGCTGCTGTTGTCGGTACACCACTCTGGTGAGTGGGGCATTGATCTTGTTTCGGGCGGTGAAATTCGCTGGCTCGGTCTGCAAGATGCTCAGGCTCGTTTCCACTATTTCCACTGCGGTCATGTTTCTGTGAGTTTCGAGATTGGATCAAATGGCTGAGTTCTGCAGAATCCTCAGTCGATGTGTCCCCTGCATGTTGTTTCGGCTTCTCGCATTGGGAGGGGCCTCCACACCCTAAGCGTGGAAGAGGCATGGCTTGCAAAGGGGTGGGGTGGGTTGTCACTGGCTGCACCTTAGTCCGGGCACCTCTTGGTGGGCATGATCCTGGTTCATGTGACACTGCATCGATATGAATGAAGCTAGCATGAACTTCTGTGCTCTTGGTTTCTGATTCCAACTGCATGCCATTGTTCTGCCATGATTTTGTTCATCACCTTCGAGATTGATTCCATTCATTTGGGTGGGGCCTCCACACCCTAAACGTGGAAGAGGCATGGCATGGGGGACATGGGTTGGTGTTTCAACAGGATTGGTAGAATCTTCATGTTGATCTGCATTGAGCAACACATGATTGTCAGCTGGGTCTTGTTTCGGTGGAATCATCTCAGCCTGGGCAAGACGTGTCTTTTTGGCACGCATGTTCTGAAAACCATGGACTCCACCGTCTTGATGTGCTGTCAAACTGTCTTCATGTTGTCCATTGGACATTTCACTTGCAGGTCGCTTGGTTCCTGCAGATGGATTGGGTGACGTCACTAGGGCACCTCCTTGGCTGGCAAACTTCGGCGAAGGCATCTCCGGTGGCGGTGGTGCATCTTCTCGGAGTTCTTTGGCCTCAGTGTTGGGGTGTGCTGTCATGGTCTGATCGACCTGATGTTGGTAGGATTCCGGTGTGAACTTGGGTGAACTTGTAGGCTTTGTGGCAAAAACTCTGGTTTGGACAAGTTTTCGGAAATGGACTGCATTTGGGTTACTCTGTGGCCCAAAGAAATCATCTCTGCTGTCAAGGACTCTTTCCATCCAACTGAGCAAATTGGTATGTGGATCAATGGTTTCTTCGATGCCTTGAAGGGTCTGGATGTGTCTCATGAGCAAGGAACCTACCCATGTCGACTGGATCGGTGATGCAAGCTGGCCGAGTGCACAAAGGGACAACTTGTGTTCATCTCCCCATGGCATGTTGGGTAACATTCCATTCATCAGTGCAAGTTCAGCTGGGTGTACATGGCGATAACATGGATATGTATTGGTGCCACATGTCATGAAACCTTTGAGACGTACTAAGATCCCATGAAGCCCCTTTTTTGCCAGCCTGTCATCATGAAATGCAAACTGTCGGCAGCCACATGGGCAATGGGCAAGTTGGCTTCCGCAGGAATGAAGACTGGTCTGCATTTGACCCTTCCACGGCAGTTCGTTCTTCTCAAAACCATGGGCTGCAAAACGGCCCAGCTCATACAAATCCAATGCAAGCTGCTGCAACTCTGATTCGGTGCACTCTCGAAATTGGTCTAGCAAGTCAGCTACGATTGGCATGGCTGTGGTGACTGGCATTGGAATCCATGGAACATGTCCTACTGCTGGGTGTGTCAGGATACACCACCATCTGCTTCTTTTGGCTGGCCAAAGTGTTTGGAGCTGGCATATTCCCTGGGATACTTTGTATCCAGTGATGATTGAGAACTGTTGCAAGACCTGTTGGATCCAAGGGCAAGAGTGTGCCTCGGATACACATTCTAACAGTATGGCTCCAAAACGTCCTAAAAAACCCAAACGGAGGACCCCTGGCAATGTCATGGACCGGCTGTCCAACCCTTGTTTCTGGTCGCCTAGTCTGGAGTAAGGCTGACATGCCACACCTCCGGCTAGTGTGCCAGCATTTGGGTCACAATTGCAAACCTGGGCAAGGAGTGAGTCTGTGCAAACATCTCCTAGTGCAGTGTCGGACGGATGCAAACGTTGGGCAAGCTTCAACATGGCTGGGCTGTTGTCGCACCTCAACAAAACTTCAAAGCCGCAGTGGTCTAAGCCTACCCCCAAAAACCCTGCACCTGAGCAAACTTCGACAACTCTTTTGACATCTGAAAGGCTGATGTATGGTCTCGGAATTGTTTGAGTGGTGTCCATGGCAAAGAGGGTAGCCTGGTTCCCTGTCATATGAACTTTGGCCCCTACGATCAAAACCACAGTGACATTCGGTGGAAGGGTTCCCATGAATCTGAAAAAACGTCCCTTCAAAGCTGTTCTGATGCAATGCTTGGAATTGCCATCATCATAATAAGCAACCTCACCCAGCAGGGAAACAGTCATGTCATGTTCTAGAACCGGCTCCAGAAAATGGACATCCATGGCAAGTCAGCAGGGGGTGCCGAGATCAGTCGGAACAGGCACGCTTGCTGGAAAGCTCTCGGGCCTAAGTGCCTGGGTCAAAACCCTGGTATCCTTCTTTTCACAACCAACTAGCTGGCAACTATGGTCCTGGACATTCAACACGCCACCAAACAAATGTTAAATCATAGGTTTTGGTCTTCACTATATCATTCTATCCCCTTTTAATTGTATCCCTTGTCCCCATAAAGCCCATGATGTTTCCATAGTGTTGGTGATGCATCCACCATTTCATCCCCAAAATTCCGCCCAACAGGTGCAATGTGAGGCCCCCAAGATAGCTAAGTTGGTTTATAACTCCAATAACTATGGTTTATGGTACTTATAACTATAGTTACTGGGGCTTATAAACCAACTTATAACTGGGGGGCCTCACATTGTACTATATTTATATACCAGTTAATTGGTATAATACCAGTAATGGTTAAAGTAAATAATACATGAAAATTAAATGATACCAGTTAATGGTAGATGTGCCATCGTCAAAACATGGTATATGGGCTATGGTCATCCATCCTATATTGGGAATCATTACAATGGGTATATTAAACCCTATTGATGTGTGTATGACCATCCCCTTGAATGAGAAAACAAACGATGTTTTGACCAGGGCACATATCGAGGTTTTCGTCATAAACCATCAATTTATCAATTTGGGGGTACCCCCCATTTACGGGTGCCTCAAAATCCCGTAGTTTATCATTTGCCCTATTGAAAAACTTTTTTTTTTTGCCCCCATTTACAGAGACACTCAAATAACAATGATCTGGGTAAATTATAAGAGTTCACTCACCTGAAATATGGCAATTTTGGGATGTTTCCCCTTATGATTCCAGAACCGATAAGCCAATCGCTGGCTGGGAACACATCTTCAGCAGCGATGCAAGCATACTTGGATGTGCATCCCACTTACTAAGTGGTAAATGTTTATAATCCAATATATAAGCCCTATAATAATCCCCTATATACGTGGGGATAGTCCATTAATCTAACTGGGGGTATAACCTATTTGCTAAGCGGGATGCACCAAGCAATCAGATAACAATGATTCAATTTGTGAATAATTCTGAGTCTAACATGTGTTTTATCATTAATTTCATATTAGATTAACTCATTGTTTTAACCCATTTTGTTTCACCTATTGCCTATTGTTGTCCTGTCCACCTTTCTAATACCACTTAAGTAAATATAACGTGTATATTATTGATTGACTATGTAAGCACTTCATTGTGAGGTTCCCCAAAATTCCTGGGAAAACTCTAGGGGATCCCAGAAAGGGGAAGTCTGAGTCCGATTGTGGCAGTTGCAAACTGAGATCATGTTGAAACTCAAAATCTTTGTCAGTTGTGATGGATGCCACCAGTCGTCACCTAAAAGCGAGGGATGTCTGTAAGTATAGCTCAGTGCATCCATAAGCCAAAGTAGGCTGTACAATGTACACATGGCCAACAGTGGATAGCTTTTTTCCGGAAACTGTACAGGAAGTCACATTTGTTTGCTTCAAAATCATAGTGGGTTCCTGTAAATTGTCCTTCACAACAGAGTCTGCAAGCCACCAAAGCCACCAAGTAGGGCCTTCACCACTAGAAGGCGAAGCCCCAAACGATCGCTAGCCGCTAGGCTGGTTAAAAAGTAGGCTATATCAATATTGCTTCAGCTATATATATATATATATTTGTACATATGTAGTTAATGTGGGCTTTTCAACCAACTGAGAGAACTCAGCTGGTTTCGAACAGGTTGAGTGATATATCGTTCACAAGTTCTGGGTTCGGCGATTTTTCACCAACCAACAGATTTTCCACCACCGTCCTTCCGTCCCAACTGTGTCTTGGCAGAGATGGAAGGTCCTCGCCGAGCCAGGGACCAGCGGCCTACTTCACTTGGGTAACATACCAACAAAGTAAGCTTACATCAACTATCAGATACCCTCTGGTAAACGTTTACATAACTATGGAAAGATCCACCATTTTTTAAGGGAAAACTATCAAATTACCAGAGGGTAACCATCAATCCCAAGTCGTTTCTTGGTGAAACAACGGTTTTAGGAACGCATCAAGACCATCCACCTTGATATCTGCACCGGTGAACAGGACTTGCGATGGAAATTCATCATGAAAAAAAAGGGACAACATGGAACTACCCTCTGGTGAACATACAAAAAACGATGGAAAATCACCACTTTAATGGGTAAATCAACTATAAATAGGCCATTTTCAATAGCTATGTTAGTTTACCGGAGGGTAAATGGGCAAACCGTTGAATTACCCCAGCTTAGTGGATACAAGCAACATCACTGGGGAGCAAACCGCCGATGTGAATAGCTCGGAGTTTTCAAGGAGCTACAGGATATCTGGACCCATGTTGAAACTCAAACTGATTGGATTCAGATGTTCATGTGATTAAATTATGTCATGTAAAGCTTATATATATATATATGTGTATATATATATATGTATATATATATATGTATATATATATATAATTGTATGATGTTGCCAAACATGGATCCAGATAATATATATATATATATAATATGAGCCGCGGGTTTTATTTGGTAGATAACGCAATTGACGGGGTGTTCCTACCTCCTTCTCCAGTCCCGTAGCATTTTTTGGGTCTGACCTCGTTTTCCAACGTCGCGCTTTCTTTTAGTAGCCAAATGCTTTACATGAGATGCCTACTTCGTTCTCGGGGTGTTCCTACCTCGTCTTACAGCCTAATTATGATGTTTTCGGCAAACCGGGGGGGGGTTCGCCCCAATACTAATACTACGCTCCATTTAACCAAATAAAAGCCATCGATCATATAGCAGCACAAAAAGACACAACAAGTAAATAAACAAAACGTTGAGACCTGGAGATGAAGTAAACATTGTCCAAACCAAGATGGGATGCTGGGGAGGATCCCTCGCTGTGTTTAGTAAAGAGTGTTTGGAAGGTTAAAAACCTGGCTCGTGCATAGCTTTCCTTCAAGCATTCATTGACCCAGACTTAAATCTGCTATGAAACATCTTCTTCCGCCTTATCCCATCCCATTCAGGGTCCCATTCTCTCCGTTGAGAGGTATACTGTTCACTATGAGTTGGTTTACAATTCCCAGGAAACCAGGCAGATTAACAATCCCTCATCATATACGTCACCTCTATCCCCATAGTATAGTTAACACCCTTTCAACCATGGTTAATTCCCCATTCACCAATCCCCGGCTCAATCTTCATTTTGGCAGTGACGGATCATTTTCATCCATGTTCAAAGCCATAATATGGAGGTTTCCCAAGTCATGAGGGTACCCCCAGTTCTCATCCATTTATCTGGGTAAATTATATTAATTCACAGACCTGAAATAAGGCTATCTTGGGGATGATTCCCCTTACTAACCATGATTATAGTGAGGTCGCAGTGAGGTCGTTATAGTTTACCTAGATTTATAGGTAGATTCAGATAGATGGTTTTTCCATAATATTACCATCCAGCTATTGCGGTACCCCCACGGCTATGGAAACCACCATATTTCTTGCGACCATTTTGGGCATGCAGTTGACTGAGATGAGCCATAGGATTAGTTGACTATAAAACTGCGTAGTAACTGGGTAAAAAATGCCATTATAATTAGACTATGGTTAACTATGGTTGGCTATAGTTGACTATTGTTGACTATAGTTGACTGTAGTTGACTATAGTCAACTATAGTTGACTATAGTTGACGATAGTTAACTATAGTTAACTATAGTTGACTATAGTTGACTATAGTTAATGGTCACACACTGGTGATGTAGCCTAGATATATGGCTAACATTATAGTTAACTATACTTAAGTGATTAACTGGTTAACGACTTTTATCCCAACCAGCTTGAGGCAAGCAAGCGCCTTGCTGAGACTTGCCTGGCAATCAGTGGTAGCCTGGCATCGGTAGCCTTGTGATTCCCATGAAATGGAGGTTTCACCAACCCAAATGGGGGATTCATGGGGATTAACTAGGATGGATGACCATAGACCATATACCATGTTTTGACGATGGCACATCTACCATTAACTGGTATCATTTACTTTCATGCATTATTTACTTTAACCATTACTGGTATTATACCAATTAACTGGTATTTATGTATATATATATATATATAGTACAATGTGAGGCCCCCCAGTGATGTTTGTTGGTTTATAATTAAGCCCCAGTAACTAGTTCGTTATTTGCGTACCATAAACCATAATGAAATTGGAGTTGTAAACCAACTGAACGCTATCGACCGGGGGCCTCACATTGTATGATTGAACCATCAAATTGTCAAAGAATGGGGTTGAAAAACAATCGCTTTAACCAAGAATGGAAACTGAGAGCTGATGTATTGTTAGCTAAGTTGCTTCAGCTCACTCACATTTCGGCTTTAAGAATGTTTATGATTATTATAGCTATAGTTGGATGGGATAACATCAACCAACCCACAAAGGGATTGTAAAGCAACAACCAACGAGATTCAACCCACAAGATTCAACGCCATTTTTTCCTGACTCTCCATGCGAATCTGTGGGATTTTGAATGATAAAATGACGAGGATGAGACACCAACCCAAAAGAGACTAGCCAAAAACAACAAATGGAAGACATTGATGAAATTCTGGTTGGTGGTTTTTCGCCACCCCTCTGAAAAATATATAAACATATTAGTCAGTTGGGATTATTATTCCCAATAGATGGAAAAAAACAACATGTTCCAGTCACCACCAACCAGAATTTGATGAAAATCTGATAGGATTTTTCACCCTGATCCGAATAGTTCCACCGGCCGGGTCCCCAACGCTTCGAGTAAGACCTTGGCGTCCCGGTGAGAGGGATCTGGCTCCGTTGTTTCTTCCACAAAAAAAGGATTTCGAAAGGGTTGCTAAGGTTGCTATACTTCTCGATGTCTAAAAACTGAAGGTGTTTATAGTTTTTGTTTCATCATGCCCATGAAGCTATTGAATGCGTATTGTGAGGTATGGTGCCATGTTGCAATCATTCGGTTTGTGGCTGAAGAATGGTACATCATCCCGCCGCGACCCCTGGGGCCCGTATTGGGAAACGACCGCGCTGCCTCCATTTACGGGCTACAACATTGAAGTACCCGGCCTGGTAAACATACAAACAAATTATGGATCATCAGCATTTTCTTAATAGGTAAATCAACTATTTCTATGGGCCATGGCTTCAAGTTCCCTAACTGTAACAGTCATTACCAGATGGTATGGAGTGGGTAGCCATCCAATGGCCGGTCGATCCCACGACCCTGGCTGCCCCACAAGGGGTGTCATCTAGCAATCTCTCCTGGCGGGGACCCTGATGATTGACCTTAATAGTGATTCATGGTGGTTAATGGTGGTTAATGGTGTTTAATAGTGATTAATAGTGGTTAATAGTGGTTTATAAGTGGTTTATAAGTGGTTTATAGTGGTTGATAATGGTTAACTGGTTGGTGTTTTTTCGCCACCCCTCTGAAAAAATGATGGACTTCGTCAGTTGGGATGATGACATTCCCAACTGAATCGAAAGTCATAAAAGCCATGTTCCGAACCACCAAGCAATATGAAGTATAGGCTATATTTAGTGGTACCAAATTCAGACTAATCCATAGATGCCATAAAGCAAGCCTCTGCAGGAAAGCTGGAAGAGGTCGTGCCCAAGTCATTCACAGCTTGGCTGGCCCTAAAACCGTGAAGATCGGTTGTTTTTAGTTTTACATCACTACAATGCTGGGCCCACCACATAATCTTATATAATTGTTCTATAAACCCATGTAACTACAAATAGATCTAGGACCCATGCCTAGCAACCGATGTAGGATTCCTTAGCCAGAAAGATAGGAAATATCTTACTTGATTTGCCATTATTTGAAGATTAGAACTATTACTTGCTTATCGGTGAATAAGTAAACATTATAAACTTAACATTGGGCGAAGCACATTGTAGACATTTGTAGATGCATCCCGATTTTCCATGACGCAACACCTCCAGGTCATTATGAGTTATGCTTAAAATCCTACCCATATGCTCCATGTCTGGAAAACAAATCCTACAAAACTAGGTGATCTTGTTCGGGTATAATGCTGGGATTCATATACCAGCAGCTTTACCAGCACCATGGTTCACATCTGGGCTTTTACGCTTCGGTACTTGCTCCGTCTCCTGCCAAAGACCCACAGCTCTCTGCACCATGTCGCGGAAGAAGACGATCCGCCTCGGATCTTCGGTGCGTTAAACGCGGTGCCCATCGGTGAGACGGAGACGGAGAAGCCGCCAACAGCCGGGGCTACTTGGAGGTCTATACTATATGAATGGCTATGAATATCTATGGTGATAACCCCAATAAGTTCGGATATGAGCCCCAACAAAAACTACAGAGGTCATGTATCCACTTGTAAGTGGAACTGGATCTATGGGGAAAAATGAGTACAGTGAGTGAAATATAACTAACTCGGTAAACCAATTACTGGAAATTTAGTGGTTTATTTGTCATGGGATAACTCCCCTATAAAGATGTTACACATGGTGTTTTAACAAACAAAATGGTGGCTAATAGTTAACGACAATAAAGACGTGTATACATATATATATATATATAATATAATAATATATATATATATAATTATATATATAGTGGGATATACAGTAGAGATCTATAGAGGGTTTGGTTAGGTACCCACCAAAAAGGCTGGTATACTACTGTGGCAGATGCAACAATGCCAAAATACTGTACCCAATTTCACCTTTAGGGTTGACAAACAACGCAACCTAATTGGGTCTACCACATCAAATCACATCAAATCAAAACTCCTTATTCAACTTTCCTCTTTTATCCTAGTCCTGTTTGATGCTTCACCCATTCAACAACAAATCTTGCATGGGCACTGGTCTGCGATATATACATACATATATATATATGGTGTATCCACATTCAATCCACTGTTACATACTAAATAATTAAAACGAATATCTCCTCACGTTCACCATGAAATAAAACCATACACACACGTGAATAGCCATGACAAGACCAGTTTTGCTACGGGCGTCCACTCACTGTACAACGACGGGACCTTTGGGGCCCAAGGGGTGGCGTTTCTCTGAGGCATCCATGACGGAGAGTTTATGGATGTCACGAACTAGGATTCCTAGGATTCATGGGGTGAATCTAAACTAAGAGACATACCCTCTGGTAATTTAACATAGCTATCCAAAATAGCCCATTTATAGTTGATTTACCTATTAAACATTGTGATTTTCCATAGGTTTTTGTATGTTTACCAGAGGGTAACTGTGGGGGCCCACCTTGTACCAACCAACCATATTAGTTTCAACTTCAACCTTTTCCAAGCTCAATGTGATCCGTCACTCGCCGCAGCGAAGCCAGAGCTGGTGATGGTCAGCTGCCTAACTGCCTACATGCACGGTGCTCGCAGCACCAGAGCGTTTGTACAGCTAGCGATGGATTTAAAAGGGCTAAGACACCCACCGCCATCATTTGAGGAACCCCTCAAATGTACTTGCTCCAAATGGTGCAACAAACCTAAGGGTAATCTCCAACATCATTCCAACAACGTCCAAGACTTTGAATGTTGTTTTTTCTACAAAGTCGCAACAACATCCAAAATACATCTTCCAAAATCACAACTTATCAAATCTCAAAAACCGGCCATTTGTATCTTCACAGACGCCGATCTGCCAATCTGCAGGGCTCAACCGGGCTCAACTCATTCCATAAATTGCTGCATCTGAGCAGAGAATGCTCGCTGCGCTTGATCAAGCTGTGCTTGTTTCTGCTGAAGTGCCTCAGGAAGATGAAGGGAGTCACCTAAAATTATTCCGGCAATAGTAAGTAGTAAACCATGACTGATGATTTAAACAAACCAAAACAAAACCAGAACAGGGATATCATGAATATAGAGTGGGACAAATACATTATATTATATATAATATGGTATTATATGATATTTTATTATTTTATATTATATCATATTATATCAAATATATATATATATATATATATTACATTACATGATATTACATGCATGTCTATAATCAAGTCCTTTAAACAACAATCTGATATGTATGTGTTTGGCCATATAAATGAAGAACACATGATGATAAACATTGATAAACCATCAATTTTTGGGGTACCCTATTTTCAGACAAACCCATGTCCAGCGGTACACACGGTGATGAATTGGGATCATCCAAAAAGGGGGGGCCCGACGAAAGATGCCAAGATCAGTCAAATATATATATATGTATATATATATATATAATCCCATTCAATACCATTAAGTTCTTATTGATTTTGCATGAGTTCGCTTATACCAACCATTCTGTTTGGGGTAAATCTCCATATTTCTATGGCTTTTCCTCACAAAAACTATCCAAATTTCCCTTATGTTTTCTCATTTTCCATTGTTGTTCCTCATTTTTCATGTGGTAAATGGGTAAATCACTAATTTTCCCATGGCTTTTTGCTCCATCCCCTGGGTCGCGGCACCACTTCGGCCCGCTCGAAGTTGCTCAGCAGCTCCCGCAGCCGGGGGTGCGGCGAGACTTCCTCCAAAGCCTCCTGAATGGAGGTACCCCAAAACGGATGGTAATGGACACTCCGACAATAAAATGGATGATTTTAGGGGATTTCGATTTCAATGGATTGGCATATTCATCTTGAGTCTTTATTGGATATAATTGGTATAAGAATACATACAGTGACTGAGATTGTCTGAGTTTTAACATATCATATTTATGCAAAAGGTATGGGGTAATGTTACCTATATATGCTATGATGTTACCTATTAATGGTACGCTATATATATGGTAGATAAAAGTGGCGTTGGGAGGGTTTACGTTTACCACATTTTCTCGGTTGAGATATATCATGATGTATATATATATATATATATGTATATATATATGTATATATATATATATATGTATACATACATGTGTATATATAAACATATATTAAATATATACATCATAGTTTCCGAAAACATATCAATATGGAGGTTGTCCTATATTTTAGGGATACGCCCAAATTGCCTAATCATCCAGTTGAAGAGGATTTTCCATTGTAAACCATCCAGCTATTGGGGTCCCCCCCATTTATGGAAACCTCCTTATAGGTAACTGCCAGTTGGGACTCTTTCCCATCTGACGTCCTCCCACGACAATTAAAGCCTTATTTGTGTTTCGGGGCTATTACTCACCAGTTCACCCCCTTTTACAAGGTGGTGGTGCCCCAAAGGACGTTCTGTTTATGGTACCATCTAATGATCGAGATATGTCCTTACGATAAACACAACAGGTAACCGAACTGTTTACCAAATTATAAGTTAGCCAACAAACTAGGGCACCACCTTGTCACCACTTCGCACAACCTAACTCTTTTGCCATCATGATGTCTAGTTGGTACATAAAATAAGTATGATAAACCATACTGAAGTCATCAACTACCCACCTTTTTTTCCCCAAAATGTGAAACATCGTTTCCGGGAACCCCACATTCTACCCACCATGTACCCTCTGGTAAAGCCATTACCCTCTGGTAAACATACAAAAAGCCATGGAAAGATCCACCCATTTTTAATGGGAAAACTCACTATTTCTATGGCCATGTTCAATAGCTTTTTGTATGTTTACCAGAGGGTAAGCCCTTAACAACAAAAGAACGACCAGGTCGTCGCGGGAAACACCGCGCCGGCCTCAGGAAACCAAAGATGAACGGAAGGATGCCCGTGGCGCCCTGTCCCAGTCCGAAATCAGTGAGGCAAAATACCACAGAAAAATGGCCCCGAGTTATAGCAGTTACCCTCTGGCAAACTAACATAACTATGGAAAATCATCATTTTTCATTGGAAAATCCACTATAAATGGTGATTTTCCATATTTATGTTAGTTTACCAGAGGGTATACTAAGAAGTCACCCCATTTATAAATGTTTTTTTTTTTTTTTAACCCATAGAAATAACCAGTTATAACTCATAGCCATGGCCATAACTGCCTAACTGCACCGTTTTCCCATCTTATACTGGTTGATTAGTACATATTCATATTCCTCTTATTTTCTGGTGGTTTCTGAGAGACTGATGGGTCAAATATGGGGCTTTTTAATGGGGCTATGTTGTTCTTGTTGCATCTATTGAGATGTCAAATATGGGGATATACCATCTGGTTAGACAATGCATAGCCATGGAAAATCACCAGTTGTAATAAGTAAACCCAGGTAAACCATCTATAAGTGGGTCATTTTCCATGGCTATGTTAGTCATAACCAGAGGGTAATGTGGATATAAAATTGTAATATCGAAGGATCTAGACAGGTACATGTAGATTACAATGGGGATATCACTGGAACAAATTCAACACGGGGATAAATGGGAATTATATCCTGGTCATGAAAAAAACATTTGGCTGCAAATATGGGTAGAATCTATGCAAAAATAACTGGGAAATTGTGATGGTCTATTTCACCAATCGAAGAACCAACTGCTGCCGCCCGGCTTCCACAGCCAAAGACAAGACAACTGCAATTTCTTAGGGATGGTGCCCCAGTTTGCCAACGAAGTCCACTTACATCATCTTGGAACCAATATTCCAGCAGGCTGGCGATGAAATAAAGGATAGATGAGGCAAAACCGGCACCGCCAAGCCGAAAAAAACACAATGGATTTCAACCATGTTTGAAGGTTGGAGGAACATCCCTCGTTTTTCTACCAGGGCTTCATAACGCTGAGTACCCAGGTGTTTGGCACCTGTAATCCCAACAGCCCAGGCCCATTTTGGACATCGATGAGCTGGGGATCCAAACCATCTCCTTTTCCGGTTTTGTGAAGGCAAATAGATTCTATAATACGGTTTTGTGGAGATTTGGAACCGATCAATATGAGCAGTATAGGAGGCAAGAAGCGAATTCCACAATTCAACTTCCGATATCGTTCTTCGCTTCCTGCGGAACGACCTCAAAAAGTCAGCTCGAAGAAGTTGAAGTCACTGCTCAAATGAAGCTCATACTATACATGGGTTTGTCTGAAAACTGGATACCTCCTCAATGGTTTCATTGACACTTATCAAAATTGCCATGTTTGGGGCATCCCGTTTTTCTTGGACAAACCCAGAAACCTTCCCTTTGATCGTTCCGCGTTCACAGAACGATTTCCTCCAGGAAGGTTCGCATGCGTCCGATTTTCCGGTCGCGAATGGAGCAGTAGATGAAACCCAGCACTAGGCCCAGGATGGCATAAATGATCTGCACCACATTCCAAACTTCGCGAACGACCCAGAGAAACTCTAAGGCATACTCCACCTGAGTCGTTGTCGACCATGGGACGATTTTCTTTCCATCTAAGGTGAACAAAGCATATACATCACTTCAATGAGGTTGTAAGTCAGTTGAAACAGTTGAGGGCTATAACATGCTATAACTGTATAATTTGACCAATTGCTATTTTGCTGGAGGGGCAGAATGATGTTGTGGCTGTTGCAATTTTGGTGATCATATTACGAGTATGATATGATGAGTTACAAGTGGATGGAATGGTTTTTCCCCACATTTTTTTTTCAGGTGCTGAAACTGATCTGGCAGTGAGGCTGAAAGTCACAGCTTTCGTGTGTGTGTGTATGTACATATTATGCCCGCTGAACCATTTGGTAAAAGGTGGCGCCTCCCACATTGAACTTGGCATATGGTTCTCATAGAAATATAGAAGTAGTATATCATGATGTATCAAGCATAAACCCTAGCCCTAGTACGCCTTAGTTATATTAGTTACAAACCGAGTTAGTGACTGGGGTACCTCCTTGTATAACTACAGTATAACCTGTACTAACCATGAAACAGCAGGGCTAGGAAGAGCATCACCTGCTTCGGAAAGTGGTCGTCTTTGGAACGCTTCATCAGCAACAAGAGGATTCCTGGGGCACTGCTTCGCAATGGAGTCACTTGGGGTCGGCTCGCTATTACTGTTCGCTTGGCTCAAAGATGGGCCGGGAAATCCCCGACGAAATGGATAGCCTTTATAGCTGGGAAAAATCATGCGAAACATATCAGAAAAGTATGGTCAAAAACAAACAAAAAAACACTACCTATAATGGATGTTTATAGTGGTAAACAATATCGAACTCCACGGGGAATTTCCCGTGAGCCATGTTTGATGACATCGGAGGGTAACTAATTCACCCGGCCCCAAAATTGACCACCCCAAGAATGAGGGCTCACCTATACAGAGCTAATATGAGCTAATCAAGCACCAACAACCACATTTTTGGTTGATCAGTCAAGCATGAATATCGTCATAACTTATAACTTATAACCTATATATATATATGTATATATATATATAGCCTGAGGTGTACTGAGGTAAACATCCTATCTATGAATAGGTGAACTAACATCAACCGTATCCTATATATAGATATGCATTAACATGTAAAAAAGTCCGAAACAAACATGTCCCAGGTTTGTCCCCCTGTCCTGCCAAGAGAGAGGGTGTCAAGCCGGGTCCCATGAACGTTGAGATGGTCACGGAACTTTTGTACAGCACCCGACTTTGCAGTCGCGAGAAGAACTGGGGGCAGTTCAGGCGAATCTTCAGCTCTTTCCTGTCGCACGCCGGCTATGCCACCACGACAAGGTGGTGCCCCGTAGCTAATGTTGTCATCAAACTAGCTGCCCCATAACTAAGGTGGGTCTATGATGGTTTATGGACATTGTAACTTAAGTCAGATGGAGTTAGAAACCAAAAAATAACTAGGAGGCACTTGTACCAGTTTCTAGGAAGTGTCCTATTTAACTTGGGGACCGCATATTGTACCAATGGGCTTTAGGATTCGTGTGAAGCGCCCGGTACGTGGCTCCAACTTGAGTTGACTAGATGGAGGTTGGTCCAAAATCGAATTCACACAGAAAATAGATGGCTTAAGACTAGCAAGGGTCTACAAAGGGCAAATTGTTTGGTTGCATTTGCATTCCAATTTTGGCCTATACCTCAGCATATTGGAGGAATCCGTACAATTAGTTCTATATAATTCTAAAACGATGTAATCATCTCTTAATCTGTGCATTTGGGGGTCCCTTTATTGGGGGTATTCATTATTCTGGGAAAGGGACGCTTCACTTATTATGGAATGCTGCATTTGCCCCAAGGCCGAGGATCACTTATGGTGAAAAATGGATAGTAAGCTGATTATCCAACCCCCGATAGCTGGTGTATGCATGCATATACTAGAGGGATATAGTATGGATCAGGGTTTATTGAAGGCAAATTCAAACTTTAGGAAACCTCCTTGCACCAGTACAGCACCCGGACGCCTACCCACAAAATGAAGAATCAAGACATCGTAACTACAAGAAGAGGACCAGCGATTAGCTTATGTTCACGATTGCAATTGTAGATATGTCATGATATGTCCACTGCAATTCCATCCGGAAGCCTAGCGTTCTCTTAATATAGTAAGCCCTACCGTTCCCTAATTATGCCATACTTGTTGGTTACTATGCAGTTGTCATGTAGTTCTTCCACATGATATTCCTATCATATTTCCATGATAATCGCCAACGTGGCAACGGAACTCCTACAAAAGAGTGGTTCTCGTCACAGACTTTTCGTCGCATGTCTATCTGTTTGCGGATACTTTTATGCCTCAGTGATGCCTCACAAGCCACTCACCATCAGTTACATGTGGAACTAACCAGAATGGTGAACCCAACGATAGCCCAAGATTCGTCCGCAATGTGGCTCTTGGTTAAACTTTGGCCACTTTTTCAACAGAAACCCTAGGGTCAGGGTCACCTCAAACCTGGGTTAGTTCTGAAGGCGAGCCAAGTTTCAGATCTCTAAGGCATTCAAAGGCCTTGGACCTTCCCAGCCCCGTTCGCTCTGCACGCTCTGCACGTGTCACTTCGACATGACCCAGGGCCACTAACAGTAGCAGGAGACCGGCGAAGAGGGACGCGAAGAAATAGAAACCCATCTTAAACTTCACCTGCAGTTATGGCCCAAGTTATACCAGTCATAAGTACTAAGAAAACCCCATTTATAGAATGTTTCTCATCCCATAGAAATAACCAGTTATAACTAATAGCCATGGCCATTTCACTGTGGTTGACTGGAAGAAAACTGGGTACCCCGACTTTGATGAAAGGCTCAATTTTCGAAACGAAAAAATCTGTCCCCCAGGTCCCAGTTATTTCAAGCCATAGCCACGTTATGTGAGGCCCCCCAGTGATGTGAACGTTGGTTTAGATTCGCCCCAGTAACTATAGTTATAAGTAACAATAGTTATACTATAACTATAACTATAACATGGTTTTTAGTAACTATAGTTATAGTTATAAGATGTTCTAAGTACATCTAAGTACCATAAACCATAGTGACATTGGAGTTATGTTCACCAACTGAACGCTATCGACCGGGGGCCTCACATTGCACCTATTGGGCGGAATTTTGGGGATGAAATGGTGGATGCATCACCAACACTATGGAAACATCATAGGCTTTATGGGGACAAGGGATACAATTAAAAGGGGATAGAATGATATAGTGAAGACCAAAACCTATGATTTAACATTTGTTTGGTGGCGTGGTGAGTGTCCAGGACGATACTTGCCAGCTAGTCGGTTGTGAAAAGAAGGATACCAGGGTTTGACCCAACCATTGTCCGCAAATTTTGATAAATCCCACAAAAATGAGTAGCGAAGCATGGTGATGTTAAACCGTCTAGAAAAAAACATTGTTGAGACATTTTCAACGTTAATTGGGTTCGGTCTCTGGAAGATCAGAGCCAATTTAGAGCCAAACTTCTGGATCCAGGCCACACCCAATGATTCAAGAGTGAAGTCTCCGGTGAAAGTCTTGTGAAATGCCCATGTTTCATCTTTCCATTGTGAAAGGCATCCCTGTGTCCATTCTTTTGATATCTTTTAATCATGTTTAATTTGATGAATTCTCTGTTGGTTGGGTTCACATTTACTTCTGTTAGTGCACCTTCTGTCAACCCTTGCACCACAAACTTGCAAGCAATACAGCCTCACATCCCACACCGACTCTCGCTCCAAGGGACGCTGTGCAGCTTCCGGTCTTTGCGGAAGGCGGCCCACTCGGCACTCTCGGGGCGGCAGAGCATGACGCACCAAAAGATGAGGTCGGACAGAACCTTAGATGGAGCTTATCACTGAATGACTTAGAGTCCAATATAACCCATATGCTCCATGTATGGTATATTTACCTACATTTGGGTGATTTTGGGGGTAAATGTTGGGAAATATTCCATACATGGAGCATCTGGGTAATGTGATGAAAGTAGTTCACCACTTAAGAAGTGTCGACACTGATAATTAGATTTAATGATCAATAAAATCTATAGAAAACCAATAGAAGCCATTTGTGTTGCTTATCGGGGAAGATTTTATCCGTATGGGATATATCGTCACCGTCACAATCTCCCTGTTTCCGGCGCCGCCCTTCAGCCGCTTCAGCCAAGCATCAAAGGATGCCATCGGGCAGAGGAAACAAAAAATCATAACAGCGCGGCGTCGCAAGCTCACATTCTCCAAACCCACTTGTGTCAACTCCTGGGAGTTGATGATGTGGATGTGTGAAAAAATGCTCATGCTTCAGGTAATGGTAAATATGGTACCTCTGGTCATCCCAACATCAATCTGTGGATTTCTTCACAAAATTTGGAATGGATATACAAAACCCGATGAAAATAGGCTCTGCTGAACTATATTGAAGAATAAGATGTGAGTTTGGTCCTCAAAAGTCATGGGAAAACCACGTCAAAAAAAAGGAATCATATTTTACCTATAAACATCAACCACGTTCACACATCTATGAAATCACTGGAAATCCCTTGGAAAGTTATAGGGATTCCCAACAAGGTAGATACACGTTCAGATGTGAATTAGATGATGTTTCCTCTTTAATTTCGAAGGTTCACGACATTTCATCTGAGGTTGCTATACCCAGATGCGAACCATGGTGCTGGAATATGCACACCAACATTTACCCGAAGAATTTATCACCCAGTTTTCTAGGTTTTTAAATACCAGCGCCATGGTTCGCCTCCATGGGCTACGTTTCTGCCGGATGGTGATAGATGTTCCGACTTACCCTCTGGTAAACATACGAAAAACTATGTAAAATCACCATTTTTAATTGGTAAATCCACTATAAATGGCCATGTTCAATAGCAAACTGTTAGTCATTACCAGAGGGTATCGATGCCGGAGGTCCTTCAAGGTTTCATCCAGTTGCGCATAGGAATGCCCCCTCTCCTTGATTCATGGATCTCTGGAGTTGAGGGAAACAAATCCCAACCAAAAAATGAGGGAATTCACCATTCAAGGATATAAACATATAAGTTATATAAGCTGCTGATATTAAGATAGCATAGTTTTTTTTTGATCACGAGATTTATATGAAAAAATCTCTGGGATCCAATCATTTCCTTTTTGGATGTTTCAAGGCCAATAGCAAAGTTTTTCAAATGGATGGGCCCCCATCGGGATTCAATCCAGGAGAGTTGCGTCAGTTGCCTTGGAGGCTGGAAGGCTTGGAAAGCTGAGTTCCACGATACCTCTATGAGTTGTCTTGGTTATCCTCAGGAAAACAGCTACAGTAGTAGAATATTTTATGAAAGTATATAGAATATGCATGAATATTCTACTAACTACAATGTTTCATCATGAAGAGCTAACATAATGGTTTGTCATGTCTTGTAGCCATACGTGGTCGACACAACTTGAGCATCACTGTAACGAAAAACCCTTTGTCATCCCCTCGTCCCAATCAGCGACCCAAGAACCAACCAGTAACCAACCATTGTTCATTACTTGTAAACCAAAAAAACATGTCCATTCCTATCATTCCTACATCCTACTTTGGGTTGGTCAATCATCCCACAGGTCAGTTGCTTCAGTCGTCAATTCAGAGGTGTTTGGTTCTTCAAATCCCGACATGACATTAGCTATAGCTATATCTAACCATTCATCTTGACCACTATATCACCATTAGCAAGCATTCATTTAGTTTGGTGAAACTCCCTACCAGTTTGTAATAAATTATATATACCCTATTACCATCCATTATATATTACTCCTTATTACCCATGTTTTACCACTATCAGGATTAACAATCACTAACCACCATAAACCACTATTGACCAGTATTATCAATGATTTCACCACTATTTACCATGATCGGCCTCTATTGACAAAAAACTCTGCAACTATTGATGATCAACAATGATTATCCACCATTCACCATGATCAACCCACTCTTCCACTAACACAAAATCTCAATTTTACCATCAATCCCCTGTCTGGTTGGTGGTTTTAACCATCTCGAAAAATATGAAAGTCAATGGGAAGGATTATCCCACATATTATGGAAAATAAAAACCATGTTTGAAACCGCCAACCAGCTGTGGTTTGAAACAAACAAACATACGAAAAGCTTCCAAGATGTACTCGTTGATCTTCCGCTTGTCCGATGCTTGTGTGGCCTCCGCTGCAGCCGTGCGCACATTTTCAATGGCCACCTGCTGCGGCATATGCGAACCATGGTGCTGGTATATAAAAACACCTAGAAAACTGGGTGATCAATTCTTCGGGTTTCTATGTTGGTGTGCATATTCCAGCACCATGGTTCGCATCTGGGGATATTTTCATGGTGAATATGTGCTTGATAGTACCCTCTGGTAAACAGCCACATAGGTAAATCAACTATTTCTATGGCCATTTTCAATAGCTAAGTGTTAGTTTACCAGAGGGTATCAAGCAAGAGGATCAAATAGTGGTCAGTGGCTTTGAAATCATTTCTGCAAACCAGTGGAGAAAAATAGCCATGGTCAACTGACAGAAATGGTTCGCCTGAACCATGAGTGGCATCAGAATCTATAGATCAACCCAGACATATTTCTGTGTGTCAAAAAAATATATGGGGATTTATACTTATTATAGTTTGTTTTGGTTCGCTCAGTTGGTGAAGATAACATATAACATCATATAACATCATATACCCTCTGGTATTTTAACATAGCTATTGAAAATTGCCATTTATAGTGAGTTTTCCCATTAAAAATTGTGATTTTCCATGGCTATGTTAAATAACCAGAGGGTAGCTATAGGCTTTCTGGTTTGCTGAACACCTACCAATTTTGGGGTCCCAGGATGGGTAGTTTAGAACGACCGTACTCGGATTTTTTTTTCAGTTGAATGACAACATCAACAGGAAAAACTATAGTGGTAATAACAATAATAACAAAAATAGCAATATTATACTATAATGGTAATAATAAGACTATTGTTCATCAACAGTTGCGCATTCGGATGTGTATAGGACAGTCCTCCTTCAACACGTTGGCTATTGGGCTTACATCCCAACATCACAATCACCCAGGATTTGGTTGGCTATTGGGCATTGTTATATGTGAAAACAGGGAAAGGACTACCCCAACTTTCAAGGATATCTTGAAATACATTAAAAAGTAACAACAACAAGAACTGTTCCCCGAATTCTTAGTCTACTTTTTTCTCCATGATTATGGACATGTTCTAATAGGCCTTAATAGGCTTTTTGACACTGACATCGGGGCTCAGCGGCTCAGCAGTTGGACATTGAGCCTTGGGTGCTGCATCCGCATATCTATACTTATTAGTATGATCTCATCATATATGATCATTGTTCGATCATTACTAGTAATATCAGTGTCATTAATAAACCATGTTATCATCATTATCATGAAGATCATTATTGCTATTAAGTTTTCATTATAGATCATATGTATGTGTAGTTGTTTTTGCTGTATTGCTGTATCATTATATTTAAACATAATATTATATATATATATCTTATAAATATGAATATTCCTGAGTATCAGCCATCTCCAGGCACCAAAAGCGGCATTTTATCACAGACCTGGATGTCTTTCATCAGCTTATCGCGCAAGCCGCCCTCGCTGATGAGGCCCTTCTCGTTGATGAGGACGATGGGCAACTCTGGCTTCTCGTCCTTCAACACGCATTTCCTGGCGATTCTTGGCTTCTGGATGGCTTGAGGATATGGAGGTTTCCTATAAATCATGGGGGGTACCCAAATCATCCTAAATTCGTCCATTATAGTATTGAAACAAAATTGAAACCCATGCTTTTGGGATAACCCCATTGTAGGAAATCTCCTGATGAAATTATGGGATTAGGCCTTGGACTCTGAATCGAATTCATGTGTACGTTCCATCCAAAGATTCGTATGGGGATTCTATGTCGTTTCTATGTTATCTGGTTGGTGGTTGAGCCACCCCTCTGAAACATATTAGTCAATTGGGATGATTATTCCCAATACATGGAAAAATAAAAGCCATGTTCCAAACCACCAATCAGTTATAATTTTGATATAGACAAGACAAGTCAGAGACATCGCAGAACTTCTAACTTCGACTTCACTCGCCACACTTGGAACTGGGATTGTTGGGATCGCACTGGGACCACCATGGCAATGGCAATCGCTTAATCATCGCCGAGTCGCACGTAAAACAGCTCGAAGGCGCACCAAATCCGCGTGTAAATAACGCAGCCTCGACCGAGCCAAGGGATGGCGATGTGGGATATTCCATGGTTTTTTTTGGGCCAGAAGCAACACTTTCTTAGGGATTGTCAGCAAAATATGTGATCAATTTGATAAACTTTTAAGTGGGTTGTCAGCAATTTTTGAAAATAATCTTGGGGCCTTGCAAAACAACCATATACCTGTCACAAAGAAATGGATATATGAACATAGGAACTCCCAGTCTGATTGGTACCCAATAGGATTGCGGCCACTCATGACTTCGTTTCCTTTCACCTATCTAATAGACATGTCCATCCGAAATCATACCTAGCATACTTGTAAAAAAATTGTCTATTTTATTGTAGGCAATTTCTTGTTGTTGTAATGTACGAGGATATGCAACATATACTTTTTGCATGTAGAGACATATGTTAAACAACAATTACTCAACTTCAGCAACTGAAACTCACGAAGGTCGTTTGGAATTGTTTGAACGGTGTACTCTTCATAAGATTCTACAACCTCATTATCCCGACCAGGGTTCAAGCACCAAAACCACTACCCATTGGTGATGGAAAAAACTAAGTTCCATCAAACTCCCTCGTAATTTTGATGGTTAAGTTAAGTCACTTTAAATCCTCATAATCCTCTCAAATAATGGGTCAAGTACAGTAGACCTTTGGCTGTGTCTAAAGATGGGTCACACCCGCAGAATAGCAGGAATAATGGTGAAAAAACCCTGCGGTAGTCAAACGTGGCTCGGAAAATCCTCATCAACATGGAGGTTTAATCCGCTGGGAAAATTATCGAACTACATGGGGAAATTTCCAGCCACGTTTGATGACATCGGAGGGTAATCATTAGATTTGGAAGTGTTCCCTTACTTAAAAGCGCAGCTCCACTAATAAGTGGTTATTATATATATACTGGTTGGTGGTTGAGTCACCTCTCTGAAAAATATGAAAGTCAGTTGGGATTATTCTTCCCAAGATATGGAAAATCATAAAAGCCATGTTGCAAACCACCAACCAAATATTATATATATATGTTATATGTATATATGTTATATGTATGTATAACCACAATTGTAAGTGGTTAAAAAAAAAACAGAGTTATACCCATGAGTAGCCCCAACTGCCCAAGTAAAGTGCCAGATTTTCCAGGTGAGATCCCGCCCCACCAGGATCGATGATACAGACCACGCTCTGGATATCGCCACTGAGAGCAGTGGCAAAGGCGGAGCACTCCAAGTTGCCACCTGCAACTTAAGGTCACCTTGAAGAACCTGGTATACATATGTCTATATATATATATATGTATATATGTACATATATATATATAAATATATGCTTATATATTATATATGCTTATATATATATGTTCATATATATATATATCTTGTATTCCTGTATGTAGGTTAGTCTGAAAATAAAACCTATCCCAAAACCCATTGATTAATCATCAATTTCCTATTCAACAATCCCATATGGACTGCCCCCCAAAAAAAGAAACGAGGGCGGCCATTTTTTTTAAATATGGAACCCCTAATTCTGTTTGTTGGTTTATGTCACCCCACTTCACTGTTGCCATTGCCGTACACCCTATATTTGTATTGGTGAACTAAAATGCACTAACTTAGCTTCCTATGGGGCACCACCGTCTATACATGTAACAGTATGTATAGATGTAGTTGCAGAAGTATATTATATACATAATATGCATATAATCATATAAATATATATCGCATATTAATCAAGCACAACAAGCAAACAAAAACAAATCCACCAATATGAATGCAAAGTAACTTTTTTGATGGATGTATTTAGGATCATATAATTTACAGAACGCACATATTTTGTGTGCATTACTTGGCAGGGTTTTACACAATATTGGATAATGTGCTGCAATGATGCACACGTATCAGCATGTAATTGCTATTGCTACTAGTTACTAGTTATTTTTTCCGAATTGGTGAGCAACCAACAAGGACATAAAGGGACAAGAACGGTGACATCGAACAAACATACGCAAACATAGCAATGAAACAAATCATCATTTATAGATGATTGTCCCATAAACTCCACATATATATATACATATGAGTACACGGGCTTTCCCATTGCCATGCTTGAGAAAACCCAGAGATCGATGGCTTAATTCACCACCCATGTCCTTTTTCAAGGCCGAAAGCGGCCAGCTGATTTTGATTGACGTGAAACTCATGAGACGCGAACACTCCTGATCCAACAAAACGAACGGACTGTTATAAAGAACATTAAAGAAAACATACCACACAGAAGGTTGTGCCAACCAAAAAAATACCAAAAAAAACTGAAGCTTCAGATCTTTACCGACCCCTGCCTTTTCCCAGGGCATGTTCAAGTTTGTACCTTGACGCTGATGGGAACAGCGTGACGGGACCCTAGCAAAATGATATAGAGGAGCATCTGCAATCATAACGATTGGTGTATACCAGTATGTTTCTTTTCCACATGTGATAGTACACTATGTTTGTATGATGATTCCCAGATACATTTGCAGCTTTGCAAGGATGTCAAATCAAAGAGACCGTTCTGAATTCACAATTTCCAGCAATAAGGACACCTCTGAGATTGACCCCTTTGAAGATTGAAAAGAAGCTCGAAATTATCAATGAGAGATCCAAAGATGTATCAAAATCCCATGGAATTTTCAGGCGCGTGGTACCTGAAACAAAAACTGTCCACAAAAAACGATGCAACATCGCCAGGCAGCTGATTATTGGCAAAGGCGCAAATCCAAAATGTCCAATTCTTCGCTTGGTTCTTGTTCCAGAAAGCTTCCATGATCAGAAAACATAGGACTAAGATGGTGATGCTGAAATTGCAGCCCACCAACCAGAAGGCCATGCCAGGTTCTCTCAAACAGATGAGCCCAACATGCTCCCTTCGGGCGCGATGGAAGATCCGTTGACCCTCGGGAAATTTGAAGAGAAGAAAGTTCCTGAGAGCAGCATGGCTAAACTTAGAAAAAATGACAGAAAGTTCATTGGAATATACCATCCATCTCATCAGGAGAGTTGATCATGTTATATCATGTTGATCCATTTCCCATGTCATAAATGTGATGTTTTTGGATCACCCCAAAGTCTATGAGCAAGCTACTTGTAAGCTGGCGTAAGCAGCGCCGCAACCTGAGGTCAAGCCAAACCTAGGTCACAATGTGGACCCCCGTTTACGATAGCTAAGTTGGTTAGTCCAAGAACTATGGTTTATGATACTGATAATACTTATAACTTATATATAACTGATAGGACTTATAACTATAGTTCAGGCGGTAAAAAAACAACTTCTAACTGGAGGAAGCCACATTGTATACTTGGCATAGTCTTCCCTGAGAAATTCATGGTCTCTCTGCTGAACTGATCAATTATATAGGGTTTTATGGTGAAAACAAACTTGATTGTTAGATGGTGGTTTTAACATGTTTTAACCATCTTGAAAATGATGGAGTTCGTCAGTTGGGATGATGACATTCCCAACATATGGAAAAGTAATCCAAATGTTCCAAACGGACCACCAACCAGGGTTGTTTGATGGGGTAACATCAACCAACATTAAAAAAAAAAAAAAAACGTGCCTGGGCGGCAACACCTTGCTTCAGACCTCATCTTTTGGATGTCGAGCCCCAGGTCTCAGTATACGACATGTTCTGTGGATTTTGGTTCCGACTCCAAAATTCCCTAACAACAACCATTCAAACATAATCTTAAGATATCTTAAGCTTCTACAGTACAGCTATGTCAGCTATGTACAGCTAATCTATTTGGTGGCTCGAACTCATCTCAAAAATACCTAGAAACCCTTCTTAAAGCTCGGAGAAAATGGGTGTCTACCCCCCAACCTTCAAAGTTGTTGTTCCTATTTTTCCAGATTCTTTGGGTGTCAAGGCCGGCTTATAAGTTTGCATCAACATCTCAGTCGAATGGATGGCCCAACAATTGAGCTGGGCCAGGATGGGCCATGATGGGCAATGGGAGTAGTTAACTGGTGATCGTAACTGGCAACCCATGAGATACCCACTGATATCCCCGTTACAAGTGACTAATCCCATGGCCCATCAAGGACATTACTACCTCTAGTTACTTCTACCTTTAATTTTACGTCCCAGCCTGAAAAATGCCAGATGCACAGGACATCTGTTAGAAAGATCACATCTGTACTACATTGTTACATTTACATTCTTCAACTAACCAAAAAACAAGTCTTCAACTTGACTTCCCACCGATTTATATCAAACATTATCAAACTAGCCAAAGCTTCAACAGCAGGGTTAAGAGCGAATGGAGCGAGGTCCATAGCTTCAAGCGTTGTCTCAGGATGCAGCGACTGGTGGCGTAGCGATCCAATGAGGCCACCAAATCTTTGAACTCTTCGCCCCACCAGTGAGACACAAAGGTTTGCACCTGCATCGATCCATCGATCCGGAAGGTTTCAGGAAAACTCTCTCACTTTTTCGGATTGTTTTTCTCCGATTAACCATAAATAATATATATATATAAATTCAGGGAGACTCTCCGAACTTCTGTTGGACGTATTTCCCCACCTGCCAGGTGAGGGTTGTTAGATTTTATGTCAGTTGCCTCCTCCTCCTGCCGCCTCCTGCCTCCTGCCTCCTCCTCGTCCTCCTTGTCGTCCTTGTCGTCCTCGTCGTCCTCGTCGTCCTCGTCGTCCTCGTCCAACTGCGACCCGCGATCCACAGTGTTCTCTGTCGGACCTCAACCACGACCATCCACGCCCAGTGTGCCCTGCCGGACCTCAACCACGACCATCCACGCTCAGTGTTCCCTGCCGGACCTCAACCACGACCATCCCCGCCCAGTGTTCCCTGCCGGGCCTCAACCACGACCATCCACGCCCAGTGTTCCCTGCCGGACCTCAACCACGACCATCCACGCCCAGTGTTCCCTGCCGGACCTCAACCGCGAGTATCCACACCAAGTGTTCCCTGCCGGACCTCATGTATGAAGATATGGGACAAAGAATGTGCAGAAGAAAGTTAGAAAGAATGTCAGAAGATATGCCAGATAGAATGCCAGATAGAATGCCAGATAGAATGCCAGAAGATATGTCAGAATATATGCCAGAAGATATGCCAGATAGAATGCCAGATAGAATGCCAGATAGAATGCCAGATTGCCAGATAGAATGCCAGAAGAATATGCCAGATAGAATGCCAGAAGATCTGCCATATAGAATGCCAGAAGATATGCCAGATAGAATGTCAGATAGAATGCCAGAAGATATGCCAGATAGAATGCCAGAAGATTTGCCAGATAATATGCCAGAAGATATGCCAGATAGAATGCCAGAAGATATGCCAGATAGAATGCCAGAAGATAGGCCAGAAGATATGCCAGAACATATGCCAGAAGATATGTCAGAATATATGCCAGAAGATATGCCAGATAGAATGCCAGAAGATTTGCCAGATAGAATGCCAGAAGATATGCCAGAAGATATGCCAGATATGCCAGAAGATATGCCAGATAGAATGCCAAATAGAATGTCAGAAGATATGTCAGATAGAATGCCAGAAGATTTGCCAGTAAGAAAATGTATAAATGTCATGGTGGGGATCACACGAAGTAAAGTAATTTATTTTTTTTTTCGAATTCAGTGGTGAATGAATATTATAATGAATTAACCATATGAATTTTGTTTTGAGGATCCTTTTTTCGATTCACCATATGAATTCACATGGCTAGGACTTAAGAAAAACCCTTCGAATCTCAGGCAGGCGCGCCTTGCGGCCCTGGTCCCGGCCGTCGCGGTGCTTCAGATATTCCACGTAGGAAATTTCTTGCGCTTGACATTTGGGCTTCACCACCTGGTGCATCCGCATCAAAAAGATGACCACTTCATGTTGGGAAAAGTTTTTGGAAAATAGTTTGGAAAAGTTTTCTTATTGAAGTAGCACCATTTTTCCCCCTTAATGTTGAGAATAGGGGGTAGTGATGGTGCTACGAAAACCATCACAGTTATTGGTGTTTTTGGTGCTTCTCCCCTTGAGTTTTCAGACTCGGAGACTCGGAGGATCATCCACGGCTATCCCAGGTATCCCAGGCGGCTAAAAACCACAGTACTTCACGACACCTCAGAGTCTACAGTACTATAGCCCTTGGGGAAAAAAGTTAAACCTGGCTGAGAAAACCGAAAATATTGGGTGATCTGTGTCACCGAATGGTTACAGGAGCAAAAAAGCACCCCATGGACAGAACTATCATAAAAGATCCCATTGATTTCCTTGTATCCTATATATCCCCATATTGTTGGTGACAAATCCATGTAAATCCATACAAATCCATATACATCCATATAAATTTATATAAATCCATATAAATCTTTGAAACTCCTGAAACAAAGCTGCACAATCCCATGATCTTCCCATTGCCAATCCCGTTTAAACGTTTTACGGCCATGCCGCACCTCGTTGACCAACTCATAGAGATTTCCACAGCGAAGCTTCCCATTTCGACAGCCGCACCAGGGACAGGTCGACGCTGTGTCGTTCTCGTTCTCGTCGTCACGAAGCGACCGAGAGAACTGGCAATGGACCGGGTAGTTCATGCAGAACCATCCTGGACAGCGAAGGTAAGGTAAACAACTCGTTCACAAAAATATCATAAGTGGGGTTGATTTAAGTATATTTCAATTATTATGTTCAATTTATAAAACTATATATAGAGTGATTTGACTATAAATTCATATAATATATGATGTATTTGAGTATTTGTGTCTATTCTCACTAGCCTTCCTGTTACTTTTGGGAGAGGTACATATCTGGTAACCATGCGAGATTAACATCATGGGCTGGGCTTAGTTGCCTCTCTGACAGGTAACTGGCAGATAAGGGATGGTGATTTTCCAGCGAGAGTAACCAATAAGAATGGCTACCTACCAATAATGCAGTAGGTTTTTGTGTAGGCTACAAATAGGGAGGATTACATATATATATATATGTATATACTGTATATAAAACAAAATGCTTATGATGCAGACCTATTTTGCAACACACACCATGATTCTATGTTTTATTGGATTGGTTTCAAAAACAACCCTCAAATAAATAACCTTTAAGATCTTTTGGTGGTTGCTGGAAAGGAATATTATTGAAACAAAAACATTGTCAAAACCACCATGCAACCACGGACTGAAACAAATCCCCATTCGTGTTAAAACAAGCAAGAACCCTTCACCGAGGTATGCTGTACAAGTTCATCAATCGCAGGCTCAGCTGTAGATGATTGCTTTCTTAAGCTTCAGATCTTCAGATTCCCCAAAATAACATCATTTGGAGATTCGGAGATTCCATGAGATTCAAAACTTGGAATCCCAGAAAGTTTTTCTGTCACAAAAAATATGCCCAAATGTACTACGATTTCATCTGATCGTGAAACAAAAATCCCCTCGTGAGCCAACATTTCCCACGGTGAGGAGCTCCAACTTGGCCAATTTGGGATAAACTGTCGGTGTTGTTTTGTTTTTAGCTGGTGAACTTGCTTAACCACTTAATCTATATTTATGATATTTATGATGTTTATGATATTTATGATATTCACGATATTTATGATATTTATGTCTATGTTCCGATTTGTTCAGCAAATATGAAAGTAATTAATGAAGCGCACCGATCCCAGGTTTTCCGCCAGGGAAATCCTTGAAATCCAGTGGCAATCTTCAAACCAAGCGTCTCTGTTCAGTCATATTGTTCTCATCGCGCAACTCTTTCAGCTCCTCCAGAGGATGAATCAATGAATCAATCCAGCCCCGTTTCTTCTGATATCTTTAAAGAAGCCTTAAGAATTGGTACTTGACCTATCTTTACCTTCAGAATTAGCAGCTTAAGACTCAGGACTTTACCCAAACATGTTGGTACCGTTTGCCCACTGCTATGGGCGTTTGAGGGTGGAATCCTGCCCCTTGCGATTGTGAAGGCCCTCCGGTAGAGGACCCACAAGGCCCTGGAAAGGATGGGACATGCTTGGGAGCAATTTTTAGAGATGCTTGGATGGTTGAAAGTCACTAAACTCACACCAAATCATGCCAAAACTATTTTAAAAAAAACATGACAAATAAGATCTTAGCAGTCCTTTGTTATTTACCTTTGCACTATCCAACAGCACAAAATGAGTCTGCCTTTCCAGGTCCCCCCAGGGCAAAACAACGGCTCCTGCAAAGTGATTCCACGAAAATCCTGGGACATCCACACCAGGCTCTTCCTTCGATTCTCCTCCACGACCGCTGACGGCCTCGGTGCAAGGTCTGCCAGTTCTGCCAGTTCTGCCAGTTCTACGCCAGCGCTGGCAGCGGGCGGAGAGGCCATAGGATGGACCTCCACATCAATGCCACTTAACCAGGCAGCCGGGGGCTGCATCGGATCCTTTTTTCTTTGAGGCTGGAAGTGCGGTTGCGGCAACTCAGCAAGGAACCTGGAACATGTCAATGTATCATCCAAAGCTGTCCCCAAAATGATTTAGGGACTCTGTAGTGACAAACGCTAGGTAAATTGGTTGATAACTCGGCCAGCTACTGTTCATGGTGAATATATTTCCAGTTTGATGTGTTTATTATAATTTTTAACTACAAGACAAGGTGGTGCTCCCTAGTTTATAATTTGGTTCATAACTCCGTATCTAACTATACGGTAGTCGAATCATCATCAACCCTAGTGGACAAACTTGGCGAACTAGGGTGCCACCTTGTAGGGGGACCAACAAGTGCAGTGCAAGAGAGTTGTGGCATGGAAATCTACGGAGCTCAAAACCCAATATTATATATCGTAAATATAATACATATATATATATAATATAAATATATATATATATTATAACATTTTATCTCATAGTGTTTATGTGTACGACATATTTAGTGAGAACTGCATGTGCCAACAGGTCCCGATACAGATACTGGCAGTCCTTTTGTCAATCCCCCGGAACTTGCATGGATTTGCTCAGATTCACCGCATGTCCCATTCACCCGAAGCAAACTTAGCTCGGTGCATGTTGCAATGTACAGGTGAAGTTGGACCATTTGAGGGTTGATTGTGGTTTATCGGCCCCGAATCCAGAGCCCTGGTTGCACATTCTGGATGCCCATGATCAAGGATGAACATATCCCACGTCTCCCAGGTACCTCAGTTGCACATCCCCAACAAACAAAAGCTAGCAGAAATAGTTAGAATAATTCCTCCCTTGATGGGGGAAAAATGTAGCTGTGGTCGCCTGAGAAACCATTATACATGAAACACAAATGGGCGGTCAAAATTGAGTACCCCAATAAATTGAAATACTAAACATACCCAAATGCTCACCATGGTGCTGGAATATACACACCAACGTAGAAACCCAAAGAAAATCACCCTGTTCTGTAGGATTCTATATACCAGCACCATGATCACCATGCTTCGCATATGAGTCCCATACTAAGCCATCTGTGGTCCCGCTAGCAGCGTCCACCTGCAAAGACCACTCGAGCACAAGTACCAGAAGTGGGACCTGCGGCGTCGTCACCCTGGAGATCCCCGTCACCATGGTTTCAATACGCCTTGGGAATGACTTGATGACTGGATGAGAACTGAGGCTACCCCACTGATCGGAAACCTCCACATGTTACCGACGTTACTGGATCTCATCATGAAATCATGGGAAATTTGACCATCTAAAACGGGGGACTCCTGCAATTGCCAAGCTCAATATGTTTCTTGTTCAGCCCCTCCTGTAAAGCTTGCTAGGACTTGAACACAAGCCCAAACACGCTGCATCTTCCACTTCAAGCTCAGCGGCTAAGGACGACATCCCAGTGAAATCCCAGCAACATCCCAGTCAAAAAAACAACAAATGATGTAAGGCATGGCTTTTATGACACCAATCAGAGGGTCTACATCTCCTGGTCAGCTGGCAGAAAAAACATAGAACATCCCAATCGTCAATAGCAAAACTATCTACAAACTTGGTGAGTAATCCATAAACTTGGAGAATAATCCAGATTTTTGACTCTTTGGTAGGATATGGTTGGATTTGTCAAATAAGATTGTACATACTACCCTTCAAAAAGACAACAATAACTAGCATCCACTGGTTAATTACACGCTGGTGCCCCCTAGGCGACACACCAGTGGTGGATAGTGATAAACCATGATAAACCCATATATATATGGCCACATATGGCAAGGGCCGATTTTTTCATCGGTGCGTTCAGTCCAATTTTGACACTGCTTGGGGTAGGACCTTTGATGTAAGATGTGTTGTCACCTCTTTATGGCCCAGATGGATTTCATTTTTTTCCTATTGAGTTCACTCAAATTCGGAGACCAGAAAGCTGAATTTTGCTACAGGGGCCTTTCACAGGAGCGGACTGGAGAAAATCCATGACATGAATCATGAAAACTGTAAATCATATAATATCTTCAAATTAAGTAAAATACTCAGATGTGTTCATCATTCTCGTTTCTAGTTGAGGAAATATATAATAAACATTCTAATCATTGTACACATTACCGGAAGCAAAGCAAAGGGCGCTTCATAGCCATATAATGGGCCACTATATATATATATATATAGCCGTTTTATTCCCATAAACCCCAATTATATAGACAAATATACATTGAAAACCAACTTAGCTAACAAAAAAAAAGGTGCACCACCTTGTAACCATCTCTTTCATATTTGTTGCTTGGACGCCAATATATGTCCAAATCGGTTGGCTTAATCCCCATATCTCCACTTCCTGGTTATAAGTAACCATATGACATTTAAAGTTGAGTTCTGTTCACCCACTTACCTACAATAAGTCAGCTGTAAATTCCATTTTTTTTACAAACATATTCTGTTCGTAACCTGGAAAACCAAGTGAGGCAAAAAAAACTTTGAAAGTTGCCTTCAAAAAAACAACAACTTTTTGGTTTTCCTATGGTTAAACCATAGTTTTCCCATGTTTTCCCATGGTAAATCACCATGTTCCTATATGGTTTTGGCGATTTCGTAGGGACGCCAGCTCCGCCGTCTCGCCTTCCGTGCGATAGTGCCACCTTCGTCCGTCCTCAGAGTCGGCTTCGTCGCGCTCAGGTGGAACTGGACCTTCAGCGAACAAAAAAAACGGTGGTGCCATAATTTAATGACCAACAAAAGGATCATGGCTACATATGGATCTCGGATTTTGATTGGATTTTGTATGATGTGGATTTGGTCAGTTGTAAAACCACAAACATAACATGTGACTGATGTACGCAACACATCACAGCGCAAAAGCGGGGGATTTGCCATCAACAGTGGAAATAATCTAACCAACAAACATAGGGCCAAACCATGAATAATTTGGAATTCACCAGCGGTTATTTGGTTAGAAGAAGTGTATTAATATATGTATACTGTATACATATATATATATATATATTTGATATTTACCTGCAAGTTCTGGCAATCTCAATGCGAAAAATGATGAGACAATACTGGATTTTGGGGCACCCAAAATCAGTGGGCAAACCCATATGGGCCCTGCTCCCAAACATCTTGACCCGATCCGAATGATAACCCCTAAAAATGGCAGACCAGCAATAATTGATTCAACACCACAGGAAGGGATTTGAACTATGTAACCCACTCGCAGCAATGTGAGCCCCCCAGCAATAAGTTGGTGTATAACCCCATCTAACTAGAGATATGTCTAATAGATACCCATGGCATCCCATGGTAAATCTAGCAAACTCTGGGGATCTAGCTGGCTACTGGTTGGTGGTTTCAACCCCCCGACTTCAATATCAGTTATGGTTGAAAAAAACAAGCTTTAGTTGACCATATGAAGTAGAATCGTATATATAACTATACAGTATAAGATATATATATATATACACAATTATATATTATATATATATATATATACACATCATATATACACATATGTATATATATATATGTGGGTATTGGAAACCAGCTTTCCCTAGCACCTTTCCCTACAACTCTGATTTCAGCGGCACCTGTCTCTTCCACCACACCAGCTTGACCCAAGATGGCCTCGGATCCGCCATGGCGCGCCCAAGAGAAATCTGCCCCGTGCCCCGTCGTCACGGTGAGTTACGGCTTGGTTTATCAACTTTAGTCAAGTTGGCAAACATGGTAAACATGTGGTAAATACAGTTCATTACTTGACTTTGGTTTATTACTTGACTTTGATTTATTACTTGACTTTGGTTTATTACTTGGCTTTAGTTTATTACTTGACTTTGGTAAAGTTGGTAAACATGGTAAACAGCTCACTTAAATGTCTCACTGTCGGCTTATCGTCATGAAATAGCAGGAAATAATATGACATAACTCGAAGGAAAATCAGATTTGTTTAATCCATAAATGATCACACATGGATAAACATCAGGGCTTTGATTAGTAAGGTGAGACTAGATTTTATACGACATCTCAACTCTCTAAATTAGAGGCACCCAAGCTCAAAGGCATATGGGATGAACATGGATGAAATATCTGATAACAGCATATTCTATAAATATTCTATAACTATGTCCGTGTATAGAACACTTCTTGGATTTCGCAACCCCCCTGGTAGTCACCAGCAAAAAATGGTGATACTGACATTTAGGATCATTGCCAGTAGAAATTTACGCTTTCCCACCTCTTCCCTTAGACTTACGCGCTAAATGTATGAAGTAACCATTGACATGTAGAAAGTTACAATCCGATGCCTGGCGCAGCGAGGATTGCTTACACACAGAGGCTGTGCTTACCCGTGACCAATTGTGTAGTCGGGCATGTAAAAAGAGATGGTGAAGAGGCAGTTGTGCCTTCAAACGTTGTCTTTTATGCCGGAGTGCTTCAACTGTGGCGCGTAAACGCCTGATTTCGTGCACCTGGCCCATAAATTACATCTGTCGAGATTCAAAACGAGCTCTTTTGCTTAACTCGTTTTTTGCGTTTCTGTTGGTGGTTAATATGCTATATATCATAATATTCTGGCCTTGATCACTGATAGCTCACATTAACTTACCATTTGGATCCACAGAGAGGCTCTTCTCCGTTCACCACCAGGGAAACCCGGACCTTCGTGGCGTGAAGCTCTGTCCACTTCAGAAACGGGTGGCCTTGGAAGTGCCTGGGAGGTGGTTGATAGGTTGATAAGTTGTTGATGATTGCTTGTTGAACCATATAACATCATTTACAGTGATATCAATAATCCATTACTTACAGCGGTTGATAAGTTATCATATGTGATTTTTGGGTTGGTGATAACTCATCTTTTGGGTTTGTGGTTTATGTATTGACCAAGTGAGGTTCTAATGTGAACTGCCCAAATTACAGTTGTATTGTGGGTTGAAACCAATTATAGCATGAGAACAACAGAGAGGAAAATGATAAAAATGTCCGTGGTCAACCAAAAATGATTTGTTTTGAGTGTCAACTGTGGATCAAACGAATCTATACTTATTCAGGAAATCTTGAAATAGATCAACTTTAGACTCTTTAGACATGGGTCTTCCGTCTAGGACAAATTCATCCGAAACAGGAACTCGTGAGAGAAAGATTTGTCAGGGCGACATCCATTTTGTTTTTTTTGTTGAACTACCCATATCATTGGTGAATTTGTTGACCCACGCCACCCACAACTATCAGTTGCCTCAGCTGGATCTGGGTGCCCATTTTACCTATCCCACCTAATGTAGTCATTGCTACATCCACCATCAGTCATCATAAATTCTAGCTAGCCTAGTCATAAACCAACTTACCTAACTTCGAGGGCCTTGTTCCTGCGGGACTCTATCAGTGGATTGATCATCTTTGGTAGCGTGATGACTGTGGAGTTTGTACATGCTTAGTTTTATGTGGGTATATACAAGGTGGTATCCCCAAACGCTGCTCTTGTTGGTCTATGTTGCCCTTTCCACCAATCTATAGTCATTTCTTCACCATAAACCAAACAGGCTTGTGTGTCAACGAAACCAAGTGAGCCAACTAGAAATCAACTATCAATCCCCGTGTTTGTGGGTTAACGTTAACCTCCCCATCTGTAGACCGTACATTACCAATCAGTTCGCCGAGGCACCGGGCGAATATCTCAGTTATCACAGATCTTAAGTCATTTTTGTTTGGCCCGGATTATCCCAGCTGCCCAAAGCAGAACACATTCTTGCAGCTAAGTGCACCATATGGATATATTATGGAGAATTCACATTTGATCCATGTTTATAATATATATATATATCCACCGAAGAAATATACCATGTATCATTCTATATTATTCTATATTACTTGATATTACTCATAGAGATATGATCCATCATCCCCTCTGCAATCCCATCCATCTTCTCATTCCCAACATGTCACATGCTATCCCAGAGGCTCTTCGCCATGTCGTACGATTCGAACCACGCGGCTCTTCAGGGTTTGCCGGTTCCATTCTGTGGTTTTGCCAAACCTCAGCCACTGAGCCGAGCTACGATGCAGCATAGGTGTCCAAAAAGATGAAAAAATCTGGGGGGAAGGGGCAGGTTCCGCGTATCTATCAGTATTATAAAGTAGTAGTACTTTTTGGGAAATAAAATTGATATGAATTCATATTTTAGGGCACTGATTTGTATATTTGATATCAATATCAAGAAGTATGAAACAAATATGTCAAGGAACCAAATGAAAACTATGATCATCTTAAGATAGTTTGATATACCACGTGCCATTGTGCCTCCCTTGGCTGTGACAACCATGTACTTTCCTACATGTTGGGTGCCCTGTTGTTCAACCAACACATGAGTGAAACAGTTTTCGTTTTACTAATCATTATTCCAGTGACGTCACAAAGAAGTCATTGTCTATCAACTTGTCAAAGTCTAATTTCATATACATGTGTAACAATTAACAATATTATCAAATTTATAAATATAACTATTATATTTGTAATTAAATTAATTAACTAAAACTATTAATTAATTGAAATATAACTAGATCTATGTGCTGACCAACCCAACCAGCCACTTTACGCGCCTGCTGTTTTTGTTGATGTCCTCGCAGAGCGTGTCCAGGTCGTACCTGACAGTCAAAGGTTGACCATAAAACGAATCCTTTGGAAACCAATGGTGGTTCCAGAAACAACGTGGACCAGGTCGTTGGCTAAGACACCCCGAAGAAGTGGGAAGAGTACCACTCCAACCAACGCAGAGAGGTCCAAGCTTATCTGGCTAGACTCGGGTAGACTTGCGGTAAGAGGAGATTGCTGTTCTTCTCATGGGCCACTGGACGGATAAGAGTCGTATGTTGGTTCATAACTACAATAGCTATGGTATAAAATAGTGTATATGGCAGTGTGTCATAACCTTGTACCCCTGGTGAACATCAAAATAGCTGGTAAATGGATGTTCATTCCCCTAAAAATTGTATTAATAGGTATTGATCCATACCCATTTGAGGGTTTGACAATGGGAATTTACTGTCTATCCTGCAGTTGTCACCATAAAGGGGATAGTGATAATGAACCACTGGAATTTTATTTGTCACCTAGTCGGCTGGACACATCTGAAGCCTGAGCTTCATCGAATGGCATGCCCCCACAGGGAAAGAAACACAAACATAATCTATGTAAACCCCGCAGTCGCCTATTTATTTATATGTAACTAGGCTCTTGAGTTTCCTCTAGTGAAAATTCCTTGGCTTTCGAAGGCTCCTTCGATAGTCATTGATGCTCGTCAGCCACAATCAGAAGCTCCAAGGCCATGATTCAAATCTGCCCAGTCATGTCTAGGTCATCCCAACACGTTTCTCATTCTTTTTTCCGGTTCCCTGGATCCATGGCGAATCTCACCTCAAAACTCAAACCTTTTAAGCGGCTTAGTGTGATATTTGCCACTAAAGCTATACAAATAATTTCATACAAATAGATACAGGTACAAAATATCACAACAATAATCCACGAATTTGCAACTCACTATAATTACAGTTATTGCCCTTAACAGTTTTTAATGGGACAAAGACCTCCTGCAACTACGGTTCAACATATCACTTAAATCATATGTTCTAAGCCAGTTTTAATTGTGAACAAGGGCTGTAACTGTATAAGATTACATTTAGCTATAAATCATGGAATTTTGCAGACAATATATATATATGTATATATATATATATAAATATGTCACTTTCAATTTCACTATACATATCTATAAGACACTATGATTTGCTACACTATGATGTAAACGATCTTCAGCTTTCTTCGCCTTCAGATCTCCGCCAAGTCACCTGGCCACCTCGCTCTTCCGTTGTAAGGTACGAAGCATCGCGCGCAAGCGCGGGATCTTGGTGCTGAGGTCACTTTGCAAGCTGGAATACCTCAGCGTGGCTACCAACAAATCATCCGATAAGCTGTCATCAAACGTAGTTGGTAATATTATCACGTATGATACTTATAGCGAACTAGTATTCATGGGGTGAACATAAACCAACAAACATTACTAGAAGGATCATCATTGCTGGTTTAGGAATTATGATCTTCCCGGGTCCCCAGGAAAACATAGAAAACAAACGGCTTCCAGGATCGTCCAGGATGTATGAGTATAGATGATGTCCCATAGTTAGATTGGTTAGTTACCCTCCCGTGTCAACGTGGGAAATTCATGGAAATCCCGGACCTAAAGTATCTATATAAATGAAGGTTTTATAGTAGGGAGCATCATCGAACTAGATGGTGGATTGTCCATTGCCATCTGCGATTACAGATCATTCATCAGAATTCATCACAGATGATTTAGCTAAGTGAAGTATATTTCACTCATCTTCCAGCATACTTATGGCAACTTTATGGGATCATTGCTGGTTTGGGATTGCTCCAAACATCATTTAAGGGATCCTTTTTGGATGTGGTTTAACCACCAAAGGTGGCTTACTAATGTGAGGATCATCTTCCCCAAAAACAGTCATGTTCGAACATGGTGTGACACAACAAAGCAGTAAGGCATCAAGCCATTCCTTTGCCCATTTATCATAATGATATACCAGGCTAACCAACCAAAGTAAGCAAAGTAAGCACACAAAAGTTGGGTTTGCTAATTAACAATCTACCGAGATTCAAATGGATATACCTACAAAATTCAGTAATTACCTCAGGCATTGAGAAAGCCTTGCGGAATGTATGTTCAAAGGTATTGTGTGAATGAACGGATCAAACAAAAGAACTGATAGACTCAGACCCTAACATCCTGACTGAAGAGCAATCCCATGGTAGTTTTGTCGCCCATGCAATATTTGTGCTAACTCAACTATTGGCTTACCACACATGTGCTCTCAGCAAAACCTGGCAATGCTGCACTGCACAAGAAAAGCTAGGCAGACTTGAGACATGTGTGGCTGTTTGTTTTGCTAAAAGACAGCAAACATCCTAACCGTCACAATGTTGATCAATGCTAACTGTCACAAGTTAATCAATGACAAAAAACATCGAGTATGGGAAGAAATCTGAAAAGTAACTGATGAAACTGATATTTTTATGTCCCGGTTGGGTGTGTCATGACCAGTCCAAAGGTGGCCACCATGGGAAGGAAAGAAATCTCTGCTGAATGGGGGTTCGTTGAACCAACCCTTGGAAAGTTGACCTCCAATAGTAAGGCTTCAGTAAGGGCTTCTGAACCACCAACAACAACTAAAATAAAACATATAAATATATATAATAATTTTAATAAGGGCTTATCAACCATCTATCATTGGGGGTTGAAACACCCTTAGATGGTTGAAACTTCACCGTTGGCAAATTGGGTCACGGCCGCGCACTTCCAGCGCTGCCATGCGACGCTTGGGCATAACGAAGAGTGCTGAGGGTTTCGGCGTGGTGCTCTGGGTTCACAGTAGCGATCCTACACGCCGCGGAGTGGGTCTCAAATAACCGACTCCAATCCAGACTTGGGCCAGACCAGCCAGACCCGTGATTTGTTTGAATGAAATCAGAATGATGCTCCATGTCCAGAATATGTACACAAATATATATATATATATATTATACATGTTTTAGTGCTGGAATGAGTTTGCCATTTTTGAGGTCAATGCTGGAAAATGTACAGGCACCGGTCAGACTGTAGGCCTTTAGTTGAAACACTTCGGGTGTGCTCTTAAGATTGTGTGTGTGCATATCACCAATGCCATTCCATGTCTGTTACATTCATGTTACAACCAAACAAAACGTTCACTTTCGAGCTTTTCTGATTGCGATTGTCCCGCCTCGCGCCGGCTCGGTGATTGATTCGGTGAAAAACCGCCTGGGACAAGAAACCATTGGCTGTTCTGTGTCCTTGCCATCGAAGCGGCAGTCTTGCTATTGAAGTCTTGCTATCGAGTTTTTCAGAGACACCGGACTGGCAAACTTCGCGCATATTCTCTCTTCCAATTGGGTCGCAAGGGATTGGGCAGTCCGCTCCTTCGGACCCATGCTCGCAATCGTTCAAGAGGATTCAAAGCTGATCGATGAGGCGTTTCTGCTGATATGGAATGTGGCAGTATGACATGTTCGAAACATCAGGGTTGCTATGAGTGTCAGACCCTAGGCATTCATGGCCAATGGCTAGGCCAAGAGCTTTCTTTCAAAATGAACGGATTCTATGATGTGCTGTCACAAGTTACCACATGTTAGATCATTCCTCAGCCTAAGCACCAGTCATTTGGCTGGTTTTAAAGGAACATGTTTGGTTGAAACACTGATTTGAGCTGATGAAAAATGGTCGTTCATTTATATAACTGTTCCATTCATGCCATTCTAGGCGTGTTTATGTATGGAATACGAAAAAAAATATACACCATATCTGGAAAACTGTTTCTGAGTTCAAGACATGTCGAGGTTTCGGTCCAAATCGGTGCCCGACAAAAACCACCAAGTTATTGGTCGGTAAGTCTCGAGCCGGGCTCCAGTGGTGAAATGGGGAACAAATTACTGGTGCAAAACAGCCATAAAAACTACTTATAACTGGTTATTTCTATGGGATTAAAATGGATGATACATTCTATAAATGGGGCTTTCTTAGTACTTGTGACTGGTAAAGGGCCATAACTGTAAGCCTTTCAAGAAGGCTACAACCAAACTGGACCAATGATGAGCCCCGTTTTTGGGAGACGAACCAGCCCCCAGATATGTAAGTTGGTCTATGACTAATATTACTAGGATCCAACGTGAAAATTGCTACCTGTTGCATGGGTTTATCACCAAAAAATTGAGGGGTGGGGGCCACATCTCCTTCCCACTACACGGTGGTATCTCCTAGTTGAAAGTTGGTTTGTGTTACCTCTAGCTATAGCTATTTCATCACCATAACCCCCCCATGAACTATAATTATTGGTGAACAAACCAACTTAGCTCACAGGCTGAGTTATATCCATTGACATCCCATGAATACCCATTACCCTCCGGTAATCAAACCTGAAAATGGAAAATGTCACCATTCAAACTATGATTTTCAATTAATTATGTCCTATGTTCAATTGCCACATTTGATCATCGGATAGTAATATCCATCAATTCGCCATATATTATTATCTATTAATGATTAAACCATATTGAAGCCCCTATTTAAAACCATAGAAACAAAAACATATATTATCCATAAATTATGATCACCCTCTGGTAAACTAACATAACTATATAGAACATCACCATTTTTAATGGGTAAATCAACTATTTCTATGACCATTTTCAATAGCTATGTTAAATTACCAGAGGGTAATATCCCATTAAATCCCATTAAACCACCATTTTCCTATGGTTTTCCTATGGTTTTCCTATGGTTTTCCAATGGTTAAACCATTGCTCTTCCCCCCGGTCATGAAGGCTCGCGCTTGGTGTCCAGTAATGGCATCCGTCAGCAGCCAGGTCAGTGCGGAGTCGCGGTGTGGAACGTGATCGCCCTGTCCACCTCGGGCTGTGCCCCATGCAGTTCGGAATCGCCGTTCAGTTGGTGCAAATAACTACAACCTGGGGCCCCCAAACGATAGCTAAGTTGATGCAAATAACTCCAATAACTATATGGTTTATGGTACTTATAACTATAGTTAATAGGGTTTATGAACTAATTTACAACTGCTGGGCCCCACATTGTTTTTCATAATAAGTCGGTGTATGATACATATAACTTCGCCTCTCGTGGATCCTCGATGACCTATGGCATCCTATGGCCATGGCCACAGCTGTGAAAAATTACCACAGCCTGGTGGCCATGGCTATTAGTTATAACTGGTTATTTCTATGGGATTATACATTGAATAAATCGGGTTTTCTTAGTACTTATAACTGGTATCTTGGGCCATAACTGCAGAACCCAAGGTTGGGGATGGCGATATCTAAAGTGTTTCTTCTCCATCTTTGTGAGGTTTTGATTAGCACCCAAAGAGTGGTAGCTGCAAGTATTCATGGGATTCTTTTGGGGAGTTCATATTAAAATGTTTTGGGCAATAGATACCCTCTGGCAATCAACCATGGCAATGGCAAGTCCCTTATAGATGGAGATTTTAAGAGGATAATCTATAAGTGGATGATTGTCCATTGCCACGTTTGGTTACCGGATGGCAAGAGAGTTTTAAGCCCTACATAACCATACATTCAAAAAAAATGGCAACAATTTATGAATATTGGGTTTAGGGTGCGTAAAAAAGGCATGATAATTATAGCCATACCTGCTTTCTTGAAAAAATACTGTAGTATTTGGGGGTAAATCCCAGTTGCAAACACACCCAAATATCAGTGCTGGTTATACTCTGGTAATTTAACATAACTATGAAAAATCACCATTTATAGTGAATTTTCCAATGAAAAATGGTGATGTTCCATAGTTATGTTAGTTTACCAGAGGGTATACTCCATAATATCCCATACTATGCCCATCCTATCGTGCCAAAAATTGATATCACTACTGTGGCCCGCTGGAAAGGTCGCACCAGGCGGCGTGAGAGAGCAGAGACCACTCGCCCAAGGGTAGAGAGGCTCAGGTTGATGTGAGCGCCTGTGGAGATTGACAGTCTATACAGTTAAAGCCAGACAGACATACCAGCTATACATGGTTATAAATTCCATAAATGGGTAGTGGACATGTTGTGTGTTTCCCAAAGCCCAACAAAAGTGGTGACTGTTGATCTGTTGATGTTGGCTGGTTGTTGCTTGAGGCGTAAATGGGGTTATTTCACTAACTTATAAATGGTAAAGGGTTATAACTGTAAGGCTTAGCGATGTATACAGCAACCCCTTTCAAACACTGATATGTACCCATTTGCCACTGATAAAATGATGCATACCCAACATATTTTTCTCCCAATATTCTGATTACTGTATATATATATATAAATATATATATATAAATATAATCATAATCCTTTGAATTCCACTAACCTATTGATATATTACACTATATATGTGAAATTCTCAGAGTATGCAATCCCATGTGTATACATATATATATACACATCATTTTCATGTATAGAATTCCAAACAAAAATCTGACAAGTTGGACGCCTGGAAATATGAGGCATAAATATCATCGAACTACCATTCTGGTTTCACACTGATATCGGCATCTTTTCGGGATTGCTATACTGTTTATACATACCCCCAACACATCCAAACTGGAAAAACAATCTATGATCCAGTTAAAAAAAGGGAATATCAACCCAATGATCCATCTAAGTGCCGGGGTGGGTACATTTTTTAGACATTCATAAAATATTTGTAATTGATCAGCGCTTCTGCGGAACCCCAATTTAAGGTCTAGTCAGGATTTATTCATCCGCATTTGACATGGCAACACCAGTGACTAACCAGGTCCGACCTAACCTTCTTGGAGTTTAATGTAACCCTCCAAGTAGTGGCGAGTTGCGGGGCGCAACCTTTGGGGTACCAGATTCTCATGGCTATGTTGAGCATTTGTTAACCATCGCTAACCAAAAAATAAACAACTGGAAGCGATATTTGTCGCCCATCCAAATCTGGTTGGTGGTTTCAACTCCTCTGAAAAATATGAAAGTCAGTTGGGGTTACTATTCCCAACATATATATATATATATATATGGAAAAATAATCCAAATGTCCCAAACCACCAACCAGATTTTGTCGCCCATCCAAACTATTTCTGGCCACCACCGACACCCGATCTGACGCAACAAGTGTCCCTCGCGCAGCTGTTCGGTGTTGGTGGCGAATTGGCCGCACCTTTCAACGGGGGATCGGTGGTGGATTGACGGTGAAGATGTTGACAGGTTGATCATCATAGACCATTACTTACTGGTGCTTAGCAGGGAATGGATGGGAATGGGGGTTGCTGGGATGATTATTGATAGTTATTATGGATCATTCCCGAAAATTCCGTACTAAGCACCAGTAAGATTAATATAACCTCTGGTAAACTAACATAGCTATTGAAAATTGCCATTTATAGTGAGTTTTCCCATTAAAAATTGTGATTCTCCATAGCGATGTTAGTTTACCAGAGGGTAAGTGAGAATTCCTGGACCCAAAAAACTTGCCCTTGCCCATACACATTGGATCAAATTGGCAACATGTCCTCAATCGATCAGCATGGATTCGTCAACAAACGGTACCCAAGCATATCATAAAGTATGAACCACAATTAAAATCACCATGCCATAAATTGAGATAAAGCATCAATATACATATATATATATATATAGATATCCCTATTGTTTGGACAAACCCACGTTCATTCACCCATCAGCCCATCAAAGCAGGCGAGCGGGAAGTCGTGCCGCGCCTTTCACTGCCAGCTAGATCGACGATGTATAGTCTGGTCTCATTGCCTGTGACGTGGGTGAATTACAACAATTTCTGGTTGGTGGTATACCTACCCCTCTGAAAAATGATGGAGTTTGTCAGTTGGGATGATGACATTCCCAATATATGGAAAAAAATGTTCCAAACCATCAATCAAACCATTTTCTTTATGACCATGAAATGTGGGATTCACGCGACGCCACCCAGGTTGTTGACCCCGCCATGGCAATCTTTCGGTTCTTAGATGGTCCGTTAAGAGCGAAACTTAAGCAGCAAAAACCACTCATAAGGGCGAAACTTCACCACCCACTATATGACTTTAACAACTTTTTGAGGCATTCAGGCATGCCCCTGTCTTACCTCTGAATCCCTTTGCCGAAAATACTTAGTTACTTAGTTATTGAAATAGCATAAGATCATAAGATAGCAAAATTTCAATTCATGCCACTTGTGAGGCATTTGCGTCATGTGGACCTCAGAACATATATGAAAATATATGATAATATGCAAACATTATCACATGATCTGTGTATAATATATATATATACATATTAATATATATATATATTTGGCGGTTGATCTTAATTCCTTCATCTTTAATCTGCAATGGCAATTCTTCGCGAAAAAAAAAACATTTACTTTTGCAAAGCCCATGTTTATCTTTTTCGCGGGGGTCTCAGGTTGGAACCCTGGCAGCCTTTGTAATGGACAATCAATGAAAAATAGATCGACAATCATATATATATATATATTATTATATATATATAATTATAATATATATATATATATAATTATAATATACATATATAACTGTATATTTATCCTCCCGGAATTCAATAGAGAACCAATACTTCTGGTCATATCTAAGACTACAAAAACATATTGTTAGGGACTCAAACTTTATCATATTTCCGTGTGAAACCGTTCTGCTGTATGTTGCCGGGAAAAAAAAGTGTTGCTGTGCTGACCTGTGCGACCATTCCAGGAGATTCCATGGAGCAAAATTTCAAGTTACACGAACGACAAAGGTAGGAACCAAATTTACCACCAACTTTAAAGTAGGATGTTGATGGATGTTGCATTTTGTGATGGATGTACATGAACACACGTCTCACTGGGTGATCTTCCCTTCATGATACATGTGCCTGATGGACCTCCCATGTGATCCCCACATTTGGTGAGAGCGAAATCGCGACAGGTTGGGATGTAGCCTGCAAAAAAATGTTTGTTTAACATTGTTTAAAAAATAAAGATGGGGATCGATGATCGATAGTTGATTTATAGATCACTAGCTGTACTTTACTACAGTCTTCACTCTTGGGTTTCTGGTTATGAACTTATCAAAGTTAAACGGGCTAACATAACCAACACACTTAACATCACTTGACTATTGGGCACCACCTTGAACGGACGCACCAAGATACAAGGGTTAATTGTCTAAATGAAGAAGTAAACATCAGATATGTTCCACACTTGTGTGAAAACATATACTACAAATAGGTTGGTTTGATTAGATCGCTATTTACAACAATTCATATTAAAGTAAATGATAGCAATCATTATACATTGCTTATTCATATCACATTCAAAAACCCTATCAGCTTGTAGTACCGCTATGTTCGATGCAGCATTCCCACCTTTCTTGCCCGCAATGTCATTCCAGCAGATGTGAATCGTGGCAACCTTGGGGGAATCTGAGTCCATGATGTTGAATGATATAATATACCCTCTGGTAAACATACAAAAAAACTATTGAACATTGTCATTTATAGTGGATTTTCCCATAAAAAATGTGATTTTCCATAGTTATGTGGTTTACCAGAGGGTAATTTCCACAGTGCTTATAATTATATGGCTCAGTGGAGTTCAAAAATTATATCATTTCCACTGTTAACCCCCCAGAAACTACAGAACAAATCAGCCTTTTTTTCGTTTTTTTTTTCATAACAAATAAACATGACTTAGAAGTAATTCATGTTGTATGGCTCCAATCTGTCCAGATACTTGGTGCCACTCTCAATGGATTGATTCCACGGACTTTTCATTTCAAATCGTGTTTTCTTAACGATCAAACATCCCGAGCTTTCCGGTAATTTGTACCATCATTCCACTAGTATTCCACTTATATCACATTCCCATCTTTGGCCTTTAAAACCCTGATAGTCACCTGAAAAACCCTCTATCATCCCACAAATCCTATTAAGATCCCACCAATCACCAGAAAGAAAAAAACATCAATTTTCCAGAAAACTCCATAATTTCTGTAGAAAACTCTATAATTTCCCAGAAAACTCCATAATTTCCCCGAAAAAATCAATAATTTCCAAGAAAACTCCATAGTTTCTGTAGAAAACTCCATAATTTCCAAGAAAACTTCATAATTTCCCCGAAAAAAAACAATAATTTCCAAGAAAACTCCATAATTTCTGTGGAAAACTTCTGAATTTCTGTAGAAAACTCCATAATTTCCAAGAAAACTTCATAATTCCCCGAAAAAAACAATAATTTCCAAGAAAACTCCATAATTTCTGTAGAAAATTCTATAATTTCCCAGAAAAATCTATAAATTCTCCATATTTCTCCCATGAAATGCAGCTTCGCCACCGCATGGCTGCGACTGGAGCGCGGATTGAAGACGGTGCGGCCCACCATGCGTGAGGCCGCGCCCTCGTGAAGCCAGGCGCTCACCTAGTGGCTGATTATAACCATTATACAAGGTGGTGCCCCTAGATAGCTAAGTTGGTTTATAACTCCAATAACTATGGTTTATAGGTGATATATCTATAGTTAATGGGGTTTATAAACAAATTTATAACTAGGGGGGCACCACCTTGTAGCTATGGATTAATCGGCCATAGTTCTATAACTAGTGGTTATCCATAACTATGGTGGAATAGTAGTAGCATATAACTGATGTATAATTGATTTTACCTAGTTAATCATTATATAACCACTAAATAATGGTACTTATCACCAATAATGGTTATCTAATGGTTATAACTGGTATATAGTCGGTGACCATTAGATAACCATTCTAGTTCCAAGTGGATTAACATGGATGACCATAATAAGTATGTATACCCCTAGTTCTAAGTGGATGAAAACCCTACTTATCCCACAAACCAGGGATATATCTTACAACCTACTTAGTCATAATTAGCATATATGTAAAACCCGTACCCATATATAACTCCTTTGTCTCTTGTGAGTCTAGTTGAAGGGAACGGTGTTGCATCACCAAAAAAAATCTTCAGGTCACTCAAGATAGTGTGCCTTGTGGCCTCAGATTGGCAGTTAAGTTGAGGACTTGTGCAGCTTGCACCAGCAAGGTGCCAGGGGTAGATATGCCATTTTCTCCATCAAGATGCCAAGTGCACCAGGAGAGTAATCGAAGCAACGCTGAGTGGAAAAGTGCACGCTGGGTGTTAGCCCTTCAATCTGGTGTTCCAGTTCCTCCAGCTTGTGACTACTCTCTGGAAGGAGAACGTCGATGAGGTGTGAGTAGTTGTGTCCAGTCTTCTCTAACCAACTGATGTGTCCAGTGGGAAAGGTAACACTAATTTCCTGTTTCCGCAGGCCCGCTAGATGTGGTTCCAATGGTCGCCAGACGCAGAGCCACTGGCCGCCACTCCAGCCAGTTTGGACTTTCCAGCGAAGGCGGTATGGAAGCACTTGGCCTGCAGAAGGATATGGATAGCCAGACCAGTGTAAATCCTTCTAATCACAAATACAACCTACTTAGTAAGTGGGATGTGGGCCCCCCAAACGTGATGTTTGTTGGTTTATAAATTTATACTATACAGCCCATTGATACTAGAGTTATTTAGGTATCATTATCATTCTATACAAGTGGATTAACCCTGCTTATCCCACTGGCCCAATTCACGGTGATCACATTGGACAAAGAAACATTTTTTTGGACACCAGTTTAGCTATCGTTAGGGGGGGCCCACATGGTAGAACAGGTTAAACAATATGCTGGTGGTTACTAGTTGAAAATGGAACCTGTTGACCAATTGGATGATATGTTATACTACACTACTATTCTGGGATCAAATATATAGAAACAACATGACTATAACCGCAAAAATAAGATAGAAATAGATAGAACATGTCGAAAAGGTGAAAGTTACTGCAATATATATTAAGCATTGGATTTTAGTATTCTGTCTTTTCCGAGGCTGCAAGAAAACATGATCAGAACTGCTGCACCTCTTGGGCTGTCAAAACCATCTGCAAACACACAGAGTTTAACAGCTCACTGGAATGTTGAATAGTCCCATATTAAGGAACAACACCATCCCGTTTGAATGTCCATCATTTTGACCAACAATCACAGCGATGCCATCTATGTTTGTACATATGTTTCAGTGTGTGCATGTATAAATACCTATCAGCCCATATACATCCTCGACAGCTAACAAGTGAACAGTCTTCAAAACCCCCCCCGGGGTCCCTTTATGAAAGATTTATGGTCCCCAATATCTGGGATAGATTTGGATAAGATACCCACTGGTAATTTTACATAGCAATTAACAATGGCACATAGAAATAGTGGAATTACCCATTGAAAATTGTGATTTTCCATAGTTATGAAAACGTTTACCAGAAGCTAAACCTCCATTTTCCAATGGTTTTCCTAACGTTTTCCTGTGGTTTTCCTAGTTCATCCCCCCTAACAACCAGGGCTTTTTGTGGCATCTCAAGTGCTGAATTTTTCCGGCGCCTGCTCAGTGAGCTGATCCACTTCGCACCTGGTTGGTGCAGTTCTAAAACATAACAAGTGATATGGCGATACGATATGATTATAATAGGGATAATATCATGGGATATCATCAACTATTGGTTATGATAAAATATTATAGTAACAAGTTGGTGTATGATAACTATGATATACTATAATATGAAATAGGGTTTATAAAGCCAACTAGGGCTTTATAACAATTTCATAACAATACTAGTGTATGACACTATACTAGTAATAGTGTATACAAATTCCCCATTCTTCAAGTTGATTGAGAGTCAAGTCAACAATCTTGATATCACCCATCAACTCATCAAAGCCCCAGAACTCAGCATCCGGTCACCAGGCTCGCCATGGCTCGCCTCCTTCGTGTGAGGCCCTTGACCACTACACGCTCTTCGGCCGACAAGGTGGGGGCCTTGTAAGCGCTGCCCGGAGCGAGCTCGTCACGCTCACCTAACGCAGTTGAGTCGGGAAAACTAGAGTAAAACTGTAGTAAAACTAGGGTGAAACTATAAACTATAGTATAGTAAACTTCAAAAAAACTGTTAATTGACGGAATTGAACTGGTCTTAAACATAAACATCCCGGCGGAAGGGAAACCGCGCGAGCGTTTTGATTGGTTGCTTCCAGGAGAGTCACAATCACCTGCAATTTACAATATAAAATGCTCTTCCGATCAGTTTGGATAACTGAATTTGGGTTTAAAAAAGTGGATGCAAAATCTATTGATTTTTAACAAATCCAGGTAAACATCATGTCACGTAGTAAACGATCCCAGAGATCTCAGCAGCGTAGCAACATGTCACGCAGTAAACGATGCCAAGGATCTCAGCAGCGTAGCAACATGTCACGTAGTAAACGATCCCAGAGATCTCAGCAGCGTAGCAACATGTCACGTAGTAAACGATCCCAAGGATCTCAGCAGCGTAGCAACATGTAACGTAGTAAACGATCCCAGAGATCTCAGCAGCGTAGCAACATGTCACGTAGTAAACGATCCCAAGGATCTCAGCAGCGTAGCAACATGTAACGTAGTAAAAGATCCCAGAGATCTCAGCAGCGTAGCAACATGTCACGTAGTAAACGATCCCAAGGATCTCAGTAGCGTAGCAACCTGTAACGTAGGAAACTATCTCAGAGATACCAGCAGCGTAGCAACATGTAACGTAGTAAAAGATCCAGAGATCTTAGCAACATCGCAATATATCCTGTACGAAGTTTGAGGAACGTTAACATGCCCCCCCACCCCACCCCACCCCAACCCCAACCCACACTAACATGGCAATATATCATGTAGAGATCTCAGCAGCGTAGCAACACGTAACGTAGTAAAAGATCCCCGAGATCTTAGCAACATGGCAATATATCATGTACGAAGTACAAGGAACGTTAACATGCCCCCCCACCCCACCCCAACCCCAAGACAAAGAGCAATACTCAAAAAAGAAGCAAAACGCACGTACGGTTTTCCTGCCGTAGGCATAAACATGGAGTCCTAGTTCGATTTTACTATTGATCATTCCAAATACTTCGAAGGTTGCAAGTCAGGCATGATCATTGAGTCGGTCTGAACATCACCAATGCTGAATCACCAACTAGTGGGAAGGGAATGCTGGTTATAACGTAACTACAGCCACAGAGGGCACAAACCAACAAACATAGGCTGGGAGGCCCTTCCGGACGTACACCTTCGTTTAACCCCCCAACAAATATGGTGCGTGTATGCCAAACAAATAGTTTATGGTTGCATGTTTGAAGAGGCTATTGGCACTGAATCACTCACATCCCAATTTAGGAAAAAGAAATGGGGCGGTTTGGTATCCCATGATCATTCAGAAATGGCTTGTGAAATATGAGGGTTACCTCTCAAAAGACTCAAGCAAGCAATGAAAAAGGGGAGATAAAACTGAAGATGACGAACCACCGCTCATGCTACCCAGGATGAACGTTGACCTCTGCTTGGCTTAACTTGGGCACGCATCATTATCTTAATTGCACAACTATTGTCACTGTTGGGAGGTATACACAATTTAGTCAGCCGGAGGTTCTCAATCCTATCATCGATGGTGAAACCAAAGGAACACACTGTTCTGAGCAACTCTATAAATTAATTCCTAATGCATATCGCTTGTTGAGAAAAGTCTCAGGCCCATGTTCAACTAACCCTTAACCTCATAACCAGAATTCAATTTCATGGTTTCTATATGTTTCTCTGCACTGTTGAATGCACATAGAAAATAAGTTTGATCAGCAACCATCAGAATGCCCGAATGTCTTGCATCATCCCTTCTTGTTGAGCCAGTTGCTTAGGTTAATCCTGACATGCTTTAAACAACAACCAGCAAGACAAAAAGGGCCCCTTATCATCCAGCAGTGGATTTTCATCACCGGGCCTGCCAGAGTGCAAAGTTTGGAGTTGGAGAGCAAGTCCTCAAAGGTTGCGGCTGGGAGGAATTCATGGAACATGAAACTCATGAAACCCCTATTGTTTACAAACAAACATCTCAGGATGTTTAAAAAAGGCTGTCATCACCCATTTCGCGGCTTGATCCAATACATGCCACCAGAAAACCAAGCAGATAGTGCCATCGGTTTTTTTGTTGGAAACACCTTAGCATCATGAGAAAAACATTGAATTTGTTGCTGCTCTATCCGAAAAATGATGTCCTGGGCTATACCCTTTGTCATCAGCTTTGTGTATACTGTATATACACACATGATGCATATACATGCACTATGATATTATATTGGCTGTGCGGGGCTCTTCCCTTGCTACAAGGATACAACTGGTAGAACAGATGATAACAAAGCAACACACATGTCTGTAGCAGTGCGATCCAAATCCACATCAGAAACATTCAGAAACAATCATACGAATTCACACATTGTAAACATGTATGTTGAATACTATCAGTCAACTCAACATATCTATTGTTTATTCGTTATTTTTTTTGTGGCAAACAGAGCCCAACAAAATCTGTCATGCCAGCCACTCCACTGCCCAGCAGGCCCAGCAAGCATCGTGAATCTTCTCGTTGTAAACCTCTAAAAAACTAAACTCCACGCTCACGCTCTCCTCGAAAAGCGGAGGAACTTACAAAACTTGACTGCTTATGTTTAAACTGTTTAAAAGCTAAGGTAGCAAACGCGGAAATATTTTGCTCCAAAAATATTGCTGCAGCAGTACTCAAACTCACATTAATCTGGAGTTTCATTCTTGGGTTCACATGGGTTCATCTGAAATAGGAGAACTTCAGGGCCAGAAGTTACTACGATAATGATGTTACTACGATTCATTCTATTTTAGTGGGGTTCAAACGAGTTCAAATGTGCAAACAACTGATCTTTGAATGTAAATAATTGCATGTCGTTCTATCTGTTGGATACTTTATTGATAATGTGAGGCTCGTTCCATCCTCATTCTTCGGCCACAGATTCTGATAAAGGGGTTCGGATCCTATATCCCACTATATCCCCATTTAAAGATGAAACTTTAGCTGGGAAACTGATTGTATCTCTTGTTGGTTTCCACGGTTTCAAGCTTCAAGGTAATTCAACAAATATAACTCTACCAGAAAAACTCGACCAGAACTACCTCATAGCCAGGGAATCCACACTTTTTGATACTTTTTGATCAGGGTTAACATAAGGCGGGAGGAGTTGTGCAGAGGATTTTGATAGATACAAGACACAAAGCATAGGGTGCGCAACTACAAAACTCGATGCATGGTACCTTTTTTGCAACTACAAAATACAGAATACAACTTAATTTGACTCGGAAAATAATTCAAAATATGTACTACAAAAACCAATGCATCTAAAGTTGAAAAATAGCTGAAAATCGGAAATGCTAACATGAATTTTCCCAATAACATTTTGTAGTTGGGTCTATGCCATCCAAAGTTCCGACCAACGTAATTTCAGTAAACATTTTGGGGGTGACGTCGTGACGTCGAACTAAATCGTACAGATTTTATGGATGTTTCAACTTATACAACTACAAAATACAATTTAGATTTTATGTTGCATGCTTCGACTATTCAACTTGTACAACTACAAAATGCACATGATATTTTGTGTTGGATGCTTCAACTAACTCAACATATACAACTACAAAATACAAATGAGGATTTGAAAGGGAAACAACTACACAATGAATGCAAATACAAAAAGGTTGGCCAACTCCACTTTTTTGTACAAAACGACCCCTGGCTGGCAATCTGTACTGTAGCCCAAGTCCTCCCCTTTATGTAGCTGTGATTTGATCTCAATTACTTTTTGGACATTATCAACCTCCCCTTGCCGCCTTGCCCCACCATCTCCAGTCCACCCGAGCGTCCTGCGGTTCCTGCCCCTCCTCACAGCGAGTTTGCTGGAAACCGTTCAGAATCTTGCTGAGGTTTTCAGTCAGACCTGGTGATGACTGCGGGTTTCTTAAGTCATGGGGGATCCCAAGTCACCATGGGTTGAAGCCATACTGGTCATTGACAACTGGATGATTTGGGGTACCTCTATTTTTGGAAAGCTCCAAATATCTATCATGGTATCCAAATAACTGGTTATAATGGCTGTAAACAAAAACTATGTTCAGGTCTAGATTGTCATTATGAAGTATGATTTTGTTTGATGTAGGTGGATCATGTTGGTCATTTGTAAAGTTCCATGATATTTAAAGATATTCACATCCTTTATATACCCTAAAACTCAACAGGTAAATGATTCATTGGGCGTGTCCCGGAGATTGTGATTGACCGTTCACATTTTTAACGGGACCCCCGGTACCCATCATATTGGTGCAATGTTGTTTTTTTAATCGCAGTGTTACCCATTTGTCTGGCATGATCTGAGTATTATGATTAAAGCATTTCTGTGGTTGTTAGATACGCATTTGGGTTTGCATATCCCATGTGTTTGTAGGCTAAATCGATACATGAAGCTCCAAGAAGAAGTTGGTATCTGACCCCAAACTGCCCAAGTATCCCGGAAATCCATATGGGATCCCATCGAATCCTGCTGGATTATGATTATCCCCAAGATTAAAAAAGGCTAGTAACTGACTATAAAAAATCATCATTTGGCAATTAGATAGTTATGTTTTTTTGGTGCTTAAAAACTGAAAAACTCTATACAGCCTATACATATCATTTTTCCATGTAACCAATCCCATGAAAATCCTATTAAACACTATTAAACACTATGAAATCCCATGAAAATCCCATGAAACACCCTTGAAATCCCATTAAAGACCATTAAATTTCCCTTGGGCACTAAAACATCATTAAGATTCAATTAAAGTTCCATGAGCAGTTTCATTAAACACTATTAAACACTATGAAATTCCCAGTAAAATACCATGAAAAGTACCATGAAAAACCATGATTGCTTTCAACCGGTCACCTGCTGCCGCCATTTTCACGCACCAAGCTGCGAAAGGCCACACCCTTCGAGTCGTCACTGCTGGGGTCGCCGAAGACGGTGTGGGTCTTGCCGGAGCCAGTTTGACCATAAGCGAAGAGGCAGCAGTGCCTCAGCGGGGTATATATATATATACATACATATACATAATTACAATTATATATACATATGTATATAATTAAATATATATATATATATATATATATACATATAGAGTATATAAATATATATATTATATGAATACAATTAAATATAAATGTATATCAATCTATAGATATATATATATATGGTGCAGCGTTGGTCACCCCCCCACCAACCAGTAACCAATGGGTATGGGTGGACAGTATCGTCTGGTTCTTCTGGTCCCCCCCCTGTAGCCTGTGGTGCTGGTGGTGGGGTGGTGGTGGGGTGGTGGTATGTATGTATGTATGTACGTAGGTAGGTAGGTAGGTAGGTAGGTAGGTATGTATGTGTGTATGTATGCATGCATGCATGTATGTATGTATGTATGTATGCATGTATGTATGTATGTATGCACGTATGTATGGATGTATGCATGTATGCATGTATGCATGTATGCATGTATGCATGTATGCATTTATGCATGTATGCATGTATGCATGTATGCATGTATGAATGTATGTATGTATGTGTGTATGTATGTATGTATGTATGTCTGTATGTCTGTATGTCTGTATGTCTGTATGTCTGTCTGTATGTATGTATGTATTTATGCATGTATGCATGTATGCAAATATGCATGTATGCATGTATGCGTGTATGCATGTATGCATGTATGCATGTATGCATGCATGTATACATGTATGCATGTATGCATGCATGCATGCATGTATGCATGTATGCATGTATGGAATGATGTACGTATGCATGCATGTATGTATGCATGTATGTGTCTATGTATGCATGCATGCATGTATGTATGTATGTATGCATGTATGCATGTATGCATGTATGCATGTATGTATGTATGCATGCATGTATGTATGTATTCATGTATGTTTGTATGTATGTATGTATGTATGTTTGTTTGTTTGTATGTATGTGTGTGTCTGTGTATGCATGCATGTTTGAATGTATGTATGCATGTATGTATGTATGTAGCTTCAACATGCATCATCTGGGGACCCATCCCAGTGGGACCCATCCCATGGGGGGAGTGGGAACACGGGACACGGAACCATATATGTACAATTATGTGTATGTGTATATATATATATATATATGTTTCAGTTTTAAACTCACTATAGTTCATCGGGTTTACATGCATACAAACAAAAATATGGATGTACATAACTCTCAGTTATAAACCAAATTCGCCAACGAACTGGGGCAGCATCTTGCAACATGTCTGGCGATTTAAACAACAAAAGATGGGAACTTGAGCAGCAATGCGCCAGTGGGATTCCAGCAGCAACCAATGACTGGTTGGTCGTTGAGCCATCCCTCTGAAAAATATGAGTTCGTGAGTTGGGATGATGACATTCCCAATATATGGAAAAATAATCTAAATGTTCCAAACCACCAACCAGATGAGAATTTCACCAGCATTTTTTCTGTTCTGTTTTTGTTTGCGGTTCGGAGGTGTGGGAGGGACACCATTGGGGATGAAAGATCCTGGGAAACTGATAATATGTTGGCGGCGGCACAGACCCGATGTGAACATACATGCACTGACACAACATGGCAATCATGGAAACTGTATTCACAATGTGGGACCCCCAGTTATCATTGTGTTGATAACCCTCATGAATACTACAGCTAAAAGTATCATAAACCAGAGCTATTGAAGTTATGGTCACCAACTTGTCGCGATTTCAAAGGCCCGGGGCTGCCTGGTGCGGATGAGCTCTCACGACAAGTAATTGCGCGGATAGTGAATAGGAAATACTGCAACCACATACAATGTATATGAATATATCATATACCCGTGTATGTATATATACTGGTTAAATTGTGTTTGTATACACTGTACATGTATATATATATATATGTATATATCCCAAACATTTATATCGACTCAAATACCTCTTTAAGTCTTAAGAAGGTACTTGGCCGACCAGAATCACACCCCAAACACTCCCTCGAAGGCAATTTGAGAAACATAGAGTATAATTTACACCACACAAAAACAATTTATTATTGCAATATAAATTATGGCATATTTTGCTGTAACCCATTTACATCCCCCTTCCTTTAACAGTTTCATGCCAGGTACTATACTTAGATGAGCCATTAAAGTTACCTGGCTAGCAGCTAGGGTACAAGCCATCATATACCCATTCATATCCCAGTTACCAACCAATAAACATGAGCCTCATATGAGCTACAAAAAGCGTTGCCCCAAACGATAGCTCAAGTGGTTTTAACTCCAATTGCACTATGGCCTATGATACATAGATACCTACAGTTTATCAGAAACCATAATCGCCATTCATAACTCTAATAGTAGTTATATGTGTATATATTACACCTACCAATTTTATACCATAGTTACATATTGAAACTATAATAACTAATCTTGGTTTATCACGCCTATAACCCCAACTTAATCCCTTGCCGGATCAACTCCAGGTGGCTCGCGTCGCAGCAGCGTCCTCATCATGGGCGCCTGGAGAGTACTCCAAACATCCACCTGCCTGAGCGCGAGACGTCGGAGGCTTTGTCCGACGAGTCAAATGACAAGCGTTGAAGCAATCATAAATATATTATATACTATATACTTATATTATATACTTATATATATATATGTATTATAATATGTATATATATATATGTATATGTATATGTATATATATATATATATGTATATGTATATATATATATATGTATATGTATATATATATATATTATAATATGTATATATGTATATATGTATAACCAGCCCCCCCTTGAATTTGAAGTATTCTTCTTCCAGCTGAAAATTCGCAAGAATCCGGGTGAACAGTTCTTTTTGCCTAAAATTTGTACAAATTCAGGTGGAAAGTTCTCCTTGCGCAATTTCTCCGGGTTGTCTCTTTTTCTTGCATTGCCCCACCATGTCATTGGAAGTGAAACAATCCTCGCGAGCACATGGGTGAATTGGCATCACAAAGCATATGTATCGCCATGTGGGCAAAACATCTGGAAAAAATGTAGCAAGCCATTTCAGAAACAAATGATTCATTCTGCATCCTTCCCACTGCCTATTTGTAACGACTGTTGCAAGCAAACCTGGTTGTCATTGGCCAGCTGAGCCTAAACATTGCCCCCAGAGGGCAAATTACCATCCTGCTTGAGCTCAAGCTGGCAGACCGTGCTCGGCTGTGTGCAAAACGTATCAAAAACTATCATCAAACCCACGGCCATCTCACGGGAATGCAAAAAGTGGAAAAACGATCCTCCAGGTAGGGGAAAAAGAATATCATTACTTGCGTCCGTTTTCCTAAATTCTTCATCCAACTCCTACTTTTCTTGTTCTAATTCTCCGCGCCAACTCTGGCTTTCTCCGTGCCAAGTCCGGCTTTCTCCGCGTTTAGTCCGGTGTCAGGGTTTCTCCGGGTTATCCCTCAACACATTTAGTAGGATTTTTTTCCTGCTAGGGAGTATTTCAACACCAGTGCGCAGGATTCTTCTAATTTATCCGGGGTACATGCTGCTACGCAATTCAGCAATAAGGTCCGCAAAGATATCTTGGGACCAAATGGGTGATAATCCGGTTGGAAACACAAATTTCCATCGTGGAGCCAGCTTTGAACCTCGAACCCAAGCACATGCCTCTGCTAAATCGGCTTCCAGCCACTGGCCATTTCAGAGGGCAGCTTCAAAGATTCCAGGCACGTTCAGGCTTAGAGCAGGCATCGGTACTTGTCGCCAAGAGCGGGCAAATCATCTGGATGTGAAGACCGAATGGCACAAACGGGCGTAGCTTGCTGCAGTAGCGGTCAAGAAGTTTCCAGCAGTGCCCAGGATGTCCATGGATGTCCGCAGCTGCGTGCGCATCTTCAGCGCAATAGCTGTGGTGCCAAGAATTTGCTAAACCCAACATGGCTGCGCAACATACATCGTACATGCGTGCCAGAAACAGGTCTCCGGCCTCCAAACAGGATTCTTCCGCCAACATAACAATTCTCGCGACGGATGGAAAAAGGTACCTTTTTTCAAAAAGGTACCTTTCCTAGGTGTTTCTGGGTACCTGGTGTACAATGAACATACCATGATAATATAACCAACGAGGATATACGAGGAATATGTATATACTGTATATATATATACATTTGGCTTGAACCAACCAGAAAGCAACGTGATGGATATCTACCAGAAAAATGGCTTTGTAAATTGTAACCGTTCTATATGAAGATATCATGAGGATATAATGGTTATGATTAAACAACATGAAGATATGACATGATACAACCATGAAAGTGATGTGATTTTGTCCAAACTTGTGTTGGGTGGGCCAACAAACTGATGGGTACTTTACAGTAATCTTGAAATATGCAGTTTTTACCCAGATGAATCGGTGCTTCTTCATGTTTTTTCCCAACATTTTCAGGCAAACTCATCTGGCTCAGTCGTAAGGTCTGAAGACATTACATGACATTACCAGGCGAAACAAGGTCAATTGTGACTCCCTTATTATGTTTGGAATTGGATATTGAATGTTTTGAGACATAGGAAGCTTAACCAACCAGGGAGGCCAACATCACACGCGGATGCAAATGATCGACTTTGTCTATGAATTAGATCCTTGAATCAAGAATCCTATCAGTGCATTTGCAATCCGCAGATACATAGCGTTAAAACATGGTAAAACACAATGTTTTATTACCCAAGGTTTCCAAGCCACAGCAACAAAATCAACAAGTCATTGACAACAAATACTCTCAACAATGTGGGGCCCAAACGTGATGTGAACGTTGGTTTCAAATCACCCCATGAATACTAGGGCGTTATTTGCGTATCATCAACATAATAATAATGAGTTCTTGCAGTTCTGTAAACCCCAACCCCTGGCGAGCGTTTTCACGTATCGTACAGTTATGGCCCGAAATGCCAGCTATGGTTGTTATTTGATAGCTAAACTTTCATGGGGTTATCATTCCATATATGGATATTTTACTGACTTAAAACTCATTCCAAATATGGATCTTTGACTGACTTATAACTGAAATATAACTGACATATTCAACGGGCCATTGGTTGCCCCACAATGTCGCCTGGCATCTTCCTTGAAGATCGGATCAAAGAAGAACGACACCTCGGCGCCGCTGCAGCGCTGAACCACACGGCGGCGCTCCGATGTCAACGGCGACAGCTGACCTTGGGCGGGCTAGCCCTTTTTGACGTTGGGTGGCGGCCTCTAATTCACTAGGGTTTAGGGGGACTCTACATGACTGGTTTACGGTAGTATTAATATGTATGAAAATGGGATATGAGTGGGTATAGACGAAGTCTGTTACAGTTATGGCCCAAAATACCAGTTATAAGTACTTATAACCTCATTTATAGAATGTAAAATCCCATTTATAACCAGTTGTAACTAATAAATGGCCATAACTGTAGCTATGCTTTGTTTCTTTTAAGCAACTGGGGTTTTGGTCATGATAGGGATCCCCATCACAGCGTTGAACATCAAAAATGGCAGCTGGATCACCAGGGATCGATTTCGAATCTGGATGGGAGTCATACCCGGCCTGGTGAACATACAAAAAGCTATTGAAAATGGTGATTTTTCTCGTGGATGTACCCATTCATAGCATGGTGGATCTTTCCATAGTTATGTAAACGTTTACCAGAGGGTATATTCCCTATCCTAGATGCTCCATGTATGGTATATTTACCTACATTTAGTGATTTTCGGGGCAAATGTTGATAAATCTTCCAGCACCATGGAGCATATGGGTATGGATCCAAGTACTCCCTGAGAAGGTATTTAAATGTATGGCTAATCCCCAAATCATACTACCCTAAATACTTCAGAAGCTACGGCTGGATCCACAGGAATTAACATAAATCTTTATAGTTCTCATCCACACACTCAAATTCTTTGCCAAAAAAAAACGACACACCATTTCAAAACATCAAACTCTAAGCTGAATCCAGTGCAGAAATTCATGCCATGGCCGGGATGACCGTGGCCGGGCCCATGTTTCAATCCGACAGCGATGTCACTAACTCTGATTGGCAAAGTGCCATGGTTTTTGTTCAACCGCAAAAAATGGGGGCCTTTTTTCAAATCAAAGCAATACAGTTATGGCCCTTTACCAGTTATAAGTACTTATAACCCCATTTATAGAAGGTATAATCCCATTTATAACCAGTTATAACTAATAAATGGCCATAACTGTATCATCTGATCATCAACAGCTGAAGTCACCAAGCCACTTTGATGAGGGCAGAGTCGGATCCCAACCCAGACTCGCTTGTCCATGCTGCCCAGCAGTGAGGATAATGCATGGTCAAATTCCTGAGCTGGAAGGCTGCTTGATGCTTCTACTCCCCCAACAAACATGAACCTAGACCCTCCAAGTAGAATAATGAAGTACTCTACCCCTTATTTGCGGATTTTCACCGCTTATTTTTTGGGTACTTGGAGGATCGAAAAGAGTCAATTGAGGATTATCAATCTAAATTAAGGAGGAAAAGGAACATTGTGAAACCACCAGCAAATTAGGCTTGTCACTTATCACTTGTCCTTCTCTTCGATCAATATAGCCATCCAAAGCTACGCTGGTCATTCATTTGAGGGGCGACGCATGTTTCCAATGGATGTTAGTGCCCAAATTATACCCATGCCCTCAAGGGCTCATATTAATACAGGGTGTGACTGTGCTTCCAAAATGGTATCTGGTGTGGACTTCGCTGCCAATCCAATGAGTTTTGCAAGCCATGCGGCTTCTTGCAAGGATTTGTCGTTCCTCAGCTGACTGAATTGGTGAGCACAACCTCGAGACAGAGTTGCTGGCCACATCTCATACAGTAAGAACAATGGTAGAATATTTACCCTCCGATAATCAGACATTGCAAGGTAAATCCCCCGTAATTACCAGAAACATCTACTAAAAACAATTAATTGTACTATAACTACATGTATATCAGTATATATCAGTATATCCTATAACCATCTATAACCAGCAATTACATGCATATCAACCAGCAATCTTTACGACATTTGGACTGCTGCCCTCCGCCCCCGAAGTTTCACAAGCGGCTCCAGCAAGACCGTGACGCTGCTGAGGCAGCTCGCATTGCAGCGCCGGAAGGCGGGAAGCCGCAACACCGGGAGACAGCGGGCGATCTGGCCGCGAAGCGGTCCGTGAACCGGTCGCTTTTTAAGGCGAAAGTGGCTTTTAAATAAAGGATGTAAGGTTTGGATTGGTCGCTTGGATATATTTCTGGTCACTAGAGATTCGAAAAAATATAAAAACATGTTCATATTCTGTCTTTCTTGGTTGGTTTTGACTGTGTGTGGGTTTCACCATATATTGAAACCCGGCGTTTGTTTGGAATATCCCTGGTTATATATAGGTGATTTGGGGTTCACATATGGGTCATACATTGATAAACCACCTACTTAGTGGGATGTACATTTGGTGCTCCCGCATTTGGTTTCACCTCATACTGGTCCGATCTATCTACCATAACCATTACTTAACATACATTCGAGCTAAGTTAGACAACTATGGGGCGCCACAGGGTGATACTTGGTCGACTTGGTCGTTCAGGTCTCAAGTCTGAGTTGTTTCACATCGTTTCGCGTCTCGACCACTTTTTCAGAAGCAGCCATTCCAAACCTGGAAATCTCGGAATATACATAGATACATCATATATAATCATATAAATATATAGTATGCAATACATGGATATTGTTGAATTCGTGTCAAATACCCAGTATATCCTATTCCACTTAAAATTTAAAGTATATTGAAAGGCAGTTGATTAGTCGCTTCGCCAAGTAATGTTGGGGGTCGGACACTCTATCTGTGCCACTACAATAAAAGTCGAGGTGGGTGGTTCTTAGTCAAACGTCAACATTAGGTAATAAGTCATCCGCCCCGTGAATCTTCAGTGCCGCGTTTGATTGCCGAAGGGTGTCCGGAGTGTTTTTCTGCTTGGAACCCCGACATGATGACACGATAGCTATTTCTAGCCCCTAAGCACCCATTCCATGAGATTGAATGTTTCATACCTGCGACTCTATTGGAACCTCTGGCTATTGGTGAGAAAACATTCTCTCTCAAATCCAAAGCCCAAACAAGAAAAGTGCCATGGTCAAAACATGGGAATGGATTATGATGATGCCACAATCACTAGCAATTCCGATTTTGTGACAACATAATATGTATAATTTATAAAATTATATGTATATAAATACTATAATATATATATATTATACAAATTCTTACACTGCTGTGTGTTTGTATAATCCATGTTTTTGACCATGGCACTTTACACCTGGACCGTCCGGTCGACCCTCAATTTACGAACACACTTTTTTCAGGTAGCATACCTCAAAATCCACACTTGATGGATATCAAAAACCTAATTACAGTTTTTAATACTCTCGTTTGGATCGTGCAATTCTGATGCGGGACGGCTTCTCGATCATAATATTTTTCCACTTGTGATACCCATGGAACAAAAACTCGTGAGTGAACGACCCGCCTGACACGCCAAGTTCTGCGATGAAAATATATTTCTCCCTCTGCTATGAACCTGAGCTGTAAGCGTCCAGGGAACTGGTTCAGGTTGACTAGTTGAGATTACCTAGTTCTTAACTGCCAGTTGTTACCAGTCAGTATAATACTCGATACTCATCAGAAAATTATCTGGTCTTGGTACCGATAGATCCGATAGAATACATGTTCTAAATATCTCGTATGAAACTCTCATCAGGTTCCAAGCACAAGTTTGTATGGCAGCCTTAGCCAACAACAGTCCTCTGGCCATTTCTCAACTGTCTAAGTCATTAGGAGGACACCCAGACTTACCATGGTTTTTTAAAGCGGAAAAAAACATGTGGGCTTTAAAATCAACATTGCCAACTATGCCACAACTACTCACATTCAATGACTGGCACTTTTTACTTAGTGTATTGAGCAGAAAAGCATCAAACCATTCGTCCCTAGACAGATGGTGAACTTCGTGAAGTCTGCGAATTTCTGCGGGATGATCACCAAAAAGCATCTGATAAAGTGCTACGATAGAAATTACAATGTGAGGCCCCCGTTTACGATAGCGTTCAGTTGGTGCAAATAACTCCAATAACTATGTGGTTTATGGTACGCAAATAACTATAGTTACTGGGGCGAACCTAAACCAACTAACATCACTGGGGGGCCTCACATTGCATGCTTGCAAAGAAATGTATGCCTCAACTTCCATCTGTCTTGGCTTTGGAAAAATACAAGAACATGCCAGTGAAAGTGAAACCCTCCCTTCGTCTCCTTTGGATACCTACGAAATATCAGTTGGGTTGACAAATGTTTTTGTTGGCCAGAGAACAACAATGCAAATCTCAAATTCCTACAAGCAATCCACTGTTAATTCAGCATGCATCTATCTCAATCCACTGTTGTCATCTGCTGATTAAAATTCAACCGATTTCAGCATACATCTGGGGGCTTCCTAAAAAGGATTCCCAAAACCATGGTTTTCAATACTTAAAATGGTATACCATGGATTAACATGGTAAAAAAAAGAACAATTGGATGATTTTGGGGTACTCCTATATTTTGGCAAACCTCCATCTATCTAAATCTACTGGATAATTCTACTCGTATATCCCTCAAATTCCTATCCTGGCCCTGACCCACCTGTTCCATGGCTGCCATGGCTGCCATGCGTTTTCGATCGACGGCTGGGCCCACAAGCTGCAGGTCGGTGGAAAACACAAGATATTTCTTGATGGATTGGTCAGTGATTGGTCAGAAATTCTCTTGGGATAGTTGAAACATCTCGAATTGCACAGTTTCATCAAACGATCCCGTTTTTGGCTTAATTTAGGTTGGCCTGAATCTGCAGGGTGAAGGTTTGCCACCTGCTGTGGGTGGTCTCCATGTTTTTGGTATTTGTCACTTGAAGGCGTTTGTAGAAGTCGGAACCCGATGGAAACCGCTCTGGAGAACAGGAGAGACTTGGAGACTATCCACGTGAGCTCCCGTCAAAATCCTTTTCATCTCAGTAGTTACTATTATCGGTCATCGCTTTTTTGGGGAACCATATCTCTTTCTAGATCTTTCTAGTATCTTGTGCCAGTATCGCTTTTTTTTGGTGGGCCCCAAAGCGCTTTACGGTGTTTCGTGCACATCTCTGACCATTTTCGTGCTTCTGCTTGGTGGTTTCAACAGCAACGCCAAGCAATTGTACCCTCCGGTGTCATTAAAGGCAGCAATTGGAAATCCACCAATTATAGCTGATGTTCCCATTAACACCATTTAAATCTATTTAACACCTCCAATTATGGAGGGTACACCAGTGAACCAGCCAGACCTTTAGAAACATGTCATGCTCCTGTGCAACAGCTGTCCAGGTTGCCTGCTAAAGCTATGGAATATCGAGGAGGTTTACTGGGAACCACCAAAAACCTTAACGATGCCTTGGCCATGTTGATGCACAATTCAGACCCAAACCACCACAATTCCTGGCCATTCTGTGTGCTCCACCTCTAGCTCTCGGACACTCTAGATATGATGCTGAATCCATGGCCAAACATTCAGAAGGGTTCACTGTCCATTCATACACCTTCCTGCTGAAACCCGGCAGACAGGGAGTTGTCCCATAAAAAAGGCACCGTCCCGAAACGGTGTCATCAAACATGTTTCTGGGAAACCCAAAAGTGGAGGTGTCTAGCTGGGAAAACCAACTGCTTAATCAGAATTGGTTCGTATAAAAAACAATGCAATTTCTGGATATCCTCTACCCATCTGTGATGTGGCTGTTCATCAGAACCAACCTGTTCATAGTATACTAAGACTAAATCGTTTGTAACTGGGGCAGTGCTTATCTGGGGGTGTATTTCCAATTCTAAGTGGTTATTCAACCATGGTATGGGGGTAATAATCCCAACTTATGTTGGTTTCAATCCCATGGTTGTAGCACTGAATACGCCCTGGTCAGTTACAACTCCTTAACATTTAAAACTGGCTTGGAAACCCTCATTGAAGTGATATGAAGTGATATACATATATATATATGTATATATATAATTATAATACATATATATATATAATACATATAAAATTATATATATGTATACATATAATACATACTTGGTGGCTCATCCCACTTAGTAAGTGGGTTATAAACCCAGTTATAAGTGGATTAAACCTACTTATCCCATTTATAACTGGGGTTATAACCCACTTACTAAGTGGGATGAGCCACCAAGTACTGTGTAGATACATATATATATATATATAAAAAAACAACCAGTTGATTTATTTCGCCACAAGGTTACCAAGTCCCCAGACTCCACCAACTTGGGATCGATGGTTTTGGCATATCTCAGCCTCGGCGTTTGCGAAACCAACGATGATTGATTTCCAACGAAAAAAAACGTGGGAAATCACCATTTTTAATGGGAAAATCCACTATTAATGGCCATTTTCAATAGGATATCTTGAATATTATAGCCATCAGATATTTAGAATATTGCCTACAGTTATGGCCCAAGTTATAGCAGTTATAAGTACGAATAGAAAAACCCATTTATAGAATGTATTTTATCCTATAGAAATAACCAGTTATAACTAATAGCCATGGCCATAACTGCAGTTTCACTTGACTTCATCGAAACTGCTATGACTTGGGAGTATGCTTTCTTTTCAGACCCATGTAGATGTGTTTCTTGATGCTGCCAGAGAGGCATCTCCACTTTAAACGGATGCAGGGTAAAAATGTGTCCCTCTGAATCAATTATCTGGAATTCATATGGGAAAAATCCACTTTGTTCCAGCTTCACTGCCGATTTTCTCGTTCGTTTTTTCAACCCAACCCTCACTTTAACGGAACATCTTGGACAGAAATCATGGTTTCTTCAGTTTCTTCCTGGAAAAATCACGATTTTTTGCTGGAAATCTTCCCTACAACCACAACTCCTCCAAGGGACGAAGATGTGGACGGAGCCTCCTGTGAGCTGTACCATTGAAGATTATCCAGAAACTATTCAGTATAACAGCAGTTTTTGAGCTCAGTTTAACTCAATGCTTCGTAGTATTTCCAATACTAATCCGATGTAAAACTTCCAACAATTCATGGGAGATCCGGAGTGCGCGGAAGCGGGGAAATCTCGAAACGCCACTGGTGAGCTGAGCAGCTGAGCTGGGTTGCTACACTCGATGAACTGTTGGTTATGACTAACATAGCCATGGAAAATCCCTTATAAATGATGGTTTTAGTGGGAAAATCATCCATAAATGGCCAGTTTCCATGGCTATGTTAAATAACCAGAGGGTAACTGTTGGGTGTATGGTGATGATAACACTAGTCATATGCGGCTATCGACTAATACCATATGATCCATGGTGCTGGAATATGTATCAACATTTAAGCGCCTAATGTGTCACCCAAATGTAGATAGATTTACCAGCACCATGGAGCATCTGGGAATTTATAACTATGAGGCACCACCTTGCAGTTACTCTATCTACATCCCAACGTGCTGGTACTTTTTAGCATGTGTTGATGCAGCTCGAGGGTCAAATAACACAGGCTGGACCACATATCCATATATGATTCTTTAATATTCAAAAGAATATATGGAATATACGCGTATCAACACTCAACTGATCGAACAATTTCATGATTGCGTTCAATGGGCTACCCAGCACTCGTTCGAGATTATTTACCCATTCACAATTGTGATATTCGATAGTTCTCTTAGTTTAATGGAGAGTATACCCTTGACATGGCAAATCTTAGATACCCTGCAACAACAAAAAAAACTAGTTAGTAGATAATCCCATTGATACTAAAATACTAACGGATTAGTTTCTACCCATCCAAGGTTAACCCGTTAACCTAGTTGATAAGTGTTGATAAGTTGTGTTCGCTATTTCCATCTCTTCGTTGTAAGATGCCCTGATCGAATTTGACGTCGGTTTTGGGGGCTGCAACATGTCAAGGCAAATGCTGCGCTCGGAGTCACATCCTTTGCAACCAACATAAATATAAAGGACTTGTTTTTCGGATTGTGTTCAGTCAGTTTTGTGTTTCCATTTTTTTTCCATTCTTTTCTTGGGATTGCTACAATATGGAGCCCCAAACAATAGTTGAGCTGGTGAACATAACTCCAATTATCATGGTGTATGATATTCAACTTAGAACTACAGGTTTCATGGGCTTTAAAAACCAATGAACATCACGTTTGGTAACCCCATAATCCCCGCATTGCCATAGGTTATGAATATTCACCTTTTCTATCATTAAATAACTCCACTCCATCTGCTCCAACTTCTCCTCTTCGATTTCCTTTGGAAGCTCGGGACTCTCGGATGCCTGCAGGGAAAAGGGCACAAGTAACGTCTGGTGCATCCACCTACTTGGGCATGGGATTAGTAAAGTGATTAATAACAGGGTTAATTACAACCCATTAAATACAATTAATAACAGGCTTATTACCCATTAAAAACATGAAATACCCAGTTACATCCCACTTACTAGCCAGTTTGTTCTAATCCCTTTGCCAATGAAACGCTCAAGGAACACCACATAGAAATGGATGGGCACTGGGCACCGTGTCGTAAAGGTATCAGAACTCTAGATGTTTCTCTCAGTGGTCTCAGACATCACACGTTTTGGCAGTGCTTCATCAACTCACATCCACCCAGTACAGTGTACCGGTAATTTTACACAGCTCAAAAATCCCATATATGCTCCATGGTCCTGGCATACAAAAACTTACAAAACTGGGTGGTGTTTAGGGTAAATCGAGCCAAAGGGGCGGCGGCCATGGCTTCGAATATGGGATGAGCTGGATATTGTTGAAAGACCAGTCAGATTTTGCAAAGGATGTTTACTTGTATATATAATATACGTTGGTACCAATGGAAAAGGGATTCACACTTATATATATATTCTTTGGTACCAATGGCAGAGGGAAAAAAAACACCTATATTGATCTAGAACCAATTAGTAGAGAAAACTCAATGTATAGTATGATCAGCAGACTCATGATGCTGAGGACAGCCCCCCGCGCTGATCCGGATGAGTTTTCTCAGAATCGCCGACCATTGAACCAGTTGAAACGCCCAGATTATTGGTGATATCACACCTGTTCATGGTTGATTACTTTTTGTTCATTCGAAAGCTGTTTGATTAAAAACAAATACTCCTTCCACCAACATGATTACCAAATACCATCGGAATTTGTTGACGATTTGAACATGTTTACACTATGGCCCCCCAAGATAGCAAAGTTGGTTTATAAATTGCGATAACTATGATTTATGATACTCATAACTACGGTTAGTGGACTTCATAAACCAACTTATAACAAAGGGGCCCCACAGCGCAAAAAAAAAAAACAAACGAAAATTAAACATATTAAAACCCGCATGTGCCTTGTGCAGTTCTGGCCCTTTACCAGTTATAAGTACTTATAACCCCATTTATAGAATGTACAATCCCATTTATAACCATTAAATTAATAAATGGCCATAACTGTAGATGTTCATCGGTACCATTGGTGATTTCATCGGCTTCCCCAGTTCCGAGGGCCTTCAATCGGCGTTGATTGATGACCTGGCGCGCGCGACTTCGGCTGGCCGTGGTGAATGTTCAACGGATCTCATGCTGTACCCAGACTGACCCTCCAAGTACCTAGAAAAATGGGCTAATGTTCATGGTAGTATATACCTGATATATATATATATAATTATGTATATATACAAGGTGGTTCCCCCCCAGTTATAAATGGGTTATAATCCCATTAACTATAGATATAACACATATAAACCATAGTTATTGGACTTATAAACCAACTTAGCTCATGACTTTGGGATCTTTGGGACTGTGTGCCATTAGATACATATGGTAAGATACCCGTGCTGGGTAAGACTTTTACCCATTGATGGGTACTTGGAGGGATGTTATGTTGTGCTATGAATAAGCCATGGTCCAAAGATAGTATGGCTATGTATAGGCTTGTATGGGTTCTGGCCATCAATCCCATAGTGGAAATCCTTTTTGTGATATGTATATATATATATATAGATATATATGTAACGGGTGCATAAATCCCTATTAATAGCTTAATAACCATCCCAATATAAGTTTACAATCCCCGACTGACCATGGCACACTGGAGCTAGTGCAATTGGTATGTCCCTGTTTCAGGACAAATGACCTACTTCTTTGGTTACATAACTGCCAACTTTTGGATGATTTCAAGCTGCATGTTGTAGCTGAGATCGTATCATCTCACTGTCAGCCCACAAGGCCCAGAAGGTGGGAGTCCCTATCTAAATGAAGTTATAACTGCTATAGTAATTGGGGAAAAACTGCTTATAAACCTAGTTATAACCTACTTAAAACTACTTAAAACCTACTATAGCTAACAATAAGTTAATAAGTGGGGCTTTACGAACCAACTTACAACTGGGTGGCTCCACCTGACGATGACCTTGTGACGCGGCCACAAGAACAACAATATACAGTTGTAGCCCTTATATAACAATTATGACCGGCGAAAAAAACAAAAAAACATTTGGTCGTGATATGTTGGACCTTGCAGGAGTGATTTCATCCGAACTGCTGATTCCCGCCATAACAAGAATACAACTGATGCTTTTGTTTCGTGTCGCTCAATTGATGAAGATTTTCGGAATGACTAGCAGGATGTGTGACGATCCAAATTAAGTGAGTATCATCGTAGCTGATGTCCCACACCATGCCAACCCTGCTGCCGAACCCTGCTATCGACCTTGTTCCGGATCGTGAACGCCGTGCGAAGAATCCAAACACAGTCGCGATCGTTGGTTCCTTAACCGAGCCAGTGGGCTCGACGCGGGGGAATTATAGGGAGCCATGATAATCTCATGTCGAACCATTTATGGCAAAGCGCCATAACTCTCTATGAGCAACAGAAATTCATTATCAACATGGAATACCAGGGTGAGACTGGCTGGGGTACACTAGCCAATCGATGTATAATCCGGAAGCGCAATCTGCTCGGCGATGTCCACATATAGATCCAAGACTCAAGTTGGGTCACAGAGTCACAGTGATCCAAATTCAAGAACAACATGAACTGCAAAGATACCGAACAGTAAACCAACCATGGTAAACTAGTCAACCAGCCACATTAAGTAATACAGTGATGGTACATAATGGTACCCCGTCTAAAAGAAACAACGCTTTTTCCGCAATTTGAGCCACCTATTGAGAGTTCGGGGGTTCTAGCCGTCCATCTATGAAAATATTGAAGCGAAATAACATGTGGTCAATACACACAATGGGGAATCAACTTGGAAATAACATGTGGAATATGCAAAGTGCAAATATTTTTTGTTGGTTTTTGCCTTCCCAAAGATTTTTTTGGTTCTTGGGGATTTCCATGGACTGTGATCATCAAATGCGAATTGAAACCGCCATCAGCACCCGCTGATTGTGCCCCAGTAGTTCCCGCCCAGTGGCGTTCAGCATGGCACGAATCGAGCGTGGGCTGCTGAACGAAGGCACGCGCGGACTGGGTGGTGGGTGGGCGGCTTTTTGTATTGGTGACTTTTCAATGCGAGTCAAAGATAGATACTGTATGATACAGGGGATAAGACTATTACCAACAATAAGCCGGGGGATTGCTATCTTGGGAAATACAATCTTTCAGGATTTCATGAGGGTATGATAGTATGTAGGAACCCATATCAAAAAGGTGGATGGGCCCAGCTGTCACTCGGAAACTCCCAGTGGCCAGCGCTGCGCCCAAAGAACTTGGCTCGACCACCATTTGAACCGCCTTCTGATTCTATTGAGTCCTGACATTAATCAGTTAAAAATATCTGAGAATAGAAAGTTGGACTGACCCTCAAAATCATTTTGACTGGTAGTCGACCATGAATCGGAGGTTTCTCCAGGCCTAAAACATTCGTACTGTGCTTCTAAGGCTAACCCTCAAACCAAACATCTTTATGGGGCCCCGAATCGAAAAATTGGACGTGATCAGTAACCCATGGGCCCCACAGTTATGGCCATGGCTATTAGTTATAACTGGTTATAAATGGGATTATGTATATCTTCTATAAATGGAGTTTTCTTAGTACTTATAACTGGTATTTTGGGCCATAACTGCAATCACATCTAAACAAACATCAACACATGTTCCACCCCCAAAAGAATCACCAAGTCGGCTCTAGAAATCGACCAGTTTTCGCTCCCCGGAGGTGGCCAAGCGGCTGGAACTTCGCGCGATTTGGCAAAGCTGTCTCCAAAGAAGCCTGGAGATCGACCGATCTTCGCACCCTCATCACAAGCTGATTTTCTGCAGTCATAAGACAATTCAGACATGACCTACTCAGATATATTAAATTTATTGATAGTTATTATAGATAATACACGTTTTCATATTTTTTGACCACCATACAGCTGAGTTTTTTTATACGTTCATCCCAACACTGCGCTCCCCCTTGGATGATCCCAGGGCTGGCGAAATTTCCCGTAAAGACCACCATGACACCAAAAAAGAAGGGGACACAAAAAGTTCACACCTCAAAACAGAAATATATATATAATATATATTATATTAAATTATATTATATTAAATTAAATTAAATTATATTATATTATATTAAATTATATTAAACTAAATTATATTATATTATATTACATTACATTATATTATATTACATTATATTATATTATATTATATTATGTTATATTATGTTATATTATAATTTATTAAATTATATTATATTTTATTATATTATATTATATATTATATTGTATTTTGTATTATATATATATATGTATATTATAACTTTATATAACTATATAGTCATATAGGAAATCACCCTCTTGAGTGCAGCTTGTTAAAGAGATCTCCGCCAAATTCTACGGTGCCAATCTGCCTCGCGTCCAGGCACCTGCAGGGGCACGTTGGGGCTGGTCGGAGGGGAGATCTTCCCATGGATCTACACGTGCCGAAACAATGGGATAAACACCATATATAGATATTGATAGCTATTATCAGTTGATTTATGCTAAGTTGCTTTAGATGGCTAATAACCAACTAATTGATATACTATATTTACTACTATAATTGATACAGATATTGATAGAACTGTTAAACCTGGTTTTATGGAAGAAACGTTTGGGGACACCACAGAAATGCAGCTTGGCAGCCAGTGGCATGTGGATGATTTATTAAATACCCAAAAATGTGATGACCCTGTCATGATAAGTGGAAATTCCCTACATCCACCATTGTTTCACATCGGGAGTGTTCGGGATTGTTCGGGATTCATGTGCTTGAGCTGTTGAGGGATCTAGACATCAACTAAAGGGGATTTAGGGGATTTGTTGATGTGAATAATTGGGATTACCACCCATCAGCAAGTAGGCTACTTGAAAATTCACCGAGTGCGACCCGGTCTTCGCTACCTGGGGCACCCCAAAATGATCCGAAATTTGGTAATTTTCATGTGGGAAAGCAATGGTTTGAGCGGTACACCTGTTAAAGAAACACCCAAAGAGCCGTGGAATTGGTGTGTGGAATTACTACCCATGTCCCTTGTCTATAGTATATTTGGCTTACGTTTGGGTGATTGTTTGTGTAAATGCCTGGAGCATGCCCTTCACGGAACTGCACTTACAAAATCTTGATATGGAAGACAATTTTTTTCCAGTTTGACATTCTATGTTCCACATGATATATATATATATATATTCCAAAATAGTTTGACGTGTTTGTCTCAAAAGACAACCCATGGCCAATGATATGCATATACCAAAATACATATATACAAATATACATTGTCAACGCATCCATATATTCTGTCAAACATAAAAAAACTTCAAGCTGTTGATTTACTTATCAGAACTTAAATTACGCATCCATAAGGTATAACCCCAAGAAAACTATGGTGACATCTATTCACTCAGTTCACATATATTGGAATTAGAACTTAGATTAAATATCCATACATTATGACATATATATATATATATACATATAGAATTAAATATTCATCAATATTCCGCAAATCAGAAAATATTGCTAGATATTCCGGAAGTCAAAAGATATTCAATAATATTCAATACACTAATCCATGAATCAAAGATATTCAATACACTATTCTTAAGTTTCTTGGCATTCGCAAAGCGTCTTTGGTTCCTATTCCTCCTTGTTATTCAAAGATATTCAAATTCCAAAACATACGGTAGATGGTTGCGAAATCCTGCACCAGCTGATAGGTGGTTTATCCAACTATTTAAAGGGTTTCGACCATCCAAGGTGGTGCAGGATTTCTTCCATCCACAATTTCTTCCGCTGTTTCATTTTTGTCCATCGTCAGCCCCACCTCCATCGTCGCGAAGCTCACCAGAGCGCGCAGGAGCGGCTTCCCGGGCTTCTCTCTCTCGCTCCCGCCTGCGTAAAATGATTCGATAGAAATGGAAACCGTAGGAAACCCCAGGAAAACCATAAGAAGATGGTGGCTCGACCAACAAAAATTGTGATCTAATGAGATTAATGATGATTTATGAAAGCTAAGTTTGCGCTTAGCTGAGTTGGTGACTTGGTGAATTCTATGGTTTATAGAGGAGATCACGAACCAGCGGGGTGAATCTAAACCAACAACGTCATTGGGGGGCCTCACGCTGCCATAAACCTACCATTTGGGTTTAGGGTTTACCACATCAAATGGGTCACAACCCTAGTTACAATTGAACTAACCCTACTAAACTAAATTATAAAACAAGAATAACACACACACATTTATATACTAAGTGAAAGTAGGAAAATCTGGGGTACCCCGACTTATGGATATGTATGTGTATGTGGGAAGAATGGAACATCTTTGGGTTCAAACCAACCAAATTGTTGCCACATCTAGCTATAGCAAGATTTAACCATGTTTACCCTGGTTGGTTGTAGTTAAAATTTGCCCCCGTCTTTCTTGATTCATTTTCCTCCCACCTCTCCCTGGCAGCTCGACGCTCGTCTTCGCGAGCGGCCTACCCGGTGCTCTGTTGTTCATAACAACGACCGGTCCGCGACGGTATTGGCCAAGATGAAAAACATAGGGATTCAACAGGGATAATCAACAACAAGTGTCCATTTTTACATTGTTTGTTTGTATATGGAGGTTTCCTCACGTAGGGCTACCCAGTACTGAAACAACCATTGTGACTTCAAATCTTTAGTTCCGAAGGAATTGGATATACCCTTCTGCAAACTAACATCGATGTGGAGAAAAATGCCATGTGTAGAATATATTTTGCTCATTTTCATAGGATAGACTCACAGTTTTTCCAGATCTATGTTTGTTTACCTTGGCTAATTAACCAACTATCCACAATAGGGATTTAACATGTAAAAAGTGGGGCTTGAACTTGGGTGATTTAAACATCAACTCAGGTTGCTGTGGTGGGAACATGGGTCTGAACTTGATTAATCCGATCTATCACTCACCAAAAAATGAGGTTCAAAACCATGCTAGTGGGTAAAGTCGTTTAATACCACCAAGGTTGAGCTCCCTTTTATGAATGAACACACCGGGTAATTCGGGATATGATCGGGATATGTCACATCGGGGTGGAGGGATTCCATGGGTAAGGATCAATCCATGTGGATACCTATAAATTTATGATTACCCTCTGGTAAACTAACAGGTCGCGCTGCCCTTGGGCAACTGGTGTTTTTTGGCGCCTTTTCTTCTTTGCGCCTTGTGCTCTTTTGTTCTTGCGCCATTATCAGCGAGCGCCGCAAGCTTTGGCCAACTGTTTGAGAAAGTGCAATGGAACATTCCCCGTCAAGTGAATTTCAGTTGTCAAAACATAAGTATATTATATATACTATGTATATATAAATAAAAATACATGTGATATATATATATATATGTATTTATATGTGCGTGTACGTAAGTGATAAATATATTTATGTGCGTAAATATAAACAAGAATATATGTACATTTGACATTTTGTATGTATATAATAGTGAAAATAAATGTATATGCCTGCACATGTTGTTATATATATATACATATAAAATAAAAACTTTATACTGCATATGTATCTAAATGTAATTTTCATTCTGTAATATTGTGTATACCCCGAAGTTCACGAAGCATACATGATGTGAGAAAGTTCACAGGACGTTAACATCCCAAAAAAGAGGGGTTGGGAACTAACATAACTATGGAAAATCACCATGTTCAATGGGTAATTCCACTACAAATGGGCCATGTTCAATAGCTATGTTAAATTACCAGAGTGTATATTGATCATAATAAGAAAAATGAATACATGATGATAACTAACCTGTGAGTTTGGGGTACCTATTTCCCAAAAAATAGCATGTGTATGGGTCAAACCCCAGCACACTCTACTTCACATCCTAAAACTGACAAACAATTTAGGAGATATGAATGACTGCTATACAATTACCCATCCTGGCCACACAGCAGCCACCCCTTTACAAGTCGGTTTATCCAAACTTCTGGTTACAACCACATCGTACATCTCTCACATGCGATAAATACATGGAATATTTACACAACTTATCCACCATGGAACAAATTGTCGTCCATCCGTGTGGACTGCCAGCAATATAGTCGTCCATCATACATCATACTTGTACATCTACACATGCTAGCATCGATATGCATACTTAACCTAAACATCTTTAAACATAGAATTATAATTATGATCATTAGACAGAATCATATGCATATACTGCATATATATATATCAGTTTCAATCAGTATAGTTATAGCAGTTATATCAGTACATCAACAAGCCAACAATTAGCAAAGTTTTGGGAAAAAACAACTCCAACAGGACGTTCACCTCCAATCGGACTCCACGTCCCGCAGGCCTCAACCAGCTCTGAACAGTAGAGGGCACAGCGCGCCGCCACTTGTCGCTGGTTGCCCGCCATTATTGCCTGGGTCATGGGCCATGGCTTCCGGTGAGCTTTTTGTTAAATAACCGGAGAGTACAGGATGGGGCCCCGCAGTGATGTTTGTTGGTTTATAAAAGTTATAACCACCATTAACTATAGTTATATCTACCATAAACCATAGTTAAGCCACTTATAAGGCAACTTAGCTATCTTGGGGGCCCCATCCTGTATATCATATCATGGCTGTATATAACTCAAATGGTGGGTTGACCTATAAAAATACGGGGTTAAGCTACTACCATGGTTCTAGCTCCAAGTTACCCAAATTCAGAAAATTTACATATACCTTGAATCCATCGTACTCCAGACCTGTCTCTTTGGACCCATTGTTTTTCCAACCTGTTTCCCTGTGTGTGACATGTTTCACACCTGTGAATTGACTGGTTGCGGTGGGAAGACCTTTCAGCTCAATTTGGACATTGTTTGGCACCATGTCGATGCCTTGTGCTGTTCCTGAAATGCTATGGAGCCTGGATGAGCTAAAGCGTGCCCTGATAAGTGAGTTTCCCATTTTGGAGACTGAAGAAGGAGAGGGTTTCAAAATATTGTTTGACTTGTTTGTTGGATGGGCTGAGATCCTGTTAAATTACAACAACCAGCATCCGCTCTGTTGAATTTGGGGAATTGTGGCCCAGAATCCTTCTCTCAGGGGATTTCCGGCCGCGCATACTCATGTGGCATCGCACTCGAGGGGTGTCATCGCACTCCAGAGGACCCCATCGCACTCCACACACATACTCACAGATCATCGTGCTCCACAAAGGGGATCGTATACCAGAAAAACCTTCGCATACGGCAAATAACTATATTGGAAGAGAAAATGAACCTGAAGAGTTTTTTTCTTTCCTACTTCGGAGGTAAAATCCTCTGGAATATGATAATATGGAATATGGAGGAAATCTTGTTTTTTCCGGCGTTTTGAAGCGCATACAGTCGTATTCCATCAAATTTTGATACTTTAGACCTGTGGAGGCTATGGAAATCCTCGGTTGTGGTGTTAGTCGTGCAGGATGGAGTGTGATGCATTGTGGGTATATGGAATGGAATTTGTGACCCCAATTTGATCAAAAAAGATGTCAGCAGATGCTTGAAAATCCCACATGCAGGACTGGCAACGCTTACCAGGGGGGCATCGTACTCCAGGGGGGGCATCGTACTCCAGGGGTGGCATCCTACTCAATGTAACTGTATTCAGTGGAAATATGGTACCATGTGGGTTCGAGGAAGAACAGCGAAATCCAGACTTGGCCCAGTTTACGGATGCGGAAGCTGAACCGCCAGCCAAACGCGTCAAAAAATACGCTGAACAGCTTATCCAATGGTCTTAAAAGATCCTAGAGAGAAGTTGATGATTGATGAGAGAAATAAGACTTTATGTTTATTCAAGAAATCATTGCTTGAGAAGGTTCTTAGCGGGGTTAAACATGTGCGATTGGACATGACAGCACGTGACAACGGAAAAGGTGCGCCTGACAAGGGTCACACAACCTCATTCTCACCATCAAAGGTCGTTCATTATTTTCCAAATTTCCGGAGCTATTTTGGCACGGAATATGAACAGCCTTGGAATATGGGTAAGATTTTGCTAGAATAGTAACTTCACCAGCAAACATGGTGATGAACCAGAAATATGAATATATGTGCCCACTATTTCATCCAATCTTGATAGCCAAGGAACATTCACCAAAACGTCTCCCATAAACTCCATGACCCCAGAGCGAGGATTTCTCAAGTTATTAGAGATACCCTCTGGTAAATTAACATAACTATGGAAAATCACCTTTTTTAAATTTTTTTAATGGGTAAATCCACTATAAATGGCCATTTTCAATAGCTATGTTAAATTACCAGAGGGTAGTCCTATAGTCATCCCCACCCCAAATCGGGCCTGGTCCTGGATTCACAGCCGGTTTTTCCATGGCACGTTCATCATATCCCCTGCTGATGCATCCCCATACGCAATTTTCAGACCCAGATATCATATTAGTGGTCATCTGTCCCATTTTGATATAACCTATATCTCTATTGTATCCCTTTGACATTCCCAACAAAAACATCAACCTATTATATATATATATATATATATTTATATTCTAATAAGTCTAATAACCTATTCTATTTCTACTGTATCCCTATGACCTTCCCCTATCTTATCCTATCTCCAACTCAGGGACCATGATTCCCACGTTGCCGCCTCTAACCTTCCTTGCACCTCTTTGGCGTTGAAGTTGGACCTTGCCACAGCGATTGAACTGACAGGGAGGCTTCACGCAACAGCAGAAAAAAAACAAAAAAAACTCAACAAACATGGGAAATTCAGAACCACATAAAGTTTCAACGATCTATTTACTGTTTCTACTTATATCTACTTTATTGGATCTTATTGGGTTGTTACATGCTTGAATTCGAAAGGGACATTTAAAGGAATTTAAAGGCAACCATACCAAAAACACCGACTGAACACAGGCCAAGCCTCAGACGCAAGCCACACCCGGATATGTCCAGCTTGAATGCTGCTAGATGGTGATGCTCAAAGCTTTGAACCCGGACTCTGGTGATGGCCATGTCAAAACTAGAGTAATAAACTATGGCTGAGTAATGAAGGGGTTGCCACGAAAAAGTACTAAGCTGTTAAACGAAGTTGTTGTCAAACTGGAAGCCCCAAAAAGACGAACCAACAGATACTGGTTAACAGTGTTACTCCGCGCTCACCATTGCATCAGAAATGCCTCGAAATTCAGTTCTGGCAAAGTCATTGTCCGGTGGTTGTCATTCATAAATAATCATCCACTGGCAAAGTACGAAAAGACTATCATGAAATTAATGAAATTAATTCACCAACCTCAGATTACTAAATGAACTTAGCATTGAAAAATATGCTTCCACAGTTAACCGACAAACACATGGAATGATGATCTTTACATCGGCGATTTTCCAGCACACCAGGTTAAATTACTGGAATGTATTCTTGCTTTATATCCTGCGAAGTCGTTTGGTGTAACTAGAGATCATGTAGACTTGATGTGTTGGGGTTGCCTTCCCCACATAATATATGGGCAAAGACCCTGGTACCCTCATGTTCCACATAAAATAAAAGGTCTGGATGTTCAATCTACCACCAACTGATAGTCCATGATAGTCCCATATCTGGCATGGCCCATTCCCCAATATTACATTCTGTATCACTGTCCCTTAAAAATCAGTTATGTATATATATATATATATACACACGTATGTATATACATCCAATTCAAAAGGATGTGATATGATGATTCAATGCATATCTACTCTATGAAAGAATGATTATCCAATGACCTTTCAACAAATGAACACAAACATGGACACGATGATGTCCGGCCGGTCAGCGACTGGATGTACTGCCCAGCTCATCTTCGGGATGCAATTATAAGGTACGAGTATAATCCACATTGAAATGTATATATAAAAGTAGACAATACATTTAGTATATATATATTTACTGTATATATATATACATATACTGTATATATAAATTCACACTGTATATATATATATAAATACACACTGTGTGTATATACATATATATACACGCTGTGTATATATATATACACACTGTATATATATATATGTATACAGTATATATACTGGATATATATATATATATATGTATATACACGCTGTATATACATTTATAGTGACATAAGTACTCATTTGGCTATTGATACATTACGGACACAGTTACCAAATTATGTGACACTACCCTATAATTTACATATATATATATATATACACATCTCACATAAAATTTGGTAGCACCAATTTTTATAGTTGTGGTGTATCATCACTGTACCTGGGATTTCTACTAGGAAGTAGTATCACCAACGAGGTGTTACTCCAACGATTTTCCGCCTTACTGGAGCAACACCTTGTATAGGAAAGATCCCCATTGAATTCAACCCAGTTTTGGTCCTCGACTGACCGCGAATCCGGGCATCCTCACATGTCCGTTGTGTACTGCGGGCCCAAACCACACGGGCTGCACCTGGCAATGCTATCGTACGATGTCACCTTCAGTTATAGCCCTGGCCCCCAAGATAGCTAAGTTTATAACTCCAATAACTATGGTTTATGGTACTTATAACTATAGTTACTGGGGCTTATAAACCAACTTATAACTGGGGGGCCTCACATTGTACAAATGGCTTAGAACACCTCATTTACTGCAAGTGTTATGTTTCACCTTAGTTGCAGGAGTTATTTCATCCTGTGGCCAAAACTGTTAAGGGTCATAACTGGAGAAATATGCCCTTCCTCCGGTAGCTATTAGTAATATATGGGAAATCCCTATATTTACATATATATATCATACCATATAATATAAACAATTACAGTATATAATATACATATTTGTTAAGGAACATCATCGACTGAAATAAGGGGTTTCAACGTGAAACTTGCTGTCTAGTCCCAAAAAAAACACCAGAAAGTTTGGGAGCACCGGAAAGATGACAAAGATATCTCGAGGTGGTCCGACTCGGATATGGGGCAAATTTCGAAATGATATGGAAATGATACAAATGGGGAATCAACTAGGGAATGATATGGCAATTTGAGATGGGAAGTCTGTCATTATGTGAAATTATATGGCAATTTGGGGATCTTAGATACACTCAGACAAACATCATTACACATCATTACACATCTTCAAACTGTTTCAAGTGACATCTACCCTCTGGTTATTTAACATAGCCATGGAAAATCCCTTATAAATGAAGGTTTCTAGCTGGGAAAATCATCCATAAATGGGCCATCTACTGTATACCATGGCTATGTTAGTCATAATCAGAGGGTAAGTTTGATGGTGCCTTTACAAGAGCCAATCCACGGTGAGCACTGCCCGCTTGCCATCCTCAAATTTGTTTCATGTACGTTGGATTGTGATTTAGATCCGACTATCATCGGACCAAACCACGTTGTAATAGTAATATATCATAATCCCATATGTCATCATAATATTTCATCATAATATTTCACATTATGATATTAATCCCATATTTCATCATAATATATCATAACCGATCAATATGCATCAATGTTTCCTAGGAACTACACACCTAGAAGCGCAGGCTTCAACAACATCTGATAGGCAGCAAAAGCCACAAGCTTAACAACTGTCTATGGTATAGTCAAAACTATATACATATACTGATAAAATTTAACTTTTGGTTGTGCAATGCACACCCAATGTTATCCCATATCATCCGTAGCAATGTACCCGGCCACAGAACACACCTGAAGACAGTTTAAAGAGGTATACGCCACTCCAAAAAAAAAATCAACATAGCTAGTAGCAGGTCATACGGTGTCCAGCCACAATTATCATTTCTTGTCGGTCTTAGTCCGGCTGTTGGTGATATTCATGTTCTTTTCAAGAGAGGTTAAGTGGAACTGGTGACATCAGTGTATGCTCTTTCTGGCAGCATTCTTCTTGCAACCATCCATCTATAGAGATGACGCCAGTAAGGTTACTGCATTCCACTCAAATCATGGCTAAGCTCAGATACCCGCAAAAAATGCACTCGAAAATGCTGGCTATGCCAGTGCTCCCATGTATAGCAGTATAGCACGCTAAAAAAACATGTCCCAATATGTCCCAATATGTGCATCACTGGTTGGTGGTTGAGCCACCCCTCTGAAAAATGATGGAGTTCGTCAGTTAGGGTTACTATTTCCAAGTGGTTCCAGTCACCACCAACCAGTGTTTGGTTTTTATAAACCAATATAATCCCCATTAACTATAGTTACTGTATATCTACCATAAACCATACAATGTGGGGCCCAGCAGTTGTAAATTAGTGTATAAACCCTATTAACTATAGTTACAAGTACCATAAACCATATAGTTATTGGAGTTATTTGCATCAACTTAGCTATCGTAAACGGGGGCCCCACTTTGTCATCCACATTTCCAGCCACCAGATCAGTGTTCATCATCCAATGGAGTGATTGAAAACCTGGAAATCACCATGCAGAGTTTGGTGCTGGCTCAAGGAACAAATATGAAAAAAGGATAAACAAATGCCTCTGGTTAAACCACTTGTTTAATGATGATTGGTTATTGACCATTGCATTTTCGCCAAGTATTTTGCATGACCCTGAGCGAAAAAATCCTGTGAACAATCATGACATGACATGATATATGAGTTCACAAGATGGTGGATGTAGAAATTATATAGGATATAATGATATATATTATAGTAATGTCCATGAAAAGAATATGTTTATAGAATCTAATCATCCATGGATACTAGTGGCATGGAGCCATCCAGTCCCGCCATCCAGTCCCCGGCCGCATCGCCCATCGGGTGCCTCGAAGTGCCTCGAAGACCACGCCCGTCGCGACTGACCCGACTGTTCTGAGCCATGAACGACTGCCCGTCCGCTGACGATGTGTGAAAAACTCCCGTGTGTAATCCCCTGCAGTTCGAAATGGGACTGTAACTTAACATTATACAGATATGTATATATATATAACTTTATATGACTTAAATGAGGTGTTCTAAGCCACTTAAAACTGTGAAGGCCTATAATTGTGGCCACAAAACAAAGATGTGGTGGATGAACAACATGGCATAAGAGGGAATTGAAATAGAATATTATGGAGATTGATCCCTGGCCACAAAAAAAGCACACCTACCACAATTGCTCCCAAGAAGGGGCTTCAAAAAAGGGACCATGGTGGATCCCAAATTTCTCGGAGAAAACATGGACCCAGTAGATCAAATAGTATAAGATGGTGCCACCTAGTTATGACTGTTGTTTTTTCATCAACATATATAAACTACCTGGTCCTCTTGATGGTGGAAATTTCCACACAAAAGCCAAAATCGATCAATTTTGCCAAATTCAAGAGAAAAAGAACTCCTGAGCGGTTATTTCCATTCCAGAACGCTTATTGTTGTAACTCCAGAACGCTTCTGAACGGTTTTGGACGCTTTCTTAACTCTTTTTGAATGCTATGTTCCACTCCAGAACGTCCGAAGTGTCTCCCGAACGGCAAAAACCACTCCGCTGTTTTTTTCCCACACCAACCCCCAAAATCGATCTTTTTTGGGTTTGGAGTTAAAGAATCCAGTATTGGGAAGCTCCAGGTAGGTATGAAATACACAATAAACCCTACTGAAATCTTAGCGAGTACAACCAAATTAGCTAAACTGGGGCACCATCTTGTATATAGTTATAAAGGCGGAAATCCATTGACTTTCAGAGGAAACGGTAGTTCACCAGGAACTCGATAACTCATTCCAAATGTCGAATGAGTCTAGGGCAATCGCTTCCCTAGACATCTAAGGGAAAAATCAACTATCACATCCTGGACAATTTGTAAGATCTATGTGTATGTATGGATGTATGTATCTATGTAAAGTAATTGCAATGTATGTAGACATACATATATATATATATGTATTATAATTTATATATACAACATATGTATATGTCTATGTGTACATTTAGTCAAATAGTATACTCCAATGTATAAATGCAAATTACATACATACAATATAAATACTATAGTTGATATTCTGTATGGAACTTCCTTTAAACGCCTACGGCCTCCGCAATACTCTGCATCTGCACCGTGCCATTTTCTCAGGGCGTTCAGGCTTAGCCAGCTCCGGCAGAGATCCGAGGCCTTAAAAAAGGCTGTTGGCATGTTTTTTTTCATAGGAATAGCCTCTGGTAATTCAAACATAGCTATTGAACATGGCCATGTATAGTTGAATTAGCCATTCAAAAAGGTTATTTTCCAAAGTTATGTCAGTTTACTAGAAGGTATAAAAGAATGGTTTCAACACCAACCCCTGAAACAGAAAAAATGAAAATTAGATAGACATACATAGAAATCATGGAAGAGGGATGAAGAGGGTTCTCCAGGAACGAATATGGTGATTTCACCTTGCAAATCCTGATTTTTTCCAGTAGACTTCATAGTTGATTGGTTACTTGGGTATATAGTTATAATTGAGCGGGTTCGAAAAGACTTGGTGACTTTGACAAACATGTAATTTTCAATGTGGCAGCCGAGTGACAAATGGGGAATGATTCACAGTATGACATTGGTGGGTTGAATCAATGGATTTCACCGCGCTAGCCGTATGGTGACCAAAAATTTGGATTTTCACCTGGTGATTTGGACATGGTGTGCTGAGCCAATCTGAGATTCTAAAAACACATCTTGATGCATCTTGCCATGTTTCTAAAGAACTCTGGCCCTATCTTTCAAAAATATTCATGTCTAGAGAGAAAAAACATAGGTCGGAACATGGTATATGAGGGTCGTCCCAGCATCATTAATTCGGTATAATGGATGTATAGATGCCTATGAATGGATTCATGACCCAGCCTCAATATGGATATACCAATGTCTATTTATAATTGGCTATATGTCCCACTCATATCCCATCATATCCCATTGAGTCCTGAGTTTTAGTGTCGTCAGACCATGACAAAAAGTGTTGAAACCAATGGTGACATGGGCAGCCCCCATTTTTAGAAACCTCCATAGGTTTAAATCATGGGGGTTTCTCACATCATATGATTTACATATTCCAAAAACCATCAAAAACCAATGATCCATGGAATCCATGGATATCATATATTACATTTTCTCATATCATTGCTGGTTGGTGGTTTTTCGCCACCCCTCTGAACAATATGAGTTCGTCAGTTGGGATTATCCCAATATATGGAAAACAAATGTTCCAAACCACCAACCAGATTGGATATAATATTCCAACCTTTTCACCAGACCGGAGTTAGGGAGGCAAGCTCGCTCCAAGGGCCCCAGCCACGTCGAGGTCGACACGAGTGTCGACACTCGACGCACTCGACGGCATCGAGGCTACCTGCTTCGTTGAAGACAACACCGAAAGGATGACCATCTGCATTGTTTTAATGGGATTTTCATGCGAATATAGTAGGTATAAGTTATAATAGTGGATCTCTTTCTCTCTCTCTCTCTCTGTGTCTCTCTCTCTCTCTATATATATATACATACATACATAATTATTGAAATGTAATATAATTTTCAAATTACAACAAAATACAACATATGTGTATATATGTGTATATATAGATATGTGTACATCTGTATGTACGTATCATAATTGTTGTTTTATGGTGTAATGGGATTATCTTCGATGATATTGATGATACAAGCAACAATATCAAATGTGTATATTAATTTACTGAAGCATATGTGTGTCTTACAGCAAATAATCATGCTACAGCAAAGCACCAGTCTGGTTTGAGTGGCTTTCAATTTGTCCACATGGAATGTGGCGACCTGGTCGACCTTCCAGAAGTTACGATTCGTAACCAACAAGAATGCTTGTTCTTATTGCAGGACTGTAACGCCAAATTCTGGAGAGTCAACACGTTCCAGCTTCCAAATTACCCCAACGTTGGAATCCATGAGAATCCCAAAGTCTCACAGAATCAGGGCACCCAAATATATCCACTTAGAAATCCTTCCGTGACCGAAACAAAGCAACTTGGCTAGCACACTAATACAGTTCTGATATTAAATATATCTATATATATGATTATATCATGTATATATATGATTATATCATGTATATATATATGTATGATTATCTATCATATATATATACACACTCTACATTAGTATGTAATTAAATGTCAGTATTTCTATCATGATGATTCTGGTGAAATTCTCTGTGGTGTATATCTTTATCTCCCAAGCCTTCGACCACCAGGAGCGGCTGCTTAGGCTTGGTAGATACCTCTGTACAAAAGCCACAGAAAACAACGGGTCAGAAAACTATGGAAAACTGGTGACACTTAGGAAAATACAGTCAGTATATATATATAATATAAATATATATGTATATATAATCCCCCTTATCATCTTATAATTAGACCCGGAACCCGGGTACCGCCAGTCTAGTGAAAAAAACATGATGCCCCTCGTTGTAGCATGGCAATTCCAATGTAGCATCCTTATAAATTGGCAATTCTCTAAGGTTATAAAATGGCTGCAATTCTGGTGTAGCGTTCAGCCAAACCGGAACCTTCTATAATGGCATGTTTTTTTGTTTACATCGCATCCAAAAGGGAGAACGCTCTGGTTTATAAATATGTATGACTCCCCCTTAAAAAGTTGATACCTTATAAAAACACACACGCAAAAACGGTACCCGGGTTCCGGCAGTCTAGAAAGGATATTATGTAAGAGGGGGGGTCATATAATATATATATATATACATATGTATATTTATATTATATACAGATACATATTGCATGTTCTTCTTAAATTTTAGGGGTGCTGTAAACGACCCCCCACATGGTAAGTGTATGACTGGGTGTCCCACGTACTTCTACATGTTTATCTGCAGCCAAAAAAAAACAAGTTTCAATCTCAACATCCAGGTCAATTTGTCCCACGAAAATCCAAACATGGACATGGCAATATGGCACAAATGATTTTTCACATCATGCTGGGATTGTGACACACTGTGATTTTCGAAAAACAAATATCAAATCATCAGTTCTTTCTCATAAATCTCATCCAATAATTGATGATAACCATCACATATGGTTATTTAACATTCCAATCCACCATGACTTCGTTAAATGGATCGCATCACATCTTTTTTGGAATCTCTCCATTTTTTGACATACCGAACGGGCATCCCGGCGAATCCGAAGGAAGCTGAACCTGCAGTTTTATCATGGGTTAATAAAACAAGTCATGGATAAATCGACCATAAATAACTTTATGATTCGAAATACAAGTGAATAAATAACAATAAATATATCTGGGTTAAATTGTATATATATATACACAGTATATATACATAATATTTCACTAACCTGAAATAAGGATAAACAAGGTCATTTGGGGGATGTAACTATGATTCCAGTGAGGAAGAACAGTGGGGTCGTTATAATCTACCCAGATATATGGATAATAGAAAGGATTAGAACAGATAAATATATGTAGTCCAAAGATGTCCAATAATCGTATATAATGTTAGATGAATTAGATGGATGGAACACACAGAACATGATGAACCATAATATCAAACTCTGTTCACACACAGTTATGGCCATGGCTATTAGTTATAACTGGTTATTTCTATGGGATTATACATTCTGTACATGGTTTTTTTTTAGTACTTATAACTGCTATTTCAGGCCATAACTGTAGATGCCGCCAGCTCCAAAAATAGCTTCGGTGAACAACTCCATCAACTCAACAGCCAGGAACCGATCGATTGGAGGTACCTGCCATAAGGCCTATGTTTCTAGGCCTTAATTTCAGGGAATATCCCCAGAAAATATGGCCAGAAATATGGTACAGTACATCCATTTACGATCCTGAAATTGACATTGATCAACTAACCCAATATTATTTTCAACTATACCAACTTTATCCAACTTTCAAGTAACAGGCCGCCACAATACCTGCGAAGATGGTGAACCATGACATTTCGCCATGATCTCGAACTTGCCACAAATCGCCTCTGAGGTGGCAAGTTTCCCTGTGCCTCCAAGCGCCTGCTCTCACCTTGGAGACATCCCAGGCGTTGGGATCTCAGGATCCATATCCCCAGCCACGACATCATGCCACGCCACCATGGAGCCAAGGCGGGGATGGAGAACCCCACACCGGGCGCGGGAGATGAGCCATGTGCTGTGCTGGGCAGGATCTCATATAATCTTCCCATCCAAAAAAAGGAACTGATTCGAAAAAAATCAAAGACTTAAGAAACAGCAAAATGTAAATTCTATGGAGCCAGTAACCTACAATGTACCCTACAGTAAAAATACAAAACTTTCAACTTCATGGCATCTGTCTGCATTTGGCTGCTTTATCAGTCTCTAGAACAACGGTGCGCCAAAATGGGGCGTACTTTGCAAGAAATGATGTTGAAGTAGCTGAAGCAAAGCCATGGTGACACGCTTTAAGAGAAAAAGGATGATGGCTGATTCATTGTTCTTGTGAAACCGGCATACTGCTTGCTTGACTTCCCGAGATATGAATAAGTCTGTAGAAAATTCCATATTCTCTCTACCCCAGGATGACTCTATATTTCTACACATCAACTACATATAATTAAAGACATACCTACAAAACTAGATCGGCTAGATATGCTTTTCTCATGTTTTCGGTGTCTTCTCAGAAGTCCACCAAATTGACTTAAACAAACGCCTCCGTCTCAACATACAAGCAGGGACCCCCCAAAACGCATAGGAAATTTAGATCTTAACAAGGCTAATTAACACTTGGATTTTTGGTGGATATATATATACATAACTCTCTCTATATAATATATATATACCAGTATATGATGTGTCACTTCAGTTGGATGGAACCGCCCTTCGGCCGCCTGAATGCCATAAAGCCTGCACGGTTGCGAAAAGCCACACTCCCCGCATCCGGACGCTGTCCGGGTCTGCAAAAATCATCCTCAAAAGCTACAAATCGAAGTCCAAGTCAAATTTCGAAGCTTTTCAAATCTTTCTACTTTCAGATAGTCTTTGAATGTTATGTCCCTTCACAACCCAATATATATATATATATATGTATTATATATATATAGCAATCTTGCCCCAACAAATCAGCGAGTACCGGCGAGCCTTTTTTTTCAGTCCTTGGAGGCCTTTGCAAATTGAGACTGTAACCAGTTCCAAACGCTGTCCTAGCATTGGTTCAAGCAAAAAAAACACCTGCGAATTTCTGCGATTTAACCGTTAACCCAAAACCACCTGGCTTTCCATTCATCTTCTCGTACTGTTATGGCCCTCTACCAGTTATACATGGTTATTTACATACTTATAACTGGTATTTCGAGCTTTAACTCTAATTCGTCCCTTCATTTTCTCCCGCATTTCGCCTCACGAGCACAGCTGGGAAGTGATGACCTGAGAGGCTGAGAGGTGAAGCTTTTGCCTGTAAGGTTGGCTCCAGAAAAATACGAGGTGGACTTGTTTTTTGTTTCTTTCCGGAGACAATCCCATGAATTTTCCATGTAACATGATGTAAATATAGGAATCTGTTCCAAATGATAATCGCAGCTTGCACACACCCTATAGATCCAAACACTGTCTGAGAAGGTACTTAACCCTAAGGTACTGCTGGATTCATAGGGATAGGATTGATAAAACACTGCAAAGTCTTTCCGAACTTCACTTGGATCGTGGGCAATGCCGTTGCTCAATGAACCCCAATCCGCAATCCGCATCTCTGGTAAGATGAACATGGAAATCCCAAGGAAATCAGCAGGTCTGATACAGTTATGGCCATTTATTCGTTATAAGTTACTTATGATCGTAGCCTCTTTCTCTGTGGAGACCTAAACACTCATACGTAAATAAGTTATAACTGCATGGTAATTTCTATGGGATATTATATACATTCTATAAATGGGGTTTTCTTAGTACTTATAACTTGTAAAGGGCCATAACTGTAGGAATATCATGGACTTGAGAAAATGAGGGATTCTCCAACCTGTAAGATGCAGAAACTCTGCAGCTTAAAACGATCGAAAACGTCTTCCTGCCGAAAACTCTGGAGCCCGAACAAGAGTAGCAAGCTTGCAAGGCTGCCTCAGCATCTAAGCTTTCCCACCAGGTCATCCTGATTGACCTGGTGATCCTCCCCGCATTTGTGGTTGAGACACCAACATGAGCTGGAAACAGTGGACCAGGATGTTGCCAAACCTGTTTCTACCGGCGAAACTTTCATTGCAGTTCTTCAAGTTGATTCATATCCGCGACACAATCTGGTGTATTTGCTGAGTCTAGATGAATCCGCAACATTAGAGTACTGAAAAGGGTCCCTTCAGCTAGGCTGATGTACATGTATCTTATTTTATCTTCCTCCCATCAGCAATAAGTCAAAGAGCAGGCAGAAGTGCTAAGTATCCCCACTGCTATGCTGTTCCAACTTGACGATCGGCCTGCTCAACCGCGGATCCGCATTGGCGTGGTATACACAAACCACACTTCTGTGAAAGCTGTGAAAGCTGCGGGATATGCTTTGAAATTTGGGACCCCCAAAATCCCGTAGAACATAAGTTTCCCTACTCAGCTAGAAAACCATTTTTGGGGATGACTACGCCATTTTCAGACACAGCCGTATGTTCAAGGATGGTTAATAGCTGGTTAATGGACATTTATTCCCCAAAAAAATGGTAATGTCATAGGTTTTGACTCATCCCATCTCGTGAAATCTAGGTTCCCCAATCCTATGGTTTCTCATATAGAAAGTCCCAACAAATTCGCCAATCAAGCCTGGTATTTTGTTCATGGCTCATTTAACTACAAATATAAAACATAAACAAAAACAGATTTATAAGCCCAAGTGATATATAGTCTCTGGTAATTTATATAACTATAGCTATTCAACATGATGCAACATGACCAAGTAATTAGTTGATTTACCTATTCACTATGGTAGACCCATCAATAGCTATGTTTGATAGCTATGTTAATTTACGTATTCATTACCTATCTGACATTTACCTATTCATTACCCTCAGATCTGGTAATTTAACATAGCTATTGAAAATGGCCATAGAAATAGTGGATTTTCCCATTAAAAATTGTGATTTTCCATAGCTACGTTAAATTACGAGAGGGTACCTATTCATTACATGATGGTCATGTTGGATAGCTATGGCTTCGACCCATCCCCGCGGTCCAAATGGTCCAAGGAGGCGATGGGGGGCACCACTATTGCTATACCGTATACGGAAAAAAGGGGGCACCAGTGGCACCAGATTTATGTTGGCTAACCAAAGGGCTATATCAAAGATTTATGTTATAAGATGTTAAAGCATTGAAGGATCAAATAATAGTTGATATCATTTTTTATATCACTAACATAATCTAACAATATATGGCTATATGGCTATGGATGATCTATGATGGCTATGGGCCTCTATGAAAACCAACTTTGAATATATCACCTGTGGCCTTTTACGGGTACAAATCAGGGCTCCCGGCAGGGAACGGTGAAACAAAAAAAAAACCTCCAAGTCTTGCTATGGATTGTATAGCCCCAAGAGCAAGGGAAATGCTTCATCAATATTCTGCATTTCAATGTACCATCTGGTTATTTAACATAGCCATGGAAAATCACCACTTTTAATAGGTAAACCATCTATAAATGGGTCATTTTCCATGGCTGCAATATTCTGCAATGGATGATAAGTTCATGCAACGTGGATCATAGCCCCAATGCTCCATACTCAAACTGAAACGAAGCCCTACCCTCCGGCAGTCATGAAAAAACTATCGGAAACAATTCACTTGTAGATGATTTACCTATCTAAAACTGGTTTATGTATGTTTATGTTCCATCACCTAATATGGCTATGGGTCTTGGTTTTTAGGTACTTCATACATTGGATGTGAACTATAGACAAACAGCATCAACAACCTGTGGTCCCCCAGGTCTCGAGTTTTGACCCCCCTTGCCACGTCACAAATTAGCCTCTGGTAAACACACAAAAAAAAACTATGGCACATCACCATTTTAATGGGTAAATCAACGAACTTTCGACTGGGCCATGTTCAAGTTCGCAAACTCTTAGTTTACCAGGCCGGCTATCCCAAGAAATCACCTCACAAAAAATCATTATCTAATTATCATGATTAACCACTATCACCACTGAAATACCAAACAGTCCTCAGCCACGCCGGGAAAAAAAAACACTGAGATTGCTGCGAAGCAAAGCAGCAGCAGCGGTCCACCTGGCACGACCAAGAAGGTACGTCTAGCAACGTTTTCCAGAGGAAAAATACCACTAAAGGTATGGCCCTGAACAGTTATAAATGGGATTATAACTGAATTAATTAGGGTATTATTATCACGAAAAAGAAGACATATTATGTACTGTCAAATGGTTAAACTGTTTGAAACAAATATATAACTGTAGTGCAAGTTGGTGCTTTGAACATAGTTTAACACCCGTCAAGCATGTGTTGTTTCAATATATATATATATAATTATATATATATATGAGCCGCGGAAGCTGTTTGGTACAAAACGCAATTGACGGGGTGTTCCCACCTCGTTCTCCAATCCCATGACGTTTTTTGGGGTCTGACCTCGTTCTCCAATGCCGCACTTGTTTTTAATATCCAGATGCTTTACTTGCGATGCCTACCTCGTTCTCCGGGTGTTCCTACCTCGTTTTACAACCTAATTAATTATGTTGTTTTTGACAAACTGGGGTACGCCACAATACAAGTCTCCATTTAACCAAATAAAAGCCGTCGCTCATATATAATTGGTGGTTAACATATTTGATATCTAACTGGCCAGCAACCCGAAACATGTTGATGAAATTGGACAACAATATATTACGTTTTTTTTTACTCATGTCAACATTGACCATAAATGTCATGAAAAATCAAAGTCTTACTTGGGGATCAGCATTTGAACATTGAACAAATACAAACAATTTAAACCAACCATCAGCCAAAAAATATTCCTCCAACGAAAATGTTTAAAGCAGTTGAACAAGCCACTTCTGCCACACAGAACCGAACGCCAAATGGCCAAATGGGGTACAACGGAACGCCAAGACCCGTTGCGAACCACAAACTGGCTGGTCATGTTTTGTAAATCTTGTTGTATCGTGAAAAATGATATTTAACAAAAACAACTCTTTCCAGGTGTCTAAACTTCGCAATAATGTGGCATCATTTTGTTCTTGCGTCCTTCATGGTTCACCGCACTTCGAAACTGCTTGGTGGGGATGTACCCCAGCATACCCCAGCTATACACATGCGCAGGACCAGCCACGAATCGGGGAATTTGCGAACCAGCGTTGCAAAAACCATTGACTAAGTTGGGGGGGAACCACCAAGTATGCTACAATGTGGGGCTCCCCAGTTATAAGTTGGCTTACAAGACATTGCAAGACCACATTAACCATAGTTGCCATTGTGTTAAAAACCAGAGTTATGGGAGTCATGTTCACCATAGCTTAGGGGCTCCCATATTGTACAGCATTCTCTCACCACCCGAAAAACCTGGTGCCTGGTGTATTTCCCATGTTTCAGCCTGCCTGGAGCTTGTAGCACAAGACTGAACCACACAGTCACAGCTGGTATGGTCTGCATCCTGACGGTCTGCCACTGCGAGTTGCATGGGTGCCACTTAGATAGGCGGGATTGATGAGTTATTATTCATTCGATGTAAGCAACAAAGACAGGAAAAACATAGGATGGATATGGATGGATGAAAAAACAATAACAATCTACCATCCAGTTGATATGGTGTTCACATCTTCATCAACGAAGCTATGTTTTTTAGATTGTTTAAGTATATTTACCCAAAAACAAAGCATGGCTTACCACAAAAGCAAATCCCAAACATCGGATGCTTCTGATGACTGAGAAGTATCACTCCATATCACTCCCATCCTCGCAACATGAAATACCGCCAGCAAGTGACCCAAACAATGAATAGATGTGAACTTAATATATGCTATGATCCATAGATCCTAAGTCATGAATGTTTGGTATACCAAAAATACATGTTTTCCATGCATCTATTTATTAGTTTCTTGAAACACACTGCATTAAAGAATAAAAATAGCACAGCTATTCTCTACGTGTTCCCAAACATTTCATCAAAACTATAATCCATTATAATCCATGAATATGTGCCAAACAATTCACTGAAATGTTCTTCATATTACAATCGATTCATATTTGTTTTTGTTTTAAGTATACCATCTGGTTATTTAACATAGCCATGGAAAATCACCTTTTTTAATAGGTAAACCCAGGTAAACCATCAATGGGCCATCTATACCATGGCTATGTTGGCCAGGATTTCGAACTTCGATATCTTCGATCCAGCCGCCTGCAGCATAGTCCATAAGGAGAGAGCCATTTGCCATTGAGACGCACCTCGAAACTCGCGCCGTTTCGCTGTTTCGGTGAGGCCCCGTTTCGGTAGCGGCAATTCTTCGGCGAGAAGTTTACCCACAGTTCACTTCAATGTGAGGCCCCCCAGTGATGTTAGTTGGTTTAGATTCGCCCCAGTAACTATAGTTATAAGTACCATAAACCAGAGTTATTGGAGTTATTGGCACCAACTTAGCTATCTTGGGGGCCTCACACTGTTGGTGTATTCTATGGTTTATGGGACAGATTGGGAAATATAACAGGGAAATATAAACTACTAAAATAATTGACCATAGACCATATAATGGGTATTCTATATTTACCAATTCTATTCTATAAGTATATAATGGGGTGAATCTAAAATAATCTAAACAGTCACAAATGGGGGACCTCACCTTGTGATGTGATCAGAGCCTATGGTAGATGTATCATGTATCTAACAAATAATATCAATATCGCTTAACTGCGTGTTTGCTTGAACATTGATTGAATAGCAATCGCCGCATTGTAGCATCTGGAACTATGATGTGAAGTTGAACCCTATTACAAACTACTACTGTCAGCCATTTGCCAAGTTCATACATCTGCCAATAGTTTCCTTTGTATTGTCCTTATACCAAATATAAGATAATATAAGTATATATGTACTCAATGTTTCTGTTTTGAAGAAAACAAAGAAACATAACTGGAACAGTGCTGACTTCTTGATACCCCAAATCACCCAAACAATTTGCAACACCCTTGGATCGCCATTTTGCCCATCAAAAATGGCATAACTTGATGCATCACCGACCAGGACCAGGACCACCATTTGCACACCATGTGAGCTGTGAAAAACACCATCACTATGTAGTTCTGGTTGAGCCACCCTCAAAATTTATGAGTTGGGGCCATCATCCCAGATCAACAAAAGATCTCCACGCGCAGAACAAACCTCTCCCATTGCTGTGGGAATCGGATTCGCCAGCAAAACATAAACCATCATAAACCCAAACATCAAGGGCAACCGACCTAGGACTTCGTCGAATCCCCTTGAACCCCCCAGGCCGGCCCTCATTCCGATCATCGAAGTTTGCGTGCCGAGCTGCGGTTGCAAGCACTCAGAGCTGCATTCTGGGTGATCACGTTGGCCTGAAAATGCTGAGCGCCTAGGGCTCGCTGGTGAACCAACACACAAAAATTCAACAGAACTTCTACAGAGTGGGCCCCCTAGTCTTGTTTGTTGGTTTAAGCCCCTTAACATCATTAACCAGGTATAGTATGGTATAGTTGTATCCTCAGTAAACCCGAGTTAACCAACTTACAAGTCAACTTAGCTATCTTGGGGGCCCCACCTTGTTGGGAGATATTGGCATATGTCAACTTCAAAAGCATGGGGATAGGCACGGATAGTCACCAGGAAAGTCTTGGATGTGAACAATGTGGAGGTGCCCACGCCCATAGATGTATACTTGGCCTTTTTCCTGGCTGGTTGATTTGTAAGGAAGGCCCCTGTGAACAAACAATGGTTGATGTTGAGAATGTCAACCCTAGTGAGAGAAAATATGCACCCCCTGTTAGTGAAGTGGTAGTGGAATTTCGAGCCTGGGTTGACATTAAATGATTTCCCAAACCAGCCGTTCCACTTTTCCCAAGAAGACGTCATTGCTTCCACAACTGGTTTGATTCATACCGAATACTGCGCAGCTGGTGTTTCAAAGACCCCGACGTTCTCCATGGACGATCCCTGGGCAAAACGGTATAGTCCAAAACCTCTTGGAGAATGCCTCAAGAAATGCCTCTAGTTGCTATTCCCATTTCAGCATGACTTACTGGTGCGTTTTACGTAGGGAATTTTCGGGAATCCAATCCATCCCTAGTCATCATCCCAGCAACCCCAGCAACCCATCCCCTACGGGTTGCCAGGACTTCGTTGTGCACCTGCATGGAGAAACCTGGCATTCCATGCAGCAACGCCAACGCCTGCGCCCAACCTCGGCTTCTAAAAGGTAAAAAGGTAGACTTGTAGCGGGATGTTGAGGATAATCTAAGTTCATCAACAATCATTTCGCAGTGAAGTGGGATAAAATCACTGGGTCAACCTTGGATTGATAGTAGGACTAGATTCCTTCGAGGTATGTTGGGGTTATATATGATCAAGTTACAGGGGATTTCCGCCACCTTTTGGCCACCGATTAAAACCATCTCCCAAAATAGGAAAAATTGTATAATAGAATCATATAAAATTATGTCAAATATATTCAAACACAATATATAATCATGTAATATATTGTAATATCATATATGACATCTAGTGAGATATGAAATATTCATAAAACTGTGGCCGAAACTCCATGAAACTATCGAGACTATCTGTTCAAAGATGAAAAATGTTTCAATCTACTGCTACAGGTCAGACCCTCATGCGAGCTACCCTAAGGTACCGGTGGTACCCCTAGTTATGTTGATTGCTGATTGCTGCAAATCATTTGACTATAATTGTGAGATGTCAAAATTACGTAATCACAACAGATCCCTTTATTAGTTTTCTGGTTAGTGGTTTTTCGCCACCCCTCTGAAAAATGATGGAGTGAAAGTCAGTTGGGATGATGACATTCCATTCCCATTTTTTTTTGGGGGAAACTCATAAAATTGTCCAGCCATGTTCCAGTCACCACCAGCCATGTTCAATCGCCAATACACCCCCATATATATCCCATCTATTGTATGGTTGGTGGTTTCGCAACGGGAATCATCTGGGCCTGAAGATGCGGGATCAAATGGCCATTGAATGGCGGATTTAATGATTAACCAGATTCAGAGGGCCCCCATAGGTCAATGGAATTTCTATGGCCATTGAATAGGGTGAAAATCATCATTTTCCTTTTATAAGATAGCCATAATTGTGATTAACCAGAATTCAAGGTAGCCTTTTATGTAGACAAAGCTATATATGAGAACAGGTTTCGACACGTCCACATGTACACCCAAGCGACACCAAATCTTGATTATGAAAGCAGTCGTTGTTGTTGAGCAAGTGACCTGCTCTATTACTTGTAAGCGGTAAGACTATTCAGTTTATGAGCACTGTCTAAACCCATTCTGTATCATTGAACCCCACAACAACCTGTCCTTAAGTTGTTAGGTCTGTATCGTTCTTTTCTCTGCAAGTCCAATTTTAGATATTCACCTCAAGTTAGATCATCTTTAGTGGGATATCGTAAGGTGATATCCCCTAGCTATGCTACCCCAACCAGCTACAAATATCAACAGGATAGACCCCAGCTAATTATATTGGTTCCAAACCAACTCAGCTTACCATGGTTCCTACACGTATGGCCCGAAATACCAGTTATAAGTCAGTTATAAATTGTAAACCCATTTATGGCTCATGATAAGTCCATTTTAAAAACAAAAAAAAACAAATACTGATACTTCTGGCCATATCTGGCCATAACATGCCTTAACTGGGCCATGGCTCCTATGGGCTACCTCCTCGCAGGTGAGGTTGGGCTCCCAAACAGTTTCCCACATCGCAGGCGGCCACAAGAGAACTTAGCAGGGCCACATCCGTGCGCACCATCACACGTTCCACCTCAAAATATGTGGACTTGTCTGGTTGCAGGGCATTTTATGATATAAATCATCATAATTCATCTATCTATCATGATGAAAATATAATCTAAGTATAGTGTATATATACACACTGTAAACATGGTATAGATTTATGGATATATTATGGATGTAATCATGCTCATGTATTAGATATACTTGATATTAAATAAACATGACATAACAATATAATGAACCTTTATCCCGGGCATTCCTTCGCACACATGTAATAGAAAGGACACAAACATCAAATGGTTTGTGACATCACCACGATCGGATCCCTTTTGTTTTCACAACAGTTAACAGTAGGGTGCCATCGAGTAAACTAACAGTTTCCAATGGTATATATGAACAACTTATAGATGATTTACTTGTCAAAAAAAAGTTGCATAGCTATTTAAGTTTACCAAAAGGTAAGCTTGGTCAGTCCAGTTAAAACAAAGTACCTACTAGATACCAACAATAAGATTCACTAGTTGGCCAACCCAAAACAGCCCATCATCACCATGCATTGTATGCAGTCTCATCTGCATTTTGGTGGGTGAACGCCAAAAATAATTGTGTATTAAACCCACCAATAACGCTTCCCCATATCTTCACAGTTATGGCCATTTAGTGGTTGTAACTGGTTATAAATGGGATTATACATTCTATAAATGGGGTTATAAGTACTTATAACTGGTACCAGTAAAGGGCCATAACTGCAATGATACACCGATGAAACACCCCAACCATTTACAGCTCACCATGCTGGAATCACAACCTTTCATCATCCCCCCCCCCCACCTCTTGGCAACCCCCAAGCCACACATGGAGGGGCTCCTAAGCTGGTTTATACATCCAACTATATATTTATATTATACATATATCAACAAAATGTTAAGCTACTTATAAACTAACCTGGCTAGTTTAGATAAGTCAATTTTAAATCCCATGTTGGTCAAATCCCCATGTTCCTCCATGTTTCATGGTTAAAACTCATGAATGAAACATCATTCAGTCTTACCAGACTTAGCTGACAACTGGGCAGCACCAAGTGATAAAAACTCTTCCTGATTGGGTGTTGAATGGAGATTTCACTATCGGGATTTTCAGGAACACCCAAATATGATACGTTGGTTAGTTGTCCCATTTTGTCTCCATCTGGTTGGTGGTTTCAACCCCTCTGAAAAATATGAAAGTGAGTTGGGATGATTATCCCATATATTATCGAAAATAAAAAATGTTCCAAACCACCAACCAGCCATTATATCGCCAATACACCCCCATATATTGTCTGGTTGGTGGTTTCGACATGTTTTAACCCATCCCAAGAAAACGCTCGTCATATCAACCACTCATCCTAAGTGTTTTTCTGAAACAACATAAGCACAGTTGAACCACCAGCGCGTCATGTTTTCATACTGATACTGCCATTTTGGGATGATCCATCCAAGTTTCATGTCTCACATCCCCAAATGTCCATCCGAATCCTGGTGGAAGTTGCTGTTTACATAACTCCAATTTCACTATGGTTTATGATACTTATAACGAAATAGTACTCATGGGGTTTATAAACCATCTTATCACTGGGGTTATAACTTATAAATGTTACTGTACAGGTTAAAATGTATAATTATAACTCCTGCATAAACGGGATGAAACAACTCCTGCAACTAAGGTGAAACATATATATATATATATAACTTTGACGAGGTGTTCAAAGCCAGTTATAACTGCTATGGTTATCAGCTAAGTTGGTTTATAATTCCAACAACTATGGTTTATGATACGTTTTTAATCTTATTTATAATATCTTATAAACAATAGTAGATACTTTTACAAAACTTAAAACTATTGTTTATGATACCCAATTCACTGGTTGTTCATGGATATTTTTGGGGGGGTTTATGATAACCCACCTAGCTATGGCAGCTGCTTTTTGTTGCCCAACACAACGTGGCAAAGACGGCCTCCTCCAGCAATCGCAGTGCCATCCACCAGGCGCGTCCTTTCTCCGCGGCGCTAATGGCCGCGGAGAAACTCACGGTGCTCGGCCGCAGTGTTTCGGCGTGGCTCTGCGACAGCAGGTCACAGGCTTCGCGCCACCTACGAAAAAAAACCACATGCTACTGGGAGTTCATAGGATTTCACTGGGGTTTAATAGAATTTCATAGGCTTTTACTGGGATTTGATGAGACTTCACGGGATTTTAATTGGAATTAGATTCCTTCTGGGGTTTGATGGGTTTTCAATTGGCTGTTCACTGGGGTTTGATTGGATTTAATTGGATTTTGCTGAGTTTCATGGGATTTTTAATTGACTTTTGCTGGGGTTTAAGGTCACATAATGTGATTTTACTGGGACTTAATGTGATTTTCTTGGGGTTTGATGGGATTCTAATGGACTTTCCACTGGGGTATCATGGGATTTATATTAATTATGGGATTTACCCGGGGCTTAACGGAATTTAACAAGATTTTAGAGATATTTAATGGGATCTAATGTGATTTCACTGGGTTTCATTGGATCTAATGGGCTTTTTGCTGGGGTTTAATGGGACTTAGCAGGACTTTATGAAGGTTGAGTGTGATTTAATGGGATTTCACCAAATTTAACCAGCAAGAACAGTTTCTACTTGGAGGATCGTTACGCTTAGTGGTGAATAAGCCTGGTGATCATAAGTCCCCAATTCGTGGGTTATCCCAAATGTAAATAGAGTTACTTCCGAAGATGATCCTCCGAGGAGTTGTTTGGAAACAAAAAACAAAGCGATTAATATACTTATTTTAGCTACAGTGAAATGGCCATGGCTATTAGTGAACTAACTGGTTATTTCTATGGGATTATACATTTTATAAATGGGGTTTTCTTAGTACTTATAACTGGTATTTTGGGCCATAACTGTAGGGTTTATAGTAATTATAAAGTATAGTTAGATCCGGTGACAGATAGCCAGGGTGCAGCCACCTAGTGGCAGCCGGTGAGCTGGGAATATGTTGATCATCTGACACGGTTCTGGTTATAACTCCGCCATAAGATCCTACTTGGTGGTTCATCCCAATTAGTAATTGATGAAAAAAACAGTTATAAGTGGGATAAGTAGGGTTAATCCACCTATCACTGGGGTCATAAGTTATAAGCCACTTACTAAGTGGGATGAGCCACCAAGTAAGTTGGAAAAGGCTCTCTAAATTCATGGATTTCTTGTCAACATGGGAGCAAGAGACAGGCCACCGGCAAATTCAAGACCCTGCGCCGAAATCCCTGTTGCATACAGGAAGCGCGGCCTCGGCTTACAGTATAAGTTGGTGCGTAGACACATATAATTTACAATACTACAGAATACTATAGAGATAGAGTGCTAAGCACAGATATATCTGCCAAACCAGTGCTAAGTACAGATATATCTGCCATAAGCCATCGTTAGCAGAGATATAAACCAAACCATTTTTTGGGGGTTACCATCCTGTCTCATCCTCGAAGCTGTGGCACCTGTGTGCTTTCTCCATGGCGCTCATGACCGCACTGATGTTGATGATGTTGGCCTACCAATGGGCCATGCCTAAGCCAAGAAACTCGACCTGCTGGGTCAGTTGTAACCTGGATTTTAAGGGACAATATTAATCCTGGGCGGATGTATCATAGTTCAAGAAACCTGACATATTACCCTCTGGTTATTTAACATAGCCATGGTATAGATGGCCCATTTATAGATGGTTTACCTATTAAACATCTATTAAACATGGTGATTTTCCATGGCTATGTAACAAATAACCAGAGGCTATATTGAGGGCCAGGCTTCTCCATACAGCATTGTACTGGTGGTGTCACGACAGCCGGGGAGTTGAAGTTTCGCGGAATGGGAGTCTCAAATCTCATTTCTGTGTACTGAAAAAACAGTCATCTATAAGGACATTGCCAATCTTAGAAATCTTAGATACCCCAAAAAACAATTAGATTGTGACCTGGTTGATATTCCTATAGCAAAAGATTCAAGGATTAAGCTACACATCACCAGGCCTGCACACGTTGCATTCGAAGATCCTGGCAGCTGCCGTTTCTCAACATCCATTCGGGATATTGCCAACGAACAAATTTGTAGATGTATGCATTTCAAATATATGATGATGTATATATATATATATATTGTATATTGTAAATAGACATGTGTACTGTATATATATATATGCATGGCTGTATATGATATGTTGGTATAATATATAGATTCTGCACTTCTCTCTAATTTTTGGATACAGTGGGATGATATCATGGGAAATATCAAAAAATGGTATATGTTCTGGTTGGTGGTTTTCACATGTTTTAACCATCTTGAAAAATGATGGAGTTCGTCAATGGGAAGGATGACATCCCATATAGTATGAAAAAAATGTTCCAAACCACCAACCAGTCATCCTTTTTTCACCCAAAAATCCAGGTGCTTCTTCCATGGCTACAGTGAATCTTGTATCCATTATTTGCGGCTATACGAAACGGATAAGCCAACATATTTTTTCCTGCACCTCTATCTTAGTTTCTTCCAGGACTATGCTACCAATCATATCTAAATACTGTAGACAGTTCACCATATTTCACCAACATACAGGAAAACAAACTGTGAAAAAAAAAGGTGAACAAAGATGTTTCTGAATCATCTTCACCATATTTCACCATATGTTTCCCAATCATATCTAAAAACACATAAAACAAAACAGTTTTTGCCGACACTACCCCTTAGTGTCTTCAGAAATGTGGATGACCCACCTTCAGGAGAGACAGGGCAGCTTGCCATTGGCTACCTTTCTCACACGCACCTCGGTTTGAGCAACTAGGGATGGCACGAAGCCAAGACTTGCGTATAGCAAAATCATCTAAAATCCTAAGGGTTCAAAAGGCTGCAACGCCTTTTATGTCCAAATCTCTGGCGATCCAGCAACGGCAACCCATGAAAACAATGAGGCCCTCAGGAAATCAAGGCGCTTTGCACTATAAGTAACATGTTTGACATGTCGGGATAGTTATCTGAGAGTTACCCTCTGGTCATTTGACAGTTTGCTACGAAAAATGACCTGTCTATAGATGATTTATGATATTTACGTTTTGAACACGGTGATTTTCCATAGCAAACCGTTGAGCAACGCACGTCTCCAGCTCACACTTGGCCGCCGGCTCATGCATGAGCTGTAACAAATTCGGTCCTCGCGAACTGCAATCCGTGCGCACGGCGCAAGGCGTGGAACAACTGGGATGTCAAAATCACACGAACCCAACAAAGTGGGGCCCCCTAACGATAGCTAAGTTGACTTATAACTCCAATAACTATGGTTTATGGTACTTATAACTATAGTTAATAGGGTTTATAAACTAATTTATAACTGCTGCGCCCCACATTGAAAAGGGAATCCTTCTAAATATGTGACCTTGCATATGTTTTTTTTGGGGGGGCAAGAATAGAACTATATTATATGAAAACATCTACCAGAGCCTCTGGGCCAGCTGACTGCTGTCTACATATGTCTACATCACACACGGATCAGCCATATCTGACAGGAAACTGCGCCTTCCAAAGCTCTTCTTGGAGGGGTCTGCATGTTCTATCTTGGATGTGATCATGGATGAAATCCCCTTCCAGGTGGAGAGCTTCAACGGTGAGCATGATCAAATCCTCATTTCAAAGCTGAAGTCCCCATGTGAACATGGTTGAAGTCCCCATTTCTTAAGGCTGAAACTGCCATTTTCAGCCCCGGTGTCCGGCTGAAGTTTCCGTTGGATCACATTCTTGAGCAATTCAAGTGCGATGGGCCAGCGAGCGGCCTGTAGACATGGTCAAAAAGGTGCTTCTTAGGGATTCTTAGGGATTCTTAGTGCGGAGGTTTAGATTGCTGAATGATTTTGATTGATTTTTCAGATGTTTCAGATTGTTTAAGGATGTAATGGGAAAAAGTGGGATACAGAGGGATACAGTGGCAACAAACGACGATGTGACATGGCTATAGTCAGTATGATTTTACTGGAACAATATGAGACTTCTTTTTTAGATGAACCTGTTTGGGTTGTTCACTGAATGGCCATATAATTCAATATTTTCACACAACCACCCAGCATCTCATCTAGTCGAGTTTGTTCCTGTTATTCTGATAGAAGAGTTGGAATATGTTGGAATCCACCAGCAATAGCCTGCGTTCACCACCTTAGCGATTCCGTGTGAGATCTGACACTACGACCCGTTTTTTTGTATCCATAAAAAGTGCAGTACCAGCATTGTGTGGCAAAAGATTGACTGGTTGGTGGTGGTGCAATGGTGCAATAACCATCTTGAAAAATGATGGAATGAAAGTCAATGGGAAGGATGACATCTCATATATGAAATCAAAAATAAAAAACATGTTTGAAACCGCCAACCAGTTGATGTCAGTAGATTCACCACCATGGGATTGTACAAAAGCTCATGCGGCTTATGACAAGTCGATGAAGCAATAAGCCACTGACTATACCAAGCCCCACTCGTGGAGGTGGTCTATGTTGTTGGGAGGAGGGTACAAACCTTATGTTTGTTAGGTTACAGTATGACCCCCATTAAGTATGGTTATACGGTTATACGTATCCTAAACCTCAGTGAAATGAGAGTTCTTTTCACCAACTTAGCCTCTGGTAAACGTTTACATAACTATGGAAAGATCCACCATATGTTATAGCTGGGTAAATCAACTATTTCTACAGTTAAGGTCATTTATTAGCTATAACTGGTTATAACTGGGATTATACATTCTATAAATGGGCTTTTCTTCGTACTTATAACTGCTATTCTATAAATGGGCAAAACATGTTCCATAGCTATTTGACCAATAACCAGCCCTCGCCGGCCTCGCCTTCTCGCATGCAGTCATGGCGGAGGAAGATGCAACCTGCTGGAAGCGGAACTATTCCAGATCTACCTACAGTTCTGGCCATGGCTATGAGTTCTAACTGCTTAATACTGCTTGGAAAATGGGATTATACATTCTATAAGTGGAGTTTTCTTAGTACTTATAACTGGTAAAGGGCCATAACCATAACTGTATTATTCTTAATGATTTATATATTATGTACCAGTTCGCTATGTTAAGTTACCGGTACCAACATTTATTCCAAGCATGGCCCAAATACTACATGTTCGATAACTACCCATACATGGAGCAAATGGGCTATATTTGATAAGTATTGATTGGTGTAACGATGGGTATTCATGGGTGTTGATGCAACAATGACTCGCATTTTGTATACCTTTGGTCTAACAAACTCATGTTTATCTTCGGAACTCTCGCAGAATACTCATGTCATGTTTGAATATTCTCTGGTCAGTACCCCTCATTTTTGATCATATAGGACACTGTTTCACCCGCCCGGGGAACCTGCAAACATATTCTCAAACAATCCAATGGTTATACATGGGTTAGAATAGATATATAAACCAACTTAGCCATTGTAAAATCACATATCAATCCGGATCTTCTTCGTGGTATCCTCATTTTGAGGCATTTCTTATGGTAAAATCGTGTAACCTATCGTTCGAAAGGGGGGCCTTCACGAGGTAGATCCCAGGATCTCGAGTTCTATCCACTCTGGACCTCCATGGAGGTCACAAAAAAATGTGCAGCAATCAGTTTCAACACCTAAATCTCATTCTATCCCCATCAATCCGAGTATTATTGTTTAATGGGTTTAGTATTGCATAGTATTGCTATATCAGGTTTTTGTCCGCTTCTATCTCACCACCAAATCCGGACATGCTGAGAGTCCCGACAAGAGACGGCCTCGGCTGCTCCTTCAAGACCGCCAAGGCCTGCGCCAAACAGGGCCCACCTCGGAAGTGAGCATGACAAACATATACCAAAATGAATCTGTACCAGTAAGATAGGGACATTCCTGGCATTCCTAATATAAATCTATAGGTCCGGCTGTAGGTGCCCCGGATTCCTCAAAACCCCAGTCACATGTGGCACTGGCCTCGCTCCAGCGAGCTGCGCGGCTACAGGCATCAATGGTGGAGGCAAAGACGTAGTGATCAAGGCCTTAACGGTCAGCGGATTGAAATGATGAAGGGAAATACACCAGAAATATGAGGATTTTATTGGGATTGAATGGATTTTTTATAGGAAAATCATCTATAAATAGAAATGGGATCTTTTAAACATGGTTATTTGGAACAAAACCTATCTAAATGGTGTTTTAATGGGAAACACAAACTATAAATATGGAGGATCTCTCATTGTCACCTTTGATTGCCAGAGAGTATGAAGGGATATACTCAGTAAATGAGCTTAGAGATGGAAACAACCACGGAAGTTCCTATAGGATGTGATCTACACAAGGTGAACGTTCAGTATCAATGTGAATTAGTTGTTTTACAAACCCCTTTATCCATGGATATATCGACCAAAAACCATAGTTAACCAAAGTTAAACAAGTTATGCGCGTCAACTTGGCTATCACAAATCATCTATACATTTTCTTAAATCCACGCTCTTGTTGGTTAAATAACCATTTTCCTATGGTTAAACCATTGGCGTTTCCCTATCGTTTGGGTGCCCCACCCATTGGTTCAAACGCCCAACGGATAGCTAGGCCCCTAGGCCCCGCACGGAACTTCTCGGAACTTCGCAGCCAGCTGAAGGTGGCAATGGAGGCCTGACATCCGGAGAAATCTTTGGTTCTTGGTGATCTTTACAAAACAAGGCATACTTACAGTTATGGTGTTAGTTAACTAATAATTATCCAATGATTAACTTTGTACTTATGATTTATCCATTTTTACAAATAAGTACTTAGATGAGCCATGGAGTTAGTTGACTAATTAGTAAATGGATTATTTCATTGGGATATGCGTGCTTCTAACCCCAGTTACCAACCAGGAATCGCTAATCGTATGGCCCATCTATAGGGATTCAGCCAGCCCGAAGGTGACCAGGCTTGGGATACATAGCCCAATGTGGGCCCCCTGTTTACTATAGATGTTATAGATGGTTGTTTACTATGGTAAACCAAGCAACTACAAACAATCTCAAACAATATAACTGAGGCCCACCTCAGCGACGTCTGTTTATAAATCCTATCAATACTACAGATTCTATAGATATATTTCTTTTGGAACTTACCCCGGTGATGTAATATTGGAGTATAAACCCCAAGAATATTATACATACGTAGTTATAAGTATCATAAACCATCGTAAAAGTGGAGCTATGTTCGTCAACTCGGCTATCGTTTTTTTTCCATGGCAACGTTTGATCACCCGAGGGAATATATTAATTATTGGGATACATGCCCTTCATATAAGAGAAAACAATAGTTCTGAAATGGATTAAAATGGAATCATTGATAGACAAGAATAGACAACATATAAGTAAATAAGTGAGATAATACTCTGCAAATGGAAGTCCAATCATTGTTTATAGTTTCTTTTTGCGATCAACGATATCGGGATGTATTAAATGAAATATCCCTTGTTATATTGGAACATTCCTGCGATATCTTAGCTAACAATATAAGTGGGTTAACTTAGCAAATACATAGTTCATCAATGCAAGTTAAAAGAATGGGATTTCTATGCCTCAACTGGACTTAGGGTAAATCTTTAGAACCAGGCGACGCAACACCTAGATAGACAAACTAAACTATAAACATCACTTCCGCGTTTGCATCTTGTCCATCTATTTGGAGGTTGCTATGCTGATATGTCTAGTGTTAAAATATTGATTGGTATCTCTCGAGCCGGTGCCTGCAAGCTTTGGATTTGTCTGAAAGTGGCGTGCTCCCCTCACTGTTGTAATATGTATTAAAAAGAGAGTTGTGGCAATGCGTGTCCGGACAGAGTTGGACGCTCATGCGCTGCAACAATGCGTTAACAGGACAAACTCATATCCATGCCTGATGATTAAATCTATGGTTCATGATCAAAATATGTCAAAATCATGTCAAATCGCCAGCTTTTGCATGGTCAAACGCTTGTTTTCCTTGTTTTAACCACTATTGTTCGATGATTTATTAATACTGGTTTCTCATGTTCACTATGCTTAAGTATGTTCGGTGAAATTTCACTAGGTATCTGGTATCGTATCCCATCATCCCATCGCACCTGCCACTCCGAAGCCTTGGCCTCGCAGGAATTCAGAAAAACAAATCAAGGTGGGAAATGTACCAACAAAGATGGGACATGCTATGAGTAGTGTATCATATCAATGATATCAATCATAGTGGGGATATCATGACTTGGGGCAATATTCTATAAACAGTCAAGAACCGCCCATCAAATGTTATACCAATTCTTAGGGTGCGTGTCCTTCAAACATTTGAATATTTGAATGGGGGGATGGAATCCAAACAAAACTCTCATGGTGAAAGTGAATAAAGGACTGATTGCTTCTGGATAAGAACGAATACAAAGTATAAAACACTAGGTGGGGCCCCTAATTACAATTTCATGATCTTTATCGGTCTATCAACTCCATGTTCCCTGTAGTCTTAGTATGTCTCAATTCTACCATGACCCAGTCATGTACGTCAGCGAAACTCGCCGTAGGATTTCAACCGTAGGGTGTGTTTTAACCGTAGAATATTTATATCAACCGGGGGTTGAGCATTGTCTTGTCAAGCGACACAGGCCCGAAGAGCCAAGGTATAGTGCACCACCTGGGAATGTTCAATGATGGCTTTGTGTGGGAAAAGACATGGGCATCCCAATCTACATTCTAGGGATTTTCATCTTGAAAATAGCCATTGAAACTGGATGATGATCTTTTCTTTGAAGAATCCACCATCGTTAAAGTTGACTAATTATGATTAGTCTACGAGTCTACGCAGCTGAAATGTTCGGCCATTTTGGGAAGATTCCCCACTAATAATTTCTAACACCACCATCTACAGTGACGCAGTGAGGTCGAAGCCATTTTTGGGGAAAAAAAAGGTGAGTCGGACACCAGCAATGTACACGGGTCAGATTGTACCAATGGTAGATGGATTCCTAAAAATTGGTGCACCAGTCCGTTCGCTAATTAGGTTTAGAACTTGATTCAGCGTTGGGTTTATGGTGATGAAATCGCTATTATAGTTTATAGTCAGGTGGGTTCAAATAAACCAGCAATATAGAATGTTTGAGGGCACCACCTTGTAACATGACCAAACTCAGCGCTTCGCATTGGCCTATACAAGCATGCAAGGGCATGGAGTGATGCACCCCACGTTTGAAATTCTGGGCAAGTTAAGAGACATACTTCCCGCTTGCAAGAAATCAAACAAAGGAGGAGTCATATCGAATAATTACCTATCGATTGCCTTAGAGGCCCTCCTCAAAACAAACAGATGGATAGTAAATTTGTTGCATTAGTTACCCTCTGGTAATTTAACATAGCTATTGAACATGGCCATTTATAGTGGGTTTTCCCATTAAAAATGGTGATTTTCCATAGCTATGTTAAATTACCAGAGGGATCCAGAGGGTACATTCTTAGCCCAAGCAAATGCATGCAAATGCCTTCACCAAACCGGGCTTTACCCAACACCGACGCATCACCGAATGGACCTTCACTGACTCGGATGGGCTGTAGATGCCCAAAAAACAAGTATTTCACATATTCCCAATAGATTTCCATATCCCATAGGATCCATGTATGCTATATATGGTGACATTTACCATCAATATACCCCAAATGTTAGCATATATACCATACATGGATCCTATGGGATATGGTGCATTGTAAAAAAAATGCAAGATAAAACATCGCACATGATGCATCCACGGGACAGAAGTTGTGCAAATCAAGATGAAATGAAGGTGAATATGTCAATATGTCCTAGAAGGTGGCGCTCCCTAGTTCCGAATAAAAGTTAGTGTATAAGCCCATCTAACTACAGATATATCTCCTCTTAACCCTAGGTAACGATATCAGTTGTGAACCAAATTTTGCTAAGCGACATCCAGGGACGGATTCTTCTGACATGCCTGGAATCGCCGGACCCTTTGCAGCAGGTATCAACAGCGTCAAGTCAGTTCCAAAACCATAGAAAAAACACTGGCTTCACCATCAAACGTGAGAGAATATGTCAATACAGTATTTGCTTTGGGTCGTTTCGAACAGAGAACTGGGCAAAAAACAAATCTTCATAGCCATAGAAATGGAACATCATCATAGAACTGGATCCTGTGATATCCTGTGGAGGTCTTGGTTTACCCTGTGGCAATTTGACCAAACTGGACCATAGCCGTTGAAAAAAAGGCCCTTTTCGATTCGACGAAACGGGCCATGTTCCATCCATTTTCCATGAGAAATTACAATCGTTTCCATATAGTAATGGATGGAAAAATAAAAAATATGATGACCATATATTTTCCATGTTAAATTACCATGATTTTCCAGATTCACAAAATAGCTGACTGGATAGATCTGATGATCTGAAAGACATGAAAGGAAAACCCGTGGAAAACCAGCATCAAATCTTGGTGTAACATTGGTCTGTTCACTTGAGACACGTTTCAGAATTGTTTAAAGTCATCAAAAAAAAAAACAATTTACATCAATTTACCACTATTTTAGTACTTTTTAGTGGGATTTTACTGTTCAAACCTTTTTGGGGGGGTGCTATAAATCCAATTCCGGAGCCTGAAGAAATCCACCCCGGCGTCGCCTGCAGCACGTTGATCGCCTGGCGATTTCGGCTGGGCATACGATCCTTGGGCCATGGGAGGTAACTAATTAGGCAGTGGGTTACCCATGAAACATGCCCAGTGAAATATCCTCAGTATTCCTCATAGGTTAACTATAATCCTATGGCCCATCCGAGTACAAGTACTTGAAACTGATTCAGCGATCCATATGAACCATAGGAATGCAGGTTCATAACACAGAGATTCTACCCATGAAACATGCGCCATCTTTCAGCATGAACATCAGATCCAATGCAACAGAGATCCCAGCATAGCTAAACAAGTAGGTCCACAGTTCGCGTTCGCTACGTTGGATTATACATAATTATGGTAACTGGTTGATATAAACCCATGTTTAATGGATAATCATCGGGCGGCACCATATAATTCGTGAAACATACCCCATCCCATCCAATGAAATATTGGCAGGTTCAAAGATATCCCTATAACATGTTGGTGATATCCCCAACCAGATAGGTTATGTTTACCCCCTGTATGTTTACCCCCATTGTTTACCCCCATGAACCATCATGTATCAAGTATATCCTCAGACTGTTCATGATCAAAACATCTTGCAATGATCAAAACCCCCATGAGACTGACCCATTTGCAACTTATTTTCATGAAATATATCATAAGATAGTTAGGGAGTACTTCCATTTGCAACTTATTTTCATGAAAACATATATCATCTAAGATAGTTGGTTGATTGTTGCAACTTCCATTTTAGAAAACATCTATGTTTGCACCATTTCTCTCCGCCAAAAATGCTTGGTCAAATCATCGGAAACCTAACAAAAGAGCTGAACCCGCAAAGCTTTGACAAAAACACCTTTTATTTTTGGATGATCAAATCCATCGACTTTTTGGCCATAAAAATGATCAAATCCATCGTTTTTGTTGATTAAACAATATTAAACAAAATCATGTTTCACTGCCCTGGTTCACCAAATAGCTATTTTGAATTATGTTCAAAACAAATCGTAGCAGTGACATATCTAGGGTTTTACATGGTTTTACTCAATATCTATTAAAATAATAGCTATTAAAATCACACCATGGCTATCTTGTTTCTTGGCTCACCACCAGTCGCTGTAAAAAATGTCGCCTGCGGCCACCCAGGGGCAGCTTTCAGCCATGCATTCAGCACCTGGGCTTTCATTAATCATGAGCATGACGTACGAACTAGCTTTGTAAAATATAAAGACATATGGTAAACCAATAATAATTGGAACTGTAATATATATATATATACATACATAATACATATATGTCCTTATATATAAATAGTATGTATATATCTGCTGAACTATTAACCAACAATCTAATATTAAGTACATCGATAAATATTTTGGAAAACTGATGGTATTCCTTGGGAAATGATTGGGGATATCATGGGTGATACATCAGCGGCTTCACCAACTTTGGGTACCCTCTGGCCCTCTGGTCATGTTTGATGTTTATATAAGCTGTTTAAGTTAAAGTTATGTAGGAAGGTATCCGGTCATCGTGATATCACAGTGATATCACAGTGAGACACAGTGGTATCAGAAATATGCTGCAAATTCACTGCAAATGCTGGAAACTTTGTCAATGGGAAAGCGTCACCAATCCGTGAGTTGGGCTCAGCTCAACCCAACGGAGATCCGTGCGTTCTAAAAGTTGACTAAAAAAGGCAATCCTTTGTCAAAGCAAAGCTACTATTTACTAAAGGATTGGTCCTACATTTTTATGATCTACTATTTTCCTAAAGTCTACACATCATAAAAATCGTTTCTATCAACATTTTACTTGGTTGAGATCCCAGTTTTGGTTGAGTTTCGTAGGTGAAATGTCCCGGTACCTGTACCTGTAGAGCATCCGTAGACCCAACACTTCTTGGTCATTAACAAACATGACTGCGCAATCTATACAAGGTATGTATTTCTTTTCTGGGGAAACCTCATCGTTGTTGTATACTTTATGATCTTTATATATCTTTATATTGTGAATGAAAGTCCAAAACCCCCTTCCCCACAACTCCCGATGTTGCAGTGACATGACCCCCTTGGGTGGTCCAATCCCGACGTCGATGACTTCCGATGAACACAGATTGCTTAGAAGGTACTGAACCATGGTGATGATGAGTGTTATTGCTACATATTGTTAGGATTATTGAGATTAGTACTATGATGCCTATCTCTATATTATTATTAGTCCTATTACTATATTATTACCATCATCGTAGTATATATATAATAGTGATTGGTATTATTATCATTGTGGTGATGGTGATGGTGATGGTGATGCTGATGATGCTGCTGCTGCTGATGATGATGATGGTGATGATTATGATTATGATGATGATGATGATGGTGATGATGGTGATGATGATGATGATGATTATGATGATACGACGAGATTATGATATGATAAGATGATAATATGATAAAATGATAATATGATACTATGATAAGATGATAATATGATACTATGATAAGATGATAAGATGATAAGATGATGATATGATAAGATGGTAAAATGATAAAATGATAAAATGATAATAGACCATAGCATTTTGGCTTACCCAAACAAAACATGACAATGCCATATGGTGCAGTGTCGAGCAACATCCCCCGGTGAACAGAGAATCCCTCACCTCTTTGCTGCTCTTCTGCAAGGTTGCGAGTTGGTATTTGGCCACCATGAAGCGATGAGACGCATCTGGCGAGGGCCGTTTGGTGAAACCCAAGGCCACCCTTGAACACTGCAAGCCCCATGAAGATGGAAGACCATGACTGAAAAGGACAAGCAGGTGGTGCCCCCCTCAGTTTTAGATCAGTTTATTGCTCATAACCCTATTAACTATAGATATAACATTATATAACCACATACCCTAGTGAACCAATGTCATAGTTAACCATTAGTCGTTGTGTAAGCCCCATTAACTATAGTTGTACGATGTTGCGAATATTATAAACCAAAGTTACTGGAGTTATAAACCAACTTAGCAAACTACGGGGCACCACCGAACGTCGGCTGTTTATCAACTGGTCTGCCTTCCAACTTGGGCTGCGGGATTCATTTACCAATCGAATTGGAATACTATATATATATATATGTATATATAATTATATATATATATGTATAAAGCATGTGTGTATATATATTATATATATATGATACATATGATGAATGTGAACCAATTTCAGCACAGTGCCTGGCATGCACATCAAGCAAAAACATCAGCCAAAGCCACCATATCCCACGACAAATGGGCCCTTGCCTCTTCCTCCATCTCCAGGAACTGTAACCGCTGACCATGTTTTCCAGGGACTGGCAGTCCCTTGATGCAAGGAGCGATTTGTTGGATTGTTGAAATGTACTGCCCAAGGAGTTGCAAGCTTTTTTTCAGCATGCTGTTCCGATATGTTTGATCTTCAACAGTGTCACATCTATGTATGATACATGCATATATATATATATACACATACAAATATACATATACATATATATATATACACATGGTGTGTATATATATATATATACATATGGTGTATATATATATACATATGTATTTGCATACATATACATATCATTTTTTATCATTTTATGGTTATTATTTACAGTAATACACCACCACACCATTTCCCCTCGAGCCACTCGGCTGACGATGCAAGTTGGATGCCATGGATCGATACCACCCGAGCCCAGGAGCGGATCATGCCATTTCTATTGGACCCGGCCTGGTAAACTTACAAAAAACTATGGATAATGGCCATAGAAATAGTGGATATACCCATTGAAAATGGTGATTTTGCATAGTTATGTTAGTTTACCCTCTGGTAGACTAACATAAAAATGGTGATTTACCCAGTGGAAATGGTGATCTTTCTATTGGAAAAGTAGCAACAACAATGGGATTTAATGGGATTTAACCAACAACAATGGGAATATCATGGAGATTTAATGGTCATTCAATGGGATTTACCCTCTGGTAAACATACAGAAAACTATGGAAAGATCCACCATTTTTAGATGGGTAAATCAACAAAGTTTTTTTGGCCATGGTTTCAATAGCAAACTGTTTACCAGAAGGTAGATGAATTAAATGAATCACCAAAACATTGAACTAAGTTTTTATCATCCAAGTAAAATTGATTAAAGTTGTATACTGTACATGGATGGAATGGTATTTGGATGGAGAAGCAACATGACTGGTTGCACCACAAAGTGGATCGAAGGACTGAAGGTTGGAAGTGAAGACAGATCTGGTTAACTTGAAGTTCTCTGATAGGGAACCTGCATTCAGCGGAAGGCAGATCAAGGGAATAGTTTTGGGAAGCTGGCAATCAAGCAGCTGTATCCCTCTTGCGCCATGACAATCATGAGTACCCTCTCATGAAAAATGCCCTGCAACAAAAAGGTTGTTCTTTAGCGGGTACAGTATTCCCTCTTTTGTAACTTCCAACACGCCAAGTTTTACCCAGAATTTTGCAGACATCTACAGCCATCAAAACTGAATAAAGATGTGAAACATCTCCATGACTCTGCAGAGATCTTCCAGCAATTTCCAGCACCCATGGACCGAATGACCACTTTTTTTCAACTGCGAAACCCTCAAGCTTCAATCCGCTGATCCAACTTCTCCAATGGCACGAAAGAGAGAAACTGAGGCAACACAGGGCGGATGGGTCCAACTTTTAAACGGGGTGCACGTGAAAGCGGATTAAGAACATGGCAGTTTTTGCGGATTTTTTTGGGTTATTTGATGTTATTTGCCACTACCTTTCTGCAATTATATACAAGCAATAGTCAATAGTCTATGAAACTTTAAACAGCTTTATGATGAATTTGAGGCTAGGGGCACATTTCATGGATGGGCACCAGGGCGAAACTCCCAGCCTCATCCTGCTGCTTTCGCTTTGGGCCTCACACTGAGAAGGAACGTCTGGTGCTGCGCCCAAACGTTCTTTGAACGTTGGCTTTCTGTTACCCCATCTAATGAACTAATATAGTTACAAAGTGGGGTCCTGGTTGTAAGTTGGTCTATCATCGCATAGAATGCTATAGATTATATAATATCCCCTGCTTGATAGTGCTTGCAACAGACCAAGTTGGCCATCTTGGGGGCCCCAGGCAGCCCCAGTGAAATCTCCGGTGATTCGTTGCGCGCCTAGGAATGACACCGCCAGAGGCACGAGCAGGAGCCTGACGATGGACGGACTACGGCACTTTACCCTGGTGACCAGCCGAACATATGATGTGAAGATTTTGGATACCCTCTGGTAAACTAACATAGCTATGGAAAATCACCATTTTCAATGGGAAAATCCACTATTTCGACTGGGCCATTTTCAATAGCTATGTAACAAATTACCAGAGGGTACCCTCTGGTAAATACACATAGACCCTGAAAACATCTGAAAACCACACTTGTTTAGTGGACACTAATCTTCCACCCCCCATCTGGCAGGGTCTATGTAAATTTACCGGAGGATAATGCTATGGGTCAAAACCCTACCAGGGTTAGGTCCCCGAAACGCTGGGACTTATGGATGTAAAAATTCCGTAAAATTCCCCCAAAAGCCTATGAGAATCATAGGTGAAAAACGAACCCATCCCAGATCTATAGTGGATTTACCCAACATGGTGGAATTGTCCATCGTTTTTTGCATGTTTACCAGAGGGTAATCTTGGCCCATACCCAAAATACCAAGATGTGGCACTGGAAAATGTGTTTTAAGATCGGCACCGATCCCTATTGTGCAAGTGGAGAAATTTGCCACACACCCGCACTACTGACCCGCTTTCCTGGTTGGGTGGCTTCAACCCACCTGAAAAAAATGCTCTTCACTTAGGATCATCAAAACCCATAGATATAATCCCTATTAAAATCATTTAAAATCTATAGAATCCACCCAAACAAATCCGTAGAATCTTAAAATATCTTCAACACAAAATCCATAATCCCTAAAAATCCCCAAAATCATCCTAAATCATCCTAAATCCATAGAATCCCGATTAAATTTGCCATAGAATCCCTTCGAAAATCCACCGTCTTCCCCTGTTTTCCGAGCCACGCGGGGTTCATCGAGGCCATTGAGGCGGGCATGGGATTCGGGGAACTGAGGCCATAGGGCGGTGCCGCAGATGGGAGGTCCTGCCATGGGATTTTTTTTTTCGGAGGTCGGCCGCTGTGTTTTTTGGTGACTTTGGGGGAGTTGGACCATAGTTTTACCATAATACTATAGTTTTACCGTAATACCATATAGTTTAACCATAGTTTGACCATAGTTTTACTATAGTTTTACCGTAATACCATGTAGTTTAACCATAGTTTACCAGGTTGATCATCATAGACTCATAGACCATTACTGGTGCTTGCTAAACGCAGGGTTGCTGGATGGCTTGCTGGGGGTTGCTGGGATGATTATTGATAGTTATTATATGTTATTATGGATCATTCCCAAAAATTCCCTCAGCACCATGTTTTGTTGTTTTGGGGGAGTAAAAACCGTAGGTGCCATAGCTGACAGCACCGGATAGGTAACTTCGTTTGGACCCATGTGATCTGATGGGTTTAGAGCAAATATATCAGATCTGGTTGGATGGTTTTTTACCTCAGCAATTTAAAAAAAAGCTGTGGGGATTGCCCCAGTGAATCTTGGGTGGTGGTAGTGGGATGAATTAAATATGTGGGATGAATTTACTGTACTCCAAATGAATGTCTGATCCTGGAATTCCGGGATATTCGGAGTTCGGACACTTAAGATAGTTGGAACATGTTGGGAATATTGTTCAAACCACCAAATTTGGGAGTTGACTCGACATGTTCGACTTCATGGGAGCTTGGGATGTTGAAGCATCAAACTTTCTGTTGTGAGTGTGTGATTGCACCTGGCACATCCTGGCACTAACAAAAAACACAATTTCTTGGAGCTTTGCCTGAAATTTCACGACTTTTTGGTATCAGGATCTCAGAAATTGGAATTCTTAGCCACCAAATGTAGGGGCTTATCTGGATTTCTTGCGTGAAACCATTGGGATCTAAACCACTAAATTCTAACCCCCCTGCAGCTCCCATCCCATCCCATCCCGGTCCCCATAGGCTGCCGCCGTGGGCACGCCCACCGGGGCCACGTTGTAGCCCAAAGATTGCGCCACTTGGGCGGCAGCAGCCTGGGGAGAGCTATGGATTGACTTAATGCTGAGTTGAATGATAAGTTCAATGATAAATGAAATGATAAGTTCAATGATCAGTTGAATGAGTAGTTAAATGATAAGTTCAATGATAAGTTAAATGATGAGTTGAATGATATTTAATCACTTGTCATTCGACCCGATAGATACATGGCAAAACAAACCAATTGAATGATAAGTGAGATGTCATAGATCCTATTTCATTTGATGTATCATTCAGTTATCCAGCTGTATCATCCAATTGTATCATTTTTCGGTAGGATAACCATTCCTTTACATTTCTAAATTGTTTTTTTTTTACTGGGTTGGATGATGGTTCCGTCGGGGTTGGATTCCTGGGGGAATCAACATGAAGCAATGGTGGGTATGGAACGATCACATATAAGATCTACTGCTAGGATCAGAATCATGGAATGACATCTGGTAAACGTTTACATTTTGCGAACTGGAAAATCACCATGCTATTCATGGAAAAACTCACTATTTCTATGGCCATGTTCAATGGCAAACTGTTAGTTTACCAGAAGGTAAACACATCTAGGATATTCTGGGATGTATAGAGACGTATCAATGAATTTAGACTTGTATGATGATCTGATCATCTCTCAAGTTTTCACACGGGGATTTCTGGATTTATGCTAGCACATTTTTCCGTATGCACAATGCTAAGAACACAAGGTTTCAACTTGCTCGGGTAATGGGGCGAAATGGTGGAGTCCATCTGCTTTCCTTCGAGCCTCTTGAAGTCAATTTGACAGTGCACAAAAAGCTGCCTTCTATTTGTGAGAGGTCAGGCTACTGTGGACCCACAGAGATATCTGTCCAGTGTCTGACACCATCTGGACAAATCCTGATCAGCCTAAAACTTAAAGATACACAAACAGTTTTTTCCGGGTTCTTCCCCGCATATCAGCCATAAAAATACACATCATCGATTGTAAGATCGGCAAGGGTTAGGTCCCAATTTGTTTTTGGTCCCGACACCATGGGCGCACCTGTTGCGCACTGACTTGTGCTACTTGTGCTTGCGTTGCTGCGGCCTGCCCCGAAATGGGGATTGAGACATCAGGGATATTTTGGTGGGTGAGTGAATTCTACATTACCAGCCATTAACCGGT